AATTCTTGTTTATAGCCCAGTTTTTTCAAGAAGATGACTTGTACATGACAATGTGTGTAAGCAGCCATAATAATGCCTATAAAAAAAAGAGAAATGATAATAAAAATGGATATTGTCATAACCAAAAGTCTTCTTTTGAGTAAAAATTAACACCATTTGCAGCTTCTTTGCATGTTTTGTTACAGCGCTAGGCTTTCCACGGGCAGACCATATACCGTATTTACTCGAATCTAACGCGCATCTTTTTTCCGGTTAAGCGAGTTCATAAATCGCATGCGCGTTAAAATCGAGTACAAACAAAAAAATTACGGTCAATCTATTGCCATCGGCAAATCCAAAATGGCCGCCCCCTACGTGCGTCGGCATGGCGCGTCGGCCATTTCTGCCTATGTGTTTCCCATGTGCGGCACTTCGTACGTGTGCTGAGGAGTTCGTCATCTAGTAGTGCATTAGCATCGACGGCGTGGAAGGGCCGACTCCAAAAACTCGAGTGCACCACGATGCCGCTTTTAAAAGAAAAGTCATGGCGTGTGCAGAAACGGACGGAAATCAGGCCGCATCGCGGTCGTTTGGAGTTCCCGAAACGTGCATGCGGGACCGGCGGAAACAAAAGCAGAAGATTGTCGACAGCAAAGCTTCACGCAAAGGCTTCAGTGGACCACAGCAGGGTCGGTTTCCGCAAATTAAAGAGCTGCTCGGCGAGTATGTGCTTGAGCAGCGAGCGGCACGGCACAGCGGCCCGTGACGACAGAACTGCTCGAAGTGCGGGCTATGCAATTAGCCTTAGAAAAAGGTCTAATGCGGAGGCAGTTTAAAGCGAGCAGGTGCTGGCTAACTAGCTTTGTTAAGAAGAAAGGCTTTTCCCACCGAAGGGGAACATGCATATGCGAAAAGTTTTGCGGAGGAGTACGATGAAAAGCTTCACAGTTTTCAGAGGTTCGTCCTAAACTTGCGGTGCAACGACGGCTACCTGCTTGGGCAAATCGGGAATGCCGATCAGACGCCTCTTTACTTCGACATGCCTGGAACCACAACTGTCGAGAAGGGGGCTAAGCAAGTTCGCGTGCTGACATCGGTCCACGGTAAAACTACAGTGACGGCAATGCTCTGTTACACGTCAGATGGGCACAAGCTTCGCCCGTACCTCATATTTAAATGGAAGACGCTCCCGAAAGGAGTGGTTTTTTCGAGTGGTGTGATCGTGCGGGCCAGCGAGAAAAATGGGTGCAATCGATGTCTTACGTTTTTTTTTTTTTTTTTCCGCTGTGGAAATCGAGTGCGCGTTACAATCGAGGGCACCGTAGAATCGAGTAAATACGGTAGATCAAACCATGTAGCATGAAGTAAGCTTCAAAAATATTCAAGGTATCATGAAACTGCATATTTCCCTGTTCAAGACACTTATGTGTATGCATGCCCAATTTCGTTGCTCGATATCAACAAACAAAAAAGTTTTTTTTTCCACCTCACCTCCCCCCATTAACGGCAATTTCGTTTAAAAAGACTAGTTCACTGAGAGCTCACAGTATGACTAATACAAAAGACACGTTCTGCCATGCATGCTCTTCCCGGTGGATTTTGAGGGATACACTGCAGTCTTCTATGTATTACAGTCCTCGACCGTTTATTCGGACTCGATGGGAACCGCCGAAAAGTCCGAATAATCGGGAGTCCGAAAAAACGGATTCACTCGAAAACAGCACTTTTATTGGCCCGATCGCCCGAAAAAACTGTCTATGTGCGTCTGCACACACGCACGCTTACGCGCGACCACGTCGGCCTGTACCTCTGCGAGTGTCTGGCCGTCGCTGTAGACAGACAACAGCATCGATATGGCCTGCGCTAAGTCCGCATTTGATGGCTGTGGTGCGGGCGGCGCGTCATCGTCGGAGTCACTGTCCGCCAGCGCCGGCTCGCAGACCTGACGGACGATCTCGTCATCGTCCAACTCTGCGCAAGGCAAAACGGCACTGTCGAAGTTGGCGAACTCTTCAAACGTACCCGCCCCCACATCGACCCCGCTAGCACGAAGGTCGTCCAAAATGTCCGCTGCTGCGGTAGGCGGACTCTCAACCGCGGGGTTCTGGCCTGTGGCACTGTCCTTCTCAATCCCAGTAATAAATCCTGCGTGGTGGAAGCAGTTGTGGATCGTTTCCCGAGTCACTGACTTCCAGGCATCGGACAACATGCTGATGGCCGTCAGAACATCCACGACGTAGTTTTTGTTACTGTCGACGCATAACAGCACACGATTCAGGAGGCGCGACCGGTAATGAACTTTCAAGTTTTTGATCACGCCCTGGTCCATGGGCTGCAACACGCTTGTCGCGTTAGGCGGCAAAAACTCCACTGTCATAGCCTTCCAGTTGTCGATATGCCCATGGGCACCGCAGTTGTCGACGAACATCAGCACCTTGCGATTTTGCTGTTCGTACCGGCGGTCGAGCTTGCGAAGGTACTGTTCGAAGAGGTTTTGCGTAATCCACGCCTTCGAATTTGCTTCATACCACACAGGGAGTGATTTGACGCCTTTAAAACATCTTGGATTTTTTGATTTCCCTACCACGAGGAGCGGAAGTTTCTCCGTCCCCGTCATGTTGCCTCCTACAACAACTGTCAGTCGCTCCTTGCTATGCTTCCCCCCATGACAGGGTTCGCCAGACAAAGCTAGCGTCCTGTCGGGCAGCATCTTATAGAAAAGTCCAGTCTCGTCACAAAGACGTTTTCTGGTGGATACTGGCGCAGCAGTGCGCACAGCTTGTCGGCGCGGTAGTTGGTCACGAGCGTTTGGTCGACGGAACCACTCTCGCCGCACATTCGCTTGAAGGCCAGGTCGTACCTTTTCTTAAAGTTGCGCAACCACTTGTCACTGAACTTGCAGCCGGTAATACCCATGCGCAGGGCGAGCGTCTCTGCTTTCTGTCTCAGCAGATCGCCAGACACGGGTATTTTCCTAGCCACCGTGGCACTCAACCACATGTTCAGCGCTTCTTCAAGCTGCGGGTGGCTGCCGTCCCGGAAATTTTTCTGCGTACCCGCAGACGCTTTCTCAGCTGCCTCCAGGATCTTAGCCTTCTGCTTGAGGTAGTCCGAGACGGTTTGCTTGGAAATGGAAAATTCCCGAGAAACTTCAGACTGAGGTCGGCCGCCTTCTACCTGGCGAATTATCTCCGCTTTCTTCGCCATCGTGAGCGTCTTGTAGCTCCCACGTTGGCCGCGTTTCTTCACTCCCGACGGCGCAGCAACGGGTGGCGTCGGAGCCATTTCAGTACGCCACGGAACAGACAAGAGAGCGAGAACACAGAGAACAAGACGAACCAGGCCTACCCGCAGAAGCAACTGACTGACACCACTGACACGCTGACACAAACGCCAAACCACGCCAAACGCCACAGCGAACAGACTCCGTAAGTGGCTCGGCTTGGCCGCTCGACTGGCTAAAACCGAAAAAAACGTGTCGCCAAACATAGCCTTCGAGATCGGCAATGGCGATTTCTGCGTGCATTTTGACACTGGCCCGACGTCCATCCATAGCTAGTGCAGCATATCAGTGCTGGCAACCTAGCAAATGTATTGTTAACGTCCCTGTCAGCGTGTCATGGCGTACGGCGACGCATCCGGTCAGTCAAACGGAGTCCGAATAATCGAACGGGGCACAGCGGGGCGTCCGAATTTTCGGTCGTGAGTTTATATTAGGTTCAATGGGGCGAGTGGCGGTGCCACGAAGGTGTCCGAATAAACAGGCATGTCCGAATTTTCGGCGTCCGAATAAACGGTCGGCGACTGTATACACGACTGGCTTGATGGTTTGATAGACTTCAGGTCTTATTTAGCGACAAGACGAATGTGATCTGCTGGCGCAAAAATGTTCTCATGCAGCACTCAGCCTAGCTTTAACCTTCTACACTCTTCTATTCACAAAGTTTTAATCAGAAATGTGCCATAACAGTTCCTTTGCTTGTAAAATTCTTTACAACAGGCCAAAATGCTAGCCCACATAAAACGTACTGATCAGCCTGCTATTAGTAGAGCTGCACACAACACAACCTTCAACTACACTCCATGTATGGCAGACGGTGCGCCACAGTATCTACTTACACATGGTGCGTCTAAGTAAGTAAACACAGAGTACCGTATTTACTCACGTAATCCTCACACTCGCATATTTTCGCACACTGTCCACATTGCCAAACAGAAATGCAATTTTCTTTATTCCGTGAGTAATTATCGCACCCCTGAAAATTGCAGCCGAAATGTCTGCTCCTTCCAAACACAGACAGCCAGGCGGCATGCCTTAATCATCATGCGTACTATCAACGCATGGAGCCCCAATCCAATTCAAGCCATGCCAACGTGGCAAGTGCGCATCGCGGCTCGATCGTACGCTGTAGTTACGCTATGGGGTCATACGGAAGCTACACAGCTATTTTCAAGCTGAAAGTGACTGATTGTGCACTAAAAAATGGCAACAGGGCCACCGGCAGCCACTCCGGAGGTAACGAGTGTTGTGTTTGCCACTGGCAACGGCAGCACGGGCAGCTGAAAGCCACCAACACGCGCTGGGCCTTCTGTGAACTTGATTTCATTTTAAGGTAACTATGAACGATTTTGTGTTGGATGGTAATCAGCCCAAGGTTGACGTCGTACGTTAACCTGTTGTGGGCTCCCGTTGAGACTGCCTTGCATACAGTAATCTAACTATTTAATTTATATAACGATGTAAACTATTTACTTGCAGCTTTTGTGTCGCAAATAAATCTTGTCTGTATTGAACCTATGGTTTTATTGTTAGCCTTAATTAGTACTATACAAAGCTTTTAATTAGTCACTAGAGCAAAAATCCCAATTTGCGGCCACATAATATTTTTCTTCCCTCACTATACGTTTTCGCGGAACTCTTGCACCCCGTTACATTGCGCCGGTTTGGTTTTCTGCGAAAAAAAAAAGTGCGAGGATTATGCGCGTAATTACGGTAAATACACAAAGCTAACCCAACGTACAGTTGTCTTTGGCGAAGCTCTTCTCGCTCCTTTTGAATGCGCTCCCGCTCCTGACGTTGCTTCTCGCGTTCAAGGCAGATGAGTTCGAGCTTTTCCCGTTCGAGCTTTTCTCGTTCAATCCTGAGAAAAAATACCAACAGAATGTAAATGTTATCGACACTTCCCCTGTCCATAGTACTCCACTATCACAAATTGAATGACCACCGTGACTATCATTCTAATTCAGCTATTTTGCAAGCATTCGTGCAAGGTAGAAGGTATCATGCAGAAATGATGGGCGAAAAAGACAATAGCTCAACAAGAACAAACCAGCACATAATTAATCTTATGAGTGCATTAGCTGGGTGAGTTCGTACTTCACATTTAAACCAGCACTCAGACGCAATGAACATGAGAAGAAAGAGCTGCATTTTGCTGCACTCACAACCAAGCCTAACTCAAAGAACAAGGAACAAAATGAAAATATCACGACGAGCGTGCAGTTAACACCTTAAATTCTTTTCTGCATTTCTCAAGCTTGTTCACTGGTTTCATCACACATAATAAAGAAAAACCCAAGCAATAACACTTGTGAAAAAGTTAATATGAAATGAATTACAGTTACCTAAGACGCTCTCGCTCACGTTCCAATCGGTAAGCTTCTTCCCTCTGCTTGCGTTCAAGCTCTCGCTGGCGCAAGGTGTCCTGATAGTTGCGTCGCTCCTCTTCACGAACATCAAGGCGCTCTCGCACGCGCATACGCTCTTCCTGCATTGGCACAAGGAAATGTGAAGCCTTGTTTACTTCTGTTGGCTGAAGATGCAAAGTCAAGCACTACACCACAATACAGTGAAACCTCATTATAAGTACCTGCCAGGGCCACGTCATAACTACGCACTAAACGTAGTATTTAACCGTACAAACCTCGCCATCACCGCCAACAAAGGAATAATTACAGTGTCTCAGAAAATGCAGTTTAGACCACTTATAACGTATGTTGCGGGAACCTCAAATACAAGCACTGTAAGCAGTACCACACCATAACTAGAACAGCCTTTTATACAAGGGCCGCAGTTGCGAAAAACTTGTTGAGCATGCAGCCTCGCATGGTACCTTGAATAACAGGGGAACAACATTACTTATTGTTTGGGAAGGAACGCCAAAACTCCTTTAGTGTTTTTTTACATCTTTATCACCTCTACCGCTGCGCTAGCCAAGTCCCCAACCACGGTATCGCACGCGGTGGCTGCGGAAACAGGTAGCTTCATTTTTAATTTACGTGCGTTGGCTGCACACGTACCTTCAAAACCATGTAGTTTTTTGCTATCTACGATTGCATCTGCCACGATTTTGTCCCCAAACGTTTGTGCAACGCATCGCCGTTTTAACTGGTCAAGCGCAGACGGTGCGTGCACTTTTGGAGTTCTGTAACGTCGCCACCACATATGATCGTGTCAAGAGCGACCACGGTTTTGTCCACAGCGGTTGTGGCAAACGATAACCGCAGTTCTGACAGCGCTGGCCGAGCGTATCCTTCTGAAGCTTCGAGCACGCTGCTCTTTGCCTTTATTTCACGGTTTCAGCGCTAAAGTTCATACAACCACCCCAATGCACAGAGTGGATGGAACTTGGCTGGGCAATTTCACGAATTCGTATATTTTGCCAGTTTCGCATCATTGAGATTCTACTGTGTGTTAAAATGAATGCCTTCTAAATTCGTTCACAATAAAATGCAACGGGTTCGTAAAAAACCTGGATTGGATTGGGCTGCATTTTTATAAATGTAGCCAGACCACGCACAGAAACTTGAGTTTCTGGGAGATTTTCCTGACAACCATACAAACGTAGGAACTGGTCGAAATCCGGGAGACCTGGCAGGTATGCCAATCTACCACATAAAAGAGGCCGCAATGTCGATTGGGAGGCTCAGGAAATTCAAGGATTTTTGACAATGTGGAAAAATCCCAGGACTTTCAGGAGCCTTGAAAATTCATTTTTCAAATACAAGTGTTTGCAACGTTTTCAAGAACCTTTATGCACCCTGAAAAGGATTCCAGAAATTGAAAACTTGATTTTTGAAAAATAGATTATTTTTTGCAATATGAAAGCCACATCACCCCTTGACTCCGTTCATGGCTTCAATTGCTGAATTCACTAGAAAAATGTTAGCAGGTAAAACTGGCAAACAAGTAGATATGCAATACTTTGAACCTTGTTGCTGGACGAGTTAGTGAATACTTGAGAAGTCAATTTTAGAACTAAGACTGAAATCGGACATGTGTTACTAAGGAAGTGTTCATTACATTAGGTTGCAATTACAGTGCAGTCCACTTATAACGATATCGAGAAAACCTAAAAATATGATCGTTATAACCGGTGATCGTTATATCTGGACTGCCGCCAAAAAATCGTCGCCGGACGTACCTTTTGTAGCTCCAGGCTTCATTTTGCTATTTTCACCAATTAATAAATATTGTAGATAGTAGGATGTCAAAAACAAGACTTTATTTCTTACTCCGAAGAACGCATCACGGGTTCGCTGAAGAAGAGAGACTGACCGACGGCGGGGTGGGAGCAGTGGGAGGAAGAAAGCACAGCCAGAGGTACACAGCCGGAATGCCAACGAGGCCCCGCCCCCATGCCGCCGCGCCGCTTTGCTTTTCGCCTTTTTATTTTCTCTCTCTTTCCCGCTTTCGTTCGGCAAGCTACGAGTAGCTTGCCGGCTTGCCGTTGTAGAAGGCGGGCAGCCGCGGAGCGCGGCGCTTTGCTTTTCGCATTTTTTTTTTAAATTCTCTCAGCCTCTCCGCGGTCGACGCGCGGCGAGGCGCAAAACGTGACACAGCTGGCGCCATCTGTAGCGCGTCGCGCCAACTCGCGATGCTCTCCTCGGCTTTTTGAACGGCCGGGACGCGCTGCCGGCGCTGTCCTGCAGTGGCGGCAGATACGTACTCGCCTACGCTAACTTTTCGTCTTGTCTCGGCATAGTTCGTTTCAGAACTTATCAATCTAAATGTTACGATTATTCTGAATGAAACATGCCGTCCACGGCAAACTTTTCATCGTTGTATCCGATATGCGGTGGATAACATATCGTTATATATGGTTTTTTTCCCCATAGCCCCAATGCATAAAATGAGACTGTTAAGTCGACCCATCGTTATAACCGATATATCGTTATATGTGGTATCGTTATAAGTGGACTGCACTGTATATGTATAGCTTAGTAATGCACACATGAGCGAAGGGCATACCTAGGCAAGAAAATTTATCAGGCTACGAAAGATCGAGCCAAGGGTAATCAGAGATGACAGGAGCGTTTGTCCTGCAGTCTGATGTGTTGCATGTTCTTTAGCACTAAAACCAGGATGTCATCAAATGCTATGCAACCTACATGGCAAGATGGAGTGTGGGAGGCAAAGGTACAACTAGTCAAGATAACAAAGTTTGTTGCTGACATGGTGAACAACATGAAAAGACTGCTGGAGTCGTTAATAGCAGCAGCGAGAAAGCGCTCACCCGCATCCGCCTCAGTGCCATGTCATTGCTGCCGCCCAGTCGGTGTGCACCAAACGACGAGGGCCCCCTGAATCCAGGCCCCACGCTCATGCCCCGATTGTAAAAGGGCCGCTGGTAGAAGCTTGGCCTCCGGTAGAAGCCCATGTTACGCTCGTAGGGACGACGAATGGACGAGTACGAGTGGCGGGGAGGGAGCCGCTCTCGCGAGCGACTGCGTCCCGAGTGCCGGTCACGGACTGAGCTGCGCTTTTCGCGGTGCTTGTCCTTGGAGTCTGAAACAGGGTTCGTACAGGTTTTGAAGGCAAAAATAAGGGTTTTAAGAACTTTCAAGGCCCAAAAAAATTTTTTTTTCAAGGATCCATATCAATAATTGATCTCTTACTCGTAATAAAAAAACGAGAAATTTATTGAACACTTATTGAACAGCCTAAGACGAGTTGAATTATTGAACAGTCTTAAGGGGAGACGCTCCTCGAAAGCACTTTTTTTTTGTTATTCAACTTAGAGCTTCAGAAATTGGACCACTGATGCAGTTTTTCCTCCTGATTCCAAATCTGTAATCAGTTTTTACATAAGTGCAATAGTTTGGGAGTTGTGTTTCAAGTAATGGTGAAACTTGATAAGTTTTCCGGGAACTTTCGCGCATACTAAATGTTCATGCAGAGTGTTGTTCAATGGCTCCTTTTGCTCCCTATTAGCCATAGAGTGCCGATATCTAGCTAGAAATTGTGCTCCAACTTTGAAACTATGAAAAAAAACATCTGTGTAGCAAACTACCCTTTTTTTTCCACTCGACCACCATTAAATTTATTAATAGATATTTACAGCTGATAGGTTGTGCTGATTCAAGTAGATATCGGCACCCTACGCACTCTCCTCAATGTGTGTGCCAAATTTCGTCGTCGTATGACCATTCTAAGTGCCCGAAACACTTCCCGCAAAAAATGCAAATTGGCCAAAATTGCGAAATGAGAAAAACGCGTTTGAAAGTTTGAAAGTCTGTATTTACAAAAATGAAAAACGCAGTAGCACGAAACTTGTGCTGAACACATACACACATGTCCAGAGGGAATATCAGTTGTCTAAAACTCTCCAGCACCGTAGGTTTTCCCTTCCCGGCTGGTGCGGCAGGACTCTTCCACCCGGGCCCTCTTGGCTGCACTGCGACGGTGTGCCCTCGCCTCAGCGGTCTGACGCACATTCATCTTGTGCATGCGCATGCTGTCTCGGCGGTCGCTGAGGGTAACCAGGGCCTCCGAAGGAAGCACCCCAAGCTCTTCCAGCACCTTTTCAAAGCTCGCGTGGCCCCGGTTGAACCACAGGACTGCAATGGCTGTGGCTGTTTCCACAGCAGTCCGGGAAGCAAACCGGGTCTTTGGACACAGCAGCCATATTTTGCTGTTCAGGGACTCGGCCGCGTTCTGTGTCTTGCCGTGGAGGCACCGGGCAAGCAGCTTCGCATCTGTGAGACGCTTGTAGATTGGGAGGACTGCCAAACCCTGGGCCTTGGTCAGGAGGGGGTGTGGCACGGTGCAGGCTGGCCCTGCGCCTCAGCACGTCGGTGCTTGCACCACGAGTCTGGGCCTGCAGGACAGAACTTGTGACTTCCAGCACCGTCTGTTGAGCACGAGTGCAAACATGAGGCCCATATGGCAGTGTACATCTTGTGGACATTTCCCCGATTGTTCACAATGGCCACCTGAAAGTAAGTTTGAAGCTTCTGGATGGTGGTCTCCTTCAGCTTCTCCCCTCGTGGAAGTGGCGTTGGCAGCTTCCGCAGGCCGGTGCCCAGACGTTTCGCCACGTGGTTGGTGCACTCCTCTTTTTCAATTGGAGTGTCAGGGTACACGTTGGCATCACAGACCCCGTTGTAGGCCTTGCTGTCTCCATCGCTTAGGAAGATGGTGAACCGCAGGGGTGTCTCATAGTCCACAGTCCTCTGCCAAATGCGCACTGCAGCTTCGGCCTCCATGGCATGCGAAGAACAGTCGCAATTCTTCTCACAAACGGGATGATGAAACGCCTGCCATGTTTCTTCATCGCCTCCCATGTCGTTATGCAAACTGCACGCCAGGCAGAAGTTGGAAAGCACTTCATAGTCCAGGCACAAACCAGTGTCCAAGGACACTACAGTTCCCACACCATTGTGGCTTTTGTGGCCTCTTTTTTGCCATGTGCCGTCAAACATGACTGGCACGTCACTGTTACCAGCCACCTCTTTGGTGACGCTGCGTGCCCTTTGCATGTTTTCACAGACAGCCTTCACTGCCGCACTGTGAATCTTTTTGCCGATAGCATGGAAGGTCTTATGGTGCATAGGGTTTGGCAATCCAACTACTGCACAAAATCGTGAAAGTTGCTCATGCCCGATACCGACGGCACGCGCTGCAAGCACCACTTTCAGGTTCACGGCAAAGGCGTCACGCGAACTCCCGCTGTCGTAGCTTCTGCTTGCACCGCGGCCGCCATCTGACGCGACCCGCTTCGACGAGTACGCGGACGAAAGGATGCTCTCCGAGCACTCCGCATTCTCGCAGTGTAGCTCCAGAAACGCCGAAAGGCCTTTCCGCTTTTTATTCGGTGCCCGAACTGCGAGTTTACTCTCGTGACAAACGGGGCATGCCGCGCCTGCGACGACGGCCGTCAATGCACCCAACTCGCACAGCACTACGCTTTCGGCACGATCGGCATTCGGCCTGACGTCGTTTTCGAATAACGCGATCTTTTTCTGCGATGCACTCACAAAATTCACTGCAGCGTTGATCTCGTCGTCGCAGTTGCCATGGTCGACGTTGCCGTGGTCGATGTTAGGCCTACCGGCCGCTGGCCCGTCGCGGACATTTTCGTTGGCGGTGGCTTTCTTGTACGTCCTCCGCCGCTTCCCTCTGAACTTGTTCTTACTTCTGTATTTCCGATGGTCGGCAACGGCCTTTTTCGGGCTTGCCATCGCACGAAAACAGCGAAAAATAACTCCGGAAAACAGTGAAGCGAACTACGGCAAGAAAACACGGGTGCTGTCAGCCAATGGCGGCCCTGCGTTAGTGGCGCGCGGTTTGAAACGGCGGGAAAAGACTGTTTTTGTTGCTTTTTTTTTAGATTTTTCGTGAACGTACGAGACTTCAAGAACCGGGATCGTGGAGAGTAAGGACAACTCTACACGAGCCAGCGGCCGCAATATGGCGGACAGCTCTCTTCGCGGCCCCGCGAGCACGCGAACAGCAGCCCGTTTTGTGTAAATTTCGTGATGCCGCGCGTCACTGCCGCTCACTCAGACGCGTTTTTCACTGACTTCTGATGCTTATTTCGCTGTGATATTTTCAGATGTCAAAATATAATGTATAAAGATGATAAAGCAACAAAAAACAGAAAAGGTGAAATTTGGAAAAAAAACGCGACTTTTCGACCCGCGTCTCCCCTTAAGATGCGTTCAACACTACAGTGAGGCAGATAGTTCATGAAAGCTCCAGCAGTTTTGCAGCGATTCCTTCGTTGATATTTAGCAGTTCTTGTGTCTTGTTTTTTGCTGTTTTCCGGAGACTGTGACTTCACTATGTGACAGAACCTGTCTCTTCGGCTTTCAAAGCCAATTCATCTGCTGAAGTCAGATCAGCAACTGTTGCTTTTAGCTTCACTTTCTCTTTGAATTATCGATTTCGTCCACCACAAGGCGCCTTTTTGAATCATTCGCTTCCTCTTGTTGCTTCCTTTTCTGCTCTTCCAAATGCGCATGGTAACAATGTTTTGCAGATGAAACAGAGGTCGTCAGTTCCTTTGTTATAGGAATGTTAAGGATGACACCTGCCTTATCAACAGCGTCACATATAGCACGTTGCATGATGTACGACAGGCTTTTGAGGTTTTCCACAGAAACTTGCTTGTTTACACTAAACCCTCTCTGAACAGTTGCCTGGCCGTGGCTCAACACAAGCAGAAGTTCCACTACTCTCCACAGCACACTGTACGATGAGTTGAACTTGAGGAGTTATAAAAGAAATGTATCTAGCCTATCCGAACTCTTCGAACAAACGCAGCTTGTGCTTCTCCATATGTAGCATTTCGGCATACTCAGCAAGAACAGTGTCTCGACGGTAATCAGTCAACCTTTCAGCAGCGATAAGCGCATTCAAAACATTCTTGAGACCTGCTAAACACTGGTCTGGCTTGGTGCACATTTGCCGAGGATCCAGAGAGGAGAGACCTCTAACCAAGGGGAACTTCAGAGAACTCTTCTGAAGAACCTTTTTCGTCACACTGAGAAGGAATTGCTTACATTCCATTTTAAATGCAATTGCCTCTTTTGCACTGACCTTAGACTTCTTCAAAATTTGCTCAGCTGTATGCCCAATGTCAACTTTCCCAAGTGCAGTGTGATTGTTCACGCCTTCAATGTTGATTTTCAACAGGCCTGTCAGCCCACAGTTGATGCAGAGAGAACTGAGCACTTCAAAAACTTAGTAAGCAACTTCCGTACAATTGCTTCAAGATCCCTTGCGGGAAAGAATACAAGTGGTTAGTCCACCTGATATTCCGCTAGGAAACGTTTGAGAATCAGTGCAATCGCAAGGGTGAAGTTAGGGCAAAGTTCAGTTTTGCTTGAATTAGCGGGCCCCACAGAAACTTCGCAAGTTCTGAAACGAAGCGCATTTTGGCTGGTTCACCTCTTTACGTCTTGCAGACTCGATGTACATTGCCACATCAGGCCACAGGGCCAGTGCACGTTCAATCACAAACGTTTTCGACCCAGCGATGGGCAACATACCTGAGAAGAAACGTCTTCCCAGCAATCATTGAGAAATCCTCTCGCCGGGCTTGGGAGTCTTGAAATAACACATCTAGACTAGACAGGAGAATGTCCAATCCCCACTTGCTGGCAGTTACACCTGCTCTGTATGCGTTGTGCACCACGTGTAGACCACAAGTGCCTAAATCAAGGCAGTTTACCCGATAGTTTCATGCAAGTGCTTCTGAAAAATTTCAAATAAATGTTTGGTCCGTCCATAGAAACTTGAAAAATCTTTGCAAGTAGTAATGGCTCCAGTGCTTTAAACAATTCATCTTCAATGTCATCCCGCCGTTGCATGGCCCATAAAAATGGACGTCAAGTACCTGGTTATCTTTTGAGATGAATCCCAGTATCTGATGTGAACGCCCATCTGCTTCTGGTGGAGGTAACCATTAGCGGAAAAAAACAAAACCACGTAGCAATCACACTTCTCTATTGCCCGGTAAACGGACGATAGAAAGAAGGGGCCCAAACCATGGCACGCAAGGTACGCGCACTTCTTTTCTCTACACGTAAAGACCTTTGCCACTTTGCTACCGGGAAACATTTTCCGGAACAGTTCGTTTATGTGTGCGGATGAGCTGTACGAGTAATGTGAGGTAACAACCTTCAATGCCCACAATATCTCGGCTTCGATTGCTGCATCGTGGGCCTCGCACGCGGTATTCAAATCCAAAGACTGCGTCGGGACTGAACGAACGGATTCGCCACTCTCGCGGGGTGTTACATACTTTATCAAGGAGCTACTTGCTGCGTCCTTCGGGTTGCCAATGTGCTTTGCACTCCTCCGGTGGCTTTGAGACATCGAATGTCTTTGCACATGGTCTGCATCTAGCCCGATGTGAACTCATTGAATCCGGTGTGACCCAGTCTTTGTACGTAACGTGGCTGAGCCACGATTCCTGGAAATCGCACTGCCCATGAATTGCGCACAAACACAACTACGTCCAACGTGCACGGCATAAAACGTACTCCGATGAAGCAAACGAGAGGTGGCAAACAAGCGGGCTAAATATCCATCGCCGATGAAAAACGCACACACAATATGGCAACACGAGTGCTGATGGCAGACTTGTGGCGAATAACCGAATCAGATTGGATTGGCTTAGATCGGAAGGAGACCTACGACCACTCTCAATGTGGCCGGTTGCTAAACGAACACTCGGCACCGCTGAAGTACATAAACCTTTCACATTCTCACGGTGTTGTTGGCGGTAGTTGTAGTATGGTCCCTAGAATATGTTGCTAGTCTGCCGTCACCATGAATGGCCGCATCCGCGCCGATGATGCATGCTCCGCAGTTACGGCCCTCCAATCGATCGGACCGCCGTGACCGCGGAGCATGCATAGTGGGCGCGGACGCGGCCTTTCATGGAGACTGCAGACTAGCCAGTATTCGAAGTATTCTAGAAACCGTAGTTGTAGGAGGAAGAATGAGAAGTCTAATTTCTGCAGCCCATAAGGGAGTGCGGCGCAGCGTCTCACGGTGTGATCTAACAGCGACAACTGCCCCCTTTCCAGCTCCCTCTCAAGGGCAGCCAGAGTCTGTCCCGCAATGTTCTTCCACACTTATAAGATTTACAGAGCCACTAACATTTAACATTGGCCACGCACCTTTCAGCGAACAATGTGTGAACGCGATGCATTTTTTTCCCCTCCGCTAATCGCCCGTTGTTAGTGAGCGGGGGACGCTGTTTCACCTGGCACGGAGAAAGCGTTGGCAATACATGGATACCGGAAACAAATGTTACCCAATAAGATTTGTCGGCCAAGCTTCAATGGTTGTCGCTGCTTAACAAAAGAAAAAAATAATCTAGAGACTTTAGGCGCCGCGGACGGCATTCAAGGGTTTTCAAGCACCACAATATTCAAGGGTTGTCAAGGAACCGTGCAGACCTTGTGAAAGAAGTCAGCATCTGACTTCATGGTGATGTCACCACACATTTCCCTTTGTTACAGTTACACACATACCCACATGCCTAAAATTCTGGCAAGGAAAACTAATGGAATGCTCGCTACAGTATAAGCATCTATGGAATATCTGAATACTAACTACACAACACGCACCTTCTTTTCCTTCATTGTTGGCAGTCGCCATGACATCCTTTTCATCTCCACTTTTGGCATCAGAGTCTTTTGCACTTGAAGCTGATGAGAGAACGCAAAGATGAGGTTGGCTACTGTCAATATGCGGGAACTTTATGCAGGCAGTAGTTAGATGCACAAAACATGGAACATATGCTAGGGGTACAAAAAACCAGATTAGTTACACTGGTGCACATACCAACACAGTCACAAGAAATTTGTAGCTCTTAATATCAGCTACTATATTTACTCGCACGATTTGTGCACCCATAATATTTTGCCAGCTTTGCTAAAAAATATTTACTTGCATAATTTGCACTCGCTGACCAGCCCGAGCCAGCCCCCCGGCACGCGCACACCTCGCCAAGCAGACAAGTGCAGTCAAACAAGCTGCGAGTGCGAAGTCCCTTCTTTCGAGCCCCGAACTAGAGTCCCTAGAGTACAGTGCTCGAACACTCAAATGTGCCGACGGGTCACCAAATGGCTCAAGCGTTTGCCTTCCCCTATCTCTACCACCGCAAGAATGCTCACTCAGGTCACTGCACGGACTTTTTGCACCGCAGGCACGCAAAGGCCCGACGCCCAGTCGCGCTAACTGTTCCCCTCATTCATTGCATCTGCGCTGCAATGCATACTTGGTATTCAAAAGTTACGGTTTCACCAACCGACTGACACGTTTTAGATGTACTACAGTAATTATATATACAGCGAAATTGAATCGTGCTGCCGCTAAGCACTTCATGGTCAAGCACTTCATGTGACAATCGGCGCGAGTACCGATCCTAACCTCACTGAGCCCCATTACATCCCATTCAACACCCTCTAGCTCCTCGAACAGTACAGCTATACTTGCCTCACTAGCACACTTGTAGAACCTCCTAAATGTAGAAATTACGCTGCAACTAAATCATTGCAAAAATGCTACAAACCTTTAGCTTTGTCAGCTGTAGCTTTGGGCTTGACAACTTTCTTTGTGACTGGAGCCTTTTTCACGGGAGCCTTAGCCTTCACCGGACTTGGTGAGCTTTTATCCGCAGCCGATGTTTCAGTGGACTTTCCCTCTTTACGAGCAGAGGCAGCAGCAGCTCGTGCCTTAGCCTGGTTTTTAGCTTCCGACCTTTTCAGTGCACCGCCAGGCTCATACTTGGTCTGAGACAAACACGCACAAATATGCAAGTCAGGTCTTGACTACACAAATGGAGTTTATTGCCTCTCTTAACTAGCCTGGAGTCTAACTTCGATCATGCCTCTTATAGAGTAATCAGGGGCAACATTATCTGCAGTCATAATAAAATAGGCACGGCCAAAGGCACCTCTGCGATATTAGAAACATACCCAAGTTCTACAGTCCCATCATTCTGCTTTTTCCTATAGCCTGTTCAAAACAAAGTTTCAGAGCCCCTCAAATCTGACTGAAATTGAGCCAGAACGTACTCTATGACACCAGATAAAATTGACAAGACTCAATTATAGTGAGAAAATGAAGCTTTCATTCTTCAATCTGACATGGGGCTTACATCCTCACATTGTGAGTCAGGGATTCAAAATAGCCCACCTCATCACCGGGCAACATACCGTGTTTACTCATGTAATGAACCCACCCGCATAATGAACCCCACCCCCACCTTGGCCTTGAAAGTTTTTTGCAATGTACCTGTTCACTTTATTTCGTAATAGCCAGTCTGTTGTGGATAGAAACAATGTTACATCGTTCTATTATATCACAAAATAACAATGTAATAAAATTCAAAACAGTTTTGCAACCATGCTAAACAGTTGCGAGTAGAGTGAGCGCGGACGTCAATCAAAATTTGAAAGTTGCGCCTTTTATGGCAAAGCCTCATCTGTAGAATGCAGGAGAATACTCTGCACGCCGCGTGCTCGTCATCTTGAAGGAAATGCAAAGTGCAACCGCGCCGACGGCGTGTTGTGCACCCGCAACGTTTGAGCGCCACTATTCGACGCTGCGTTTTATTGTGATAGCAATTATATATACACTGTCTGCTGGGTTTTGCCGCCGACGTCGGCGTCACTCACCGTTTATGTATACGTATCTACATATATGGAAACTCAAGAAAAAAAAAAAAGCTACCCCGGCTCAGCGCCTAGCTTATCTGGATGCACCAACACATGCTTATCTCCCACTCCTAATTTGTCCCAGGGATGGCGGCTAAATGCTTGTGCTGCACGCTTATCTTTTGGTGGGAAGAATCAGGCACCTTCGGCTTTGACCGGAGCGATTCTTTGCTCGCTGGAGAGTTTGCGAAAAGAGCGTGCTTTTTAAACACAGCAAAACAATAACTGGAACACTTGTTTGCAGTCATCTGTACCTGTGATTACGTTTAGTGTATCGTTTTTGTTTAAACAGCGGGTTACAAGCGGTAAGCGCTGTTAGTTCGCGGTCATCCTGTGTGTGTGTTTCCGTGCATCATGTGTTTGTTAACAGTACACTGCACGTTTCAATCTGCGTTACATTCCGAGTTGTTGTTATCGCATTCATTTCATCGCCCTTGCGGCGAAACTGGCTTCTTTGTTGCCGGGTTTGTTGACGTGAACTTAGTTGGGACACATCCTGTGCAGGGTGGTTCGGCCGGTATGCTAGCTACACGGCTGGTTACAAACAGCATGCCCTGGAGCATCGAATCGAGCAACTCGACGACACTTCGACGTTGATCCGTGCGCTTTTGTTGCGGGAGGAAACAAAAAAAGCTTCGAGCAAGAAATAAGATGTGTCGTGCATTTCATGGGCCCAAACAAGCAGAGCCGTCAAGCAAAATTTTCGCTGTTTTAACTCCCGTAACTTTTTTTTTCTCACACGTAATGACCCCCCCCCCCCCCCCAAATTGGCATGAACTTTTCCAGAAAAAAAAGGGGGGGGGGGGGAGAGGGTTCATTAATCGAGTAAATACGGTACCTCGGTACTGCTCAAATTAAAACGACTCATTCCTAGGCCTTATAAGCTGTTAAAGCACTTTACCCCTAATTCGCCTTATTTTTAGTTTGTTATGTTAATTAAGTCTAATGAAATATTCTATAAAGTGTTTTAGTGCATTACTAGCGACACTTCTGCTGGCTATATCGTCGAAGTAAAAGTAGTAAAATAGATGTTTACAATGTTTGGTTCAGTTCAACCGCGTCTGCTGTGTTCATGTGCTCAGAGAGCGTGCCTCATTTCGAGACCCCCCTCCCAAGACGTGAAACACAAACTATGCTGGTGCACATCTTCATCTTACGATTGGTTAGACGTTTGCTCTTGGCGACGTACAGAGAGAAATTAGGATAGTTATAGTACATTTTTTTGTACCACATAGAATTTTGGAGGATAGCAACTGAGGCCAGCACACCCATTAAAGAAGCACAGACATCAAATTTATTCATGCCAAGATTTTTGCGTTGGCGGTTAGCTATAGCGATTCACGACCTAAAACGCGACTGAGGGATGAATAATCATCACTTTTATTGATTATATCACTGGTATCTAGCGCAACTAAAATCAGCCGACAATCCCGCCATTTTTAGCGCTGAGAGCACTAGCAGTGACGCTACGTCACGGTCACGTCCAGATCACGCCACAGCTGCCCACTTCTTCACAGAAAAGAGTGACGTCAGGCTCAGCTGCTCTGCAAACATTTCCTCTGCTACGCGGACACATTAATTGATGCTTTGTCACCTGCATTGCTGTCGTCGCCGTACAAAGTGTTGACTCTGGTTCAATACGATAGTCTGGACCTTCGAATTTCCGTGATTCACGATGTCGCGAACTATTTTTGCTTCGATCAACCTTTTGCAGAACAGTGATTCCGAAATGGACACCGTTCCAAGCAGCACTGCAGAGGTGCCCGAGGACGCACGCTTCAGCAATGTTCGCTCGTGTGCCTCAGTTATCTATATTGGTGCGTTAAAGCGTGCAAAGCATTGAGGTATACGCAGAGGGGTCAACACAGTATAGCTATCATGAATGAGCATCAGCAAAGAAATAGAACAAGTTTCTTGCTTGCCAGGTTCTTTTTTGCGCCTCTAGATGGCCCAACCTACCTAGCCTCTGGCGGTTAACACGGTATTACCAGTTTTACGTGGACGCAGTCTACAGATGAACTAAAATTCAACGATACCGGTGTGTTACTTGCTAGCGATATCAGACTATACGCTGTTCCACTTTTCATAGCTTGCGGTCGTGTTAATGTCTAACACATACGTGATATGAAAAAAGACACCCTCATCGCACTTTTTCCGGGCTTCGAACTAGACGACTGCAACTCACGATTACCCGACATGCTGACGGAAAAACACACGTTTAATCATGCTCTTTTCTTTCGCCAATCTTTTAAAGGTGGTTTTTATCTTGATAATTTTACGAAATCATTCTAACCAGTGCAACGAAAATCAAACGCGACGAGCGAGATAAAGAAACATGAGAGTGGATCTTGCTAAACAAGACCATGTTAATAAACACTAACAAAAATAGCTAATTAACATTTTTCCAATTAGTACCATCTATTCATACTAATAATACACACCAATTGTGACTACCAACACCTGGCAAACCGGGACCATGCTAATTATAACCTTGTTAATAAGCTAAGCCAGCCACTCTGCCGTTTAGTCTTGCAACATTAGTGCAGGGTGCTTCAAACTTACAATTTCAGTTTCTCAGTTCATTGCTCTTATTTTTATTTTCCTTTTTATGCAGTTAGCTGAAAATTGTATTCATGTGTTTCTACTGTATATGGTTCCCGACAGTGGCTCTGTAATGTTGCAAGTCATTAAAAGAAATCTCATTTTGTCACAGGTTCCAATAAATGTGCTTAAAAACAGTAATTAAGCCAAGTAAGGTCTCATAAAATCGATGCTAAACGTAGCCAAATGAGGGCTTTTGATACAGTTTTGGTCTTTTCAAGAAGAGTTTCTTGGTGTACCTTCTCCACAGAAATGGTCTTGCCATGAAGCTCCGTGCTGTTCAAGTTTTGGACACACTTGGTGGCTTCTTCCACAGTGCCCATAGTGATGAAGCCATAGCAGCGAGCACCTGGTGTCCTTGCATTTGTAACAATTTTGGCTGCCACTACCTGCAGTTAAGTGTCCAACAGCAGACCACAGAAATCAATCCTCGCTCACCAAACAACTCTCATTAGCATAGCACAGCAGACAACGTAAGCTATTTTGTGCTCACTTAACCACCCTAATTTAAATTTTACTAAGTATCACATCATACAGCCAACGTCCGATTTCCCGGACACCTGAAATTCCGGACATACCCGATTTCCCGGACTCATCTGTGGCACTGTCAAGTTCCCCATAGAGTCAATGTATTAAAAAGTCCGAAATTACGGACGCTTATAGCCTTTGGCATCCGATTCCCCGGACTTCTTATTGTTAACCGCCAACCCAAAGTCACCACCGGCGCCGTGATTTTGGTTGTTTTGATATTCTCGAACCCACTGTACTCTCATCGCAGGTATGGGCAGCAGCGCCGCCGCCAACCGCCGCGCCTGCTGTAACTTCGAAACCGCACGTGTCAATTTGTTACCAGCCGTAGCTTAGCCAAGCCAAACCTAACTGTGTTCGTTCACGTGTTGTTTTGTCAGCTGTGCGGTTGATCGTTTGCAACGCTGTTAACCTCAAGTCTGCCGTCGGCATGCTAGCGTAATCATGTAAGGCGGTTACGCAAGAGACTCCGGGGAACTGCGGAACGCTATGTGGGCTTCACACTCGATGCTGAGACAACAGTCTCGCCCCAAGTGGACAGCGTGTGTGACGAACTGCCATCCGCAAACGTTGCCTTCGACGATCTATGCGCTGCCGGCGTGTCGATTCCAGCTGGGATAACCTTTGAGGGCTTCGCTGACAAAGGCCTCGAGCTATGTGCGGACTTGACCGATCATGAAATCATTCGTCAAGTTACAAAGGATTCCGACGACTGACACCAAGAACGAAGAGCCATCTCCTACACAGCCAACGAGCTCAGAGTTGATGCGAGCACCGATGACACTGTCATCAGTGTACAGTGGACATCGACTGAAATTGAGGCCGACATGATCGCGTCAAGCGGAACGCCGTGCAAAAGAAAATAGGCGACTTCTTTGAGTCCAAGTGCTGACCTATGAGGTAGCGCCGGGCACGTCGAATGTTTTTTTTATATAAATGGTCGTTTTTAGAGCCATCCTTAACAACTCATTGGCTGAATCGCAACGATATCTTGTACTTCGGCCATTAACCCTCTCAGTCAGCGAAAAATACCTAAAAAAAAAGTGCGTTTTCACGTGCATTAGTTTTTCCGGACTTTTTCGCGGCCCCTTGAGGGTCCGGGAGATTGGACGTCGACTGTAGCAGCTTGATCTACCACCTGAAATTTCCTTTTTATTTCTCCAGCAAAAATTTAACTCAACAGTTTCTCTAATCTACCCTTTCCCCTTTCAATGTTAAAATACTGATAATTCTGTAGATTGCTGCTCATCAAAACAGTTACGCACACAAACAACCTCCAATAAAGTCAAGCGAGACAGGTAACTTATACCACAAGCTTCTGCTGTACAAGGACACATTTCATGGATGCTACTGGGGATAATGATTACATGAAGAGTGAACCAGGCAGCCCAATTTAAAACTTCTATGCTCCTACTTAAATTAAAACTTGTTTGTTTTCTAGATTTTCACAATTCGACAAACATTACCACATACATACCAACAGGCAGACCCGAAATAATGCTGACAAAACGTTTCAATACCAGGACTGTCCACACAATCATGCCAGATCAATTTCGATATTTCATCACAGCACTTGAGGTTTTAGTTGCTTCCATAACCACAACATCTTCAACTACTGTTATCAGAAAACTAATTAGAGAAACGAATCTGTTTCTTGCCTTGCCGTGTTTACTGAAGAGTGCCTTGAGATCAGCCGCTCGCGTTGTCGATGACAAGTTGCTCACCCAGAGATTTCGCCCACTCGAGGCAGGTGTGACTACCTTCTTCGCATCCCCTAGAGATGACACGGTGAATGCAAGCTCGTTAAATGCACAGCAGCTTGACTGAGCGAGCGAGAGTTGATAAATTTGTGCCCAGAGACTTACCTTTGTCAGTCTTTGCAGTCTTTGAGGTCGCCTTCCCCACAGCACTAGTAGGAATCCACAAAAGAAAAGGGTGAATGCACTGGAAAGGCATTTCAGCACTCGCATTTCATAAGAAAACGCACAACTTAAAATGTGAATGACGTTAGAATATGTTTCTGGGCAGATTGGGCAGTAAGGAACCTAGTGGCGACACCGTTCAGCAATCTCCTCTAATTAACGCCGCTGTCTGGTGATGGAGAGCAGAATCCAGTAGTTTTCAATGGAAGCGAGGCAAAGCTTGACATCTTCATGCTGTCAGGAAAACGCTTGCAGGAGTCCATGAAAGAAGGCCAGACGCAGTCTTCTTGTAGAACAGGATCTTCGCTTCACAGAATCCTTATCTAGGAGTCGCCGATAACTTCCAAGTACTTTACTAAATGACAGTAAAAAAATTAGCCTCCCCAGATCCTTTACATTATGGTTCCTTGCTGCAGAACCATCTCCCCTACATATAAAGTTACACACACACTGTTATGCAAAACTTAATTTAGCTGACAATATTTCGTGCTGAAATCGTGTAGCAATTCTGAACTGACCGCACAGATGTAATATTTATATTAGCAAATACCGCAGCCTTCTTCAAACCATGGAAACAACCCATTGGCAGCCAGTGCCTCTGCGAGTTATGGCAAAAAGGACACCATCTTGAGTAATAATCTTCACGAATGGTCACCGCACCAACAGGATTCATCTTGATTTCGCTCCCAAAGCACTGTGTGGAAATGAACAGAAGGTGTAGCTGGCCCACTCTGTGTGCTGAAGAAATCAGTTGGGAAGAAAACTCAATGCTCTGGAGAGAATCTGGCGAAGACGAGACCACAAATGCAGTGGGCTGGACAGACCTCACGACGCGGACTTCACATTTCGTCTTCTTGTAACCGGTACCTCATCCAATAACCACGTTACATTAAAACTGAGGGTTCCCTTTGCCCTTTGGAGATGTAACCACAGTGGCATTATTATTATGCCCGTTGGCACAATGATGACTGCAAAATCCTCAATCCGGGCAAATCGCACAGTGCGAACTCCATCCACCGCCAGGTTCCAGTGCCTTGCCCCTGCACCTTTTTATTTCGCCCCATGGACCCGATGACTAGGGATGTGGCTGTGAGCGTAACAGCAGCTGCAATGCAGTCCACGTCTACGAGGAAGTCCCACCAGCAGTGTGCCTTCCCCAGATGGTAAAAGCATACTTTTTTTTAAGAAGTGTTATACGCACGCACGTCAAGACCAACCTCTTTGCAGCAGCAGCCTTAGCAGGGGCGGTGCCGCCGTTGCTGGTAGCTGACGGTGCGGTTCCAGTGCCGTTGGCAGTCGGTGGCGTGGTGGCATCATCATCTTTCTTGCGTTTCTCTGTGCCGCTATCTCCCCCTTGCCCTCCTTCTTGGTCCTGCTTTGGGGAAGAGCCGTCGCCGGTTGAAGCCTTGTCCTGCTCCTTTGCAGGGGTTGCCTTGGCACCTTTCTTCTTGGCGCCAGTAGTGGTGCTGGCCAGCTCAGCCGATGGGGCGGCCGCTGCGGAGCTGCTGCCGTCGTCTTCCTGTTGGGAGGCTTCATCTGCAGGAAGGCAAGGGAGGAAAAAGGATGGAGCAGCAGCACAGCCTTGCCTGCCGCCTCTTGCACGCTGTAAGCCCACGGTCAGCTAGCTGAGCACCCGCTGGCCACCCTGCCACCAGCTCGAGGCACAGCCACTCTTGAAGACTGCTCAACTGGAGAAACACTCACTACAGCCTCATCAACACCAGTAGCATAAGCGAAAGCCTTTCCCCACCATTTGCCGTCATACATATCACCTACTTTATAAATCTCTCGTCACAAAGGGGCTGCACACATGTTGTAGGGAAGCACACTAACAATTCAACTGCTATGACTTAATGCTGGCACCTGATCAAGTTCATTCAACCTGTTTCCCTACATCTTTTTTACGTGTCTTTATTTAGGAATTAAGAAAAATTAACAGCAATGGTCTAGCTACAGCCTGATACTCCCAATACTACATGCGACTTTCTCAGCTCCCAGCAGGTGATGCCTAGCTGTGCGACGGGACCACGGTGCAACCTGTCTTCAGTAAGTGCATGACAAAGGTGGCCACGTAGGTGTACAAGACCAATCACGCCTGCAAGGCTGGCCTCCTCAGCAGCTGAAAACCTTGAAAAACAAAGTGCGACGCCACTCTTCAAATAAACAGTGCCGCCCTCCACCAGGTGCACAGTTGGCAAGGAAAAGCTTCCGATATGATTGAGAAGCTTCACAGCACAGCTTTGATGCCTTGTTGAGGACTCCTCCATCGATGGGGTTCTGCCAAGACAAGTTGCAAGATGATCGATTGCCTGGTGGCGCGCCCAGGTCACAAGGTTGTAGCTGCTGACTGGTAGAATGGGTTTTTCTGGCGAGTAACTGTTTACTTTGTGCAATGCTTCAAAAGAAAAGAAAGCAAATGTCTTTTCATAAAGGTTGGTGCCTTACCTTTTGATTTGTCAAAGTTCTCCTCCTGAAACACAGAAAAAAAAATCTAAGTGAAATGCTTGCAAAGCAGAGGAAGTATACACTGGCTAGTTCCTTATCCTGATAAAAAGAAGTTGGCAACAGTAAAAGGTCATCAGCAAAGGAAAACATTCATCTAGAACCCGAGAACATATACCTCTTCATTTAGCAGTTTCTCTTCATCTTCAATAGACAGCTGCAGAGCATCAGCATCCATCACTTCAGAACTGCCCTCCTAGTAAAAGAAAGTAAAAACATTTTAGCAAAGCTGACCTTAAGCTATGCCAAACACAATGGGATTACATGCCTATAAAGGACAACAAATAGCCTTTTCAAGTGAGCATTCGTTTAAAGTAGGCCCATGAAGCACGATCACTAGCCATTATCTAGTTTATCTAAAAAATAACACTGCAGCTGTGCAAATAGCAATGTTTTGGGTGCAAAGCGAGTTCAAATACTAAAGCTTGAGCGCAAATACACTCGAACCTGTTTAAAATAAACTTAAAAGTGCCACAATAAGTGATCATTATATCAGTAAATCGTACATAAACTCGCCCATAAAAAAACCCTCTTAGCAGCTAAATATATATATTTTTTGCATTTTTATTAAAAAATGCCAGCAACACCACTACTGACAAGTTAGGCCTATTTGCATGTTAGCCACTGCCCGTTCACACACCAATAACTTAAAGCATGTTGGCAAACAACTCGTGCCGTTCCACTGAAGTGCAGTACCGCCCCGTCAAACTAATCATCCCTGGCTAGTTGCGTAGCATGCCGGGCTGCTTGCAGTCTAATATTTGCGCACATTTGTGCGTTCTTCATGCTGTACCGCCGTCGCTCCACTCAGTTTAAACACGCACTGCCGACAAGATATCATGATAAGGTTGTCAGCAATGAGTCAAGATTGCATGTTAATGGCCACTCTCCACATCACCTTCGTTCTTCTCCTATGCTTATTGGTAAGGCACCACAGCAAGCGCGCAGAAGTCGTCATTGATTGACCGGTCCCTACTGTTACCAAAAGGTGGAAAACCTTTTGTATCACATTGTGGTGCTGGCAGGTTGAGTGTTGCAATGAACTTTTATGCAAAAAAAAAAACGGCAATCAAAAAGGCAAAAAGGTATCACTTTTTACATTTATGGCTTCTTGCATTTGAAGGCAGTGTTTGGCTAATCAACGGTAGTAGTAATGACGAGAACAGCATCAGAAAAGTTTGCAGTGAGGAAACTGACTGCGAGTCTTCATGGTGCCCCCTATTTTTATTCTTTTTTTGTTTTCCCCTTCCCTTTCTGCATGCGATGCTCGCCACTGTCTTCAACATCTTTCTTGCAAGTTAAACTGCAACGGGGCATGCAACTACACATGGTTTATTTTTTTCGCTTCATATGCACTATACTTTTAAAGCGACCGTGTCGGAAGTGTTCGTTGTAAAAGTAAGAAGCTTTGAGAAATGTTTGCTGTATGTGGACGCATTTTCAAAGGTTATCAAGGAAAAATAAATAAGTGCACCAAAATATGGTCGTTATAAACAATATAGCGTTATATCTAGGATCATTATAAGTGGGTACAATTGTAAATCATTTTTAAATTGCTCTGCCCAGACTTCCTAGAATTTTTTCCTATTCCAAACACTCCTGCTTTCATAAATTTAAGCAGCTCACCAATGTCGCGCTCATGTGTGTTATAGAATGGAATGGGCACCACGACCACCTTCACGACAAATGCATGCATGCAGTACAGCAAAAGGCCAGACATACCGTGACGGGGTAAGCTTAGCTGGCGATATTCGGCGCACAACTTTGACCATAGGCTTTACACCGCAGCAAATGCTGCATATCGGCGAAAATTTGACATCGTTGTGTAAAGCCCACACGTATAAGGCACAAAGCTGGACGAGTCATTCGCCCATCTGCCATGGTCATTGCTTCCAAGCACTCCATACAAGAAAACCATGATCGTTCTTGTGCTTTGTTGGCATCAGTGGCACTCATCACAAGACACAAATTTACATACTATCTAAAAGGGGAGCTCGCAGCAGGTACCAAATGTGCTCACAAGAACTTGGGCTCACACCAATATGCTTGATAAGTGTACTGAGAGGCATTAAAGCTATTTCGAATGAAGCTGTAGCGATTTGACCGTTTGCGCGAAATAGAAACGCACGATTAAATTTCTCTGGACTGCTAGATTTTTAAAAACAATTTTGTGATCCTTAAGAAGTTCGAATAGTTTACAGTGCAAATTGAATAGAATAGTTACCGCTATTCGAGAGATATTCAAGAATTTTAATATTTGCACTCCCCTAGTGTTTACACAACAGAACTGAACACAATTGTGGTTCCTGCTTTTAAACCTGACAGCATTGGACATGAAAAATAACTAATATTTCCTTGTAGCAGCACACTAAACATGCCCAAAGGCTGTTATGTTACCTTCTCGCCTTCCACTTCTTCCGCTTCATCCACTGTTTCAGGTTCAGGTTCAACTTCAGGTGCCTTTTCTGTGTCAACAATGTGAAAAGTTTGTGAAGTGCGTATGCACTAACAAATGACACTTTGCATGCAAGAAGCTGTGCACAGCTCTGCCCTAAAAAGCATTAACAATGCCACAACTTCGTTTCTTTTAGAAAAGTCAGTGATGAAGTCAGCCACAAGACTTGAAAACGCAAGAGCACTGCCAAGCACGAAGACCGTTGACAAGTTATTCAAGTGCTACATTTAATAAATATTAAATTTAAGTCATTGGCTGAGCATAGTTTTTACACAGGGGCTCCTCTATGAAAATCATTAAAGCTTGCAATATTTCCTTCAGTATGCCTCTTTTTTTTTGCATTTAAGGAACAAAGCTGCAGTTACTCAGTACTAAAACAACAGCAGCGGCAGATACCAATAGCTTTTGTCGTATAGTACTGCTTCGACCTAAAAACTGTATTCATAACTATGATTAAGCAAATACATCATGCTTAGATTTACTTCAACATGACTCCGCCCACTGTGGTAGCTCAATGGCAGCGACAGTGCCATTGAGCGCATTGTTCTGGCTCGAGCACTAAACCACATATGTAGCCACGCTGGGCCCAATGAGAAAAAGTGCGCACAGCACGTACGGTGTGCCCACTAATAAGACGCGTGCGAGTGTTACCACAGACACCCCCATACTGTGGCAAGCCTCATTGTTGTGTTTTTGCCATGCAAAGCCCTAGAAGTTCATTTCTATGCCTAATCCCAAGTTACTGCAGCAGCACAGTGTGTCATAACCTTTGCATAAGAGACAGCCCACACTTTACACATGTGAAGCACTCCAATGCTCACATAAACATAGAACACACTGCAGTTGATCCAGAAAAGCAGCATGCAAGAACATAAGCAAAAGGGGTTAGTATGAAATTCTTGGCCCCTCTACTAAAACTATTGCTTCAGCAAATTTCAGCACTCCAGCAAGCCTTTGGTACACTTAGTATACCAATTGACTTTAACAAAGCTATATCATCAAAACATAATAAAAAAACGGCACCCTACCTACATCACCTTTCTCATTTCCTGAAAGAAAAAAGTGGTATGTGTAGATAAGACCATAAAACCCTGCATTACATACATAAGAAGAGTGTGCCGATGGCAATATTTATGCACTTTACATGTATGTAGAGCTACATCCTTTTTGTATTATTATAAAGCTGACCCGCGACACATTATTACTGAGGCATTGGAGAGGTTAACATACACAATTTCATTTGTTACTTGCATCATTTTCAAACAAAAGCAAACATACAAATGTGCATTTAATGGCTCTCTAAAAAACCAAGCAACCAATCTACATACAAAAAATGAAGAAAAAAAAGAGAAGTATTTTAAAATGCAAGCTGAACAGCAGAGCTACTTAAAGAATACATCAATGTCAGAGCTACTAAGAGAATAAATTAATATAATTATCACAATGCCTCCCAATAAGCCAAACTGCAGCTTTTTAACATTTTGCAATAACCTGCGCTAAGGCACATGTTCAGCTAAGGTATATTTAGATTTCTGCGACGGTCATATAGCCTAAACAAGACAAAGATATGCGGAATCACTAATTATTACTCGTACAATCAGCCTTAAAAAAAAAGTTAATTTAAAAAAATGTTTTGAAACTTATAACTAATCTGTCAGATGCACACAAGTGCATTATTGAATGTGCGACTCTGACATGTATGCAGATAATATCAACAGCCTACATCAACACTTGCCGTGTGCAAAGCACGAGTCATCACCATAAATGGTTCAATGTGTCAATAGAAAGTGATATTAATTTACCGTCTCTACACTAGTAGCTTGCTGCATAAATCTCATTAACAGTATTCTATATGCCCTGTAGATTTACGTATTGATAATGATGTAATAAGTTAATGATATTGGGCATCTGTGCTAGAGGCAGAATTTTTCATTATAAAGGAAGACTTTTCTATACTACTAGACATTCTTACATTTTTTCTTGCTTTATGTAAAGGGGAACCAGCACGATGAACTTGTGCCTGGTTTTCCCACGTTTTTATATTGTTACAAGGTAGGCATCAAAGACTCATGAATGGGACAGCTAAATTTTACAGAAAGCCTACACATTTGCGGTAATATGAACGAAAAAATGACACCCCACCTAATTCAGTATCCTCGTTACCTGCAATAAACAAACAAACAAAAAATGTGTGCTTATGCCTGTTTGCAAAACAAGCGCAGTAATTATAACAAAGTGATACATGCCAGTCTGCAAGACTTGTAAGCTGCTGCTGCTACATTTATTCAAAAGATACATCTATGCTTTAAAAGCTTGTATCAGAATCTGGCAAAACTAAGTAACTTCCAATTTAATTACATTGAAGACTATTTACATTACATTAGTATCAGAATATGGTGAAACTAAGCAACTTATAATTTAATTACATTGAAGAATATGTACATTACATTAGTATCAGAATATGGTGAAACTAAGTAACTTATGATTTAATTACATTGAAGACTACATTACATTAGTATCAGAATTTGGTGAAACTAAGCAACTTTATAATTTGATTACTTTGTAGAATATGTAATTACATGTATGAAAATATGGTGAAACTAAGTCACTTACAATTTAATTACTTTGAAGACTACTTACATTAATACTGGTGAAATTGGGTTTCGTTACAACAAAGCAATTCGTAGAATACAATTTCACACACATTAGGCCAAGTGCAGTAAGTCATAGCACAGATTCTTCCACTTTCTAAATAGAGAATATTTCCGAGGTTTTTACATATGAATCCAACTATTTCATCAATAAAAATGCTGTCTTTTTGCACTGACTGAGGAATGTTCTTATATGTATAAGAGTATAGGCAGTCAATGTCTGTTGATAACTGGTTACATCAAATTGTATAACATCACATTTTTACACCCTTATTGACAGGCGGTGCCTATATCACAACTGTACCATGGATTCCAACTTATCATGAGCTTCACTGCTGAAAAACAGTGTTTGTTCACAATCATTAAATGTGCCTGCCATACCGACTCGGCTAAGTTATACCCAAAGCAACCACACGACATGCTTGTTAGTATGAAAGACAGGCACGATACAGTTGAACATTGTCACATCACAGTAGCGACAACTCTAGTCTTTACCCCCAACCCTCCCAAAACTGTTATAAAATTGTCTTACTCATTTTCTTCGTTGTAGAAGATTCGGCAGGAACCTCAAACTCGTAGGTTTCTGGATCGGCCCCTTCCTCTTCTAAAGCCTAGAAAAAAGAAGAAAGTGAACCACACCAATCATAGTGCTTAGTCTGCTATGTGTGAGCCTCTGATGTCCCCGTCATTCGTGCTGTTACATGTCATCAATCGGCTAATTGCAAAGTTTCGCCACTAAATGAAAAATTCTGGCATCTTTCCAGTGAGACCCAAAGGATGCTATTTGCGCGAACATTTTGTGGAAGGATTACGAATAACATACAGCCATATCTTTACAGCTAAAAGCAACCATATTATTGATATAGCATTAAAGAGCTCGTTTCCCAGAAATTATAGTGGCAGCAGCATTGGCTGTGAGCAAAAAATCATCTCATGTGTGTCCAAAAAATCTAGAAAGATGCAAATAAAATAAATAAAAATTCTCGGCCTGAGTGAGGTTCGAACTCTGGTTGTTTGCGTGGTAAGCAGATGTCCTACCAAAAAGCAACGCATCTGCTTGGAAGTACAGTGAAAATAACTTCCTTTGCTTGTAAAAGAGAAAGTAACTTGCCTACTTTACAAACTAGCGTCCTGCATAATGCCTTACAATGCAACACGTAATATCGCAGTAATAATGCGTGGTACGAGCGTACATTGCGATCGGGCGTCAAACCATGCGATTATCATGACTTCATGGTTTAAAGCGAGCCACCCACCACAAAAAGCACACACGTTACTGTGCCTTTCTCTCAAAGCCACGTTGTGGGCGCATAGCAAGCTCGAAAAGATTTCACACTTATAATTGCCCTTGGTATGAACCATGCTACCGAGACACAATGCAGCCGTACGCGAAAGCTTTACTGACAAGCCATTTTCGAACTCACTACTCACTATAGACAACATATTGCTATCGTGTTCAACTCTTGAAGACGAAGCTCAAGAGTTCCCCATTTTTGAATTAACTAATCGTTCAGCAAATTATTACATTTGTATACTGCTCTTACTTATTACTTACACAGAACTGATAGTCTCTAGATAAAGCTGTAAGCACGAGTGGGTCATATGCAGTACAGGACGTTTATGTATAAAACAAATCCAAGATACAACAATCGTGCCACATGAATCATTAAAAAGTAATATTAAGTGGGAGGAAAATAAAATTTCTTCCATTTTGTTTTTATGTGCTACCAACTATTACCAGAGATATTCACTGAGCTCTTCCCGCCAGGCGACGCCAGTGAGTGCGCCGCCAAAGCTGCGGTCTATTTGCGATACATAGTGTTCATGTGATGTCACTTCCGCCGTTGTCGCCCTCTCCCACCATGCCCAGGTACCTCCCTGGGTACCTACGGCAGTTCGCGTGCTGCAGGGTGGTTTGTTGGGGGCTCGTCGTCTGTTGCTGTGCACGATGTTTAAAGGGAAGCAGTGTGATGTCGCACTTTAACGAGCTCATCGGATCAGGAAGGCCTCATTTGTTCACTTGATACAAGACCAGAAAATCAAGATGTGCGACTTGTATACCAGCCACCGCGTACACCGGCTGCCTGCCACGACCTACGTGGGCCCATTATCTCGCTTTCATTACAAACACTACAAATTGCGTGGCCCAAGAACAAGTAAAAGCCCAAAGTCTCTCGAGCCCCAATTTTAAGAGTGGACGAGCGAAGCGCAGCAGCTCCCATCCGAAACAAGTCGTGCAGAGCTGTGCAAGTTTACAAGAGATATAATAAAAATATGTATATATTGCTGCGGCCCACACCACTTAAGTACAAGCGCCCCTCCCCCCCTCCAGTGTTTTAAACAGGGCTGATGTTGAGCCTCGTTGATTTAAATTTGTGGAAGCAGCCGAGGAAAGTATTATGCGAGGCAGATAGAGGCTTCGCGTGGTGCGTGTTACGGTAATGCCGGTCATCACTTTTTTTTTTCGCATATGTTTTGACACTTTTTTCACCTTGTATTTGTACAATGTAAGGTACAGTGGAGTCTCTGAAAATGACAGAGACCGTGTTAGGGAATCAATTGACCAATTTTTCAAAATCCTGACCCCCAACTCGAACCGATCGGCTATACTTCAAAGTGAACTAACAATTTCGCATCGATTTTACAGTTTGTTTCAATGCAATGCCCGAATTTCCACGATCGCCATCACGATTTTAACCACCTCCCCAGCACGCTGGTTGCGCACGCAGTGGTAGCGGACAAGTTTGTATGTACAGTATCTTAAGAGGTAAGCTATCTCTGTTTGCAGGTAAGTGCTTGCCTATGGCACCTATCGGAAATGAAGTTACACCTGAAGACGCAAGTATAACTGAGTTTCTTCTAGTTTTTTTTTTTTTCTTTTTTTGTTGATCCGTGCCAGCCAAACAAGCCAGTGCTTTTCTGAAAATTGCAATGTGCGTTCTCAATTATAGGTAATGACTTTCGGCGAAGAAACAACCCGAAGCTCTGCTCTCTCTTCGGGGACTACTAAGTCAACTTCCCTCACTAGCAGCCTTTGAACTTGCATCGTGAGGCAAAACTAAACGGGCGCAAGAGGAAGGAGACAACACGGTAGCGGTAGGCGACGGAGTCGGTAGGTATCCGGGCATGTCGGTGGCGCATTTCGGAAGTGATGAAGGGGCACTGGGTGACGCACGTGCACACTATGTATAGGCTTATGGCGGCACGATGTTTGTCAGCGCTGTGCCTCACTAACCCGTTTTCTTCGAAAAAAGATCATTATAACGAGTGTTACTAACAGCTTTGCTTGTGGAACAACAATGTTCATGTGCGAGGCCACAAATATGGTGACTGTCGCGCCTGCACTCTTGCGGATAACATGTGAATACCTGTCATTTCACTGTTACTACGACAGTAAAATATTTTCCTATACTTACTGTTTTGCTACGTGACACTTTTTTGCATCCCAACTATCTTTAGCAAGAGATTCAGGTGCGTTTCTACAAGTTTTGCATTTTTGATTATTTTATTAAATTAAGCTTCGATTCCATATAAGAGCGGCATATTTACGACCGCTCAACAACACATACACAAATATTACAAAAAGCTATTCACCAGTCAAAAAAGAGGCATTCAACTTTTCGCTGCTACATAGAACTGATCGAAAAAAAACCCGCTATGTCCGCACAAATTAAGCGCGGAATCGCACCTAGAAATCACACCACAGCGCTTATTTCGATTGAATCGACGACCACAATGCTTATGAAAAAGCTGTGTTCACATAACCTTGCTTTTTAAAGCACGAAATAACGCTAGTGAAGAAAAAAGGCCTCGCCCTCAGCCCAACTCCATGCTGCGCATGAATTCCTTGAAGGCGCCAACGCGGACGTGGCATCTTTCTCATCTGTTCGTGAGCGCGCTCCGAATTCCAACGAAAGCAAAAAGCCATGAAAATGCCACATAGCGCGCGTGGAAAGCAATCCAGCAGCTGCAGCCACTCGCACACGAAACTAAAAAAAAAAATAAAACAAAAGGCAGCTCGGCATTAAATAAATTGCTTACAGAATGGTTGGAACCGGAACTTTTAAGCCAGCACAACCTCGTACTAACTATCCCTATCTCTGGGCAAAAACGTACTTATGTATAATACCCGAGCCCATAAATGCCGCTTACAGCCCCCAAACACGCACTCATGGACGGCCGCGCAGGCAGCCAAGCGAAGTAGGCCTAGTGCCAACCAGGAAGCAGTTCGCTTTGATGAAGCACGAAAGTGGTTACCTTCGAAAGACGCTCAACCAGGGCAGTTTTACTGCCGCTCTTGTCCAACTCTCGTCCTTCGAGTTCGGCTCTTAGCTGGACAACTTTGAGCTCGTTGATTTTCCTCTTCACGGTCGCACTTCCATCGCCTGCAGACGCCATTTTCGAATGAAGAAGCGATCGGAATCGGATGCTGTCACGCATAGGCCCACGGGATACAGGATGACCGGATACGTGACCGGATATAGCTGACGGAACCAATAGGCGGCTTATCAAATTCATGACGTGTTTTTGAGCATTAACATTGCCTTCAAGATTTGTGTTTAAATTTTTTTCACGCGATGTCAATAAAACAAAACATAAGTTTAATCAAAAATGCATAGTTTTTTGTTATAATTACTTAGTTGATAATGCGCACGCAATTTATGAAAAGTAAAAAATAAGAAATAGGGTACAAGTGCGGAGACAATTAAGACGTACTAATTGGTACTAATCTCGGAAGTATTGGCGTGATCATCTAGCCATAGTGTTTCATACAATAATTATTATTGTAGGGAAATCTATGCATCTCATGCATCTAACATAGCACAAATGAAGTAGTGTATAGGATAGGTGTTCTTTGGTTACCCGCGTGCGTTGCGTGCGAATCGGCAAGTGATATCGTTATTTCGTCGTGCTTCGTCGAGGACTGCTAGTTTTATAAAGTGCACAAACTTAAGTAGAAATATTTACGGTGGTTTCTCTTCTCCGTCTGAGCTAAGATGCACATTTTCGCCTTAACTGCGAGATTGTCAAATTTGAGGTAAGGGAGCTGCGTTTACACGGTGTGAAGGACGTTTGTCGAAGTACGCTTTCCTTGATTAATTTTTTCTCAGGTTAGCGGTGACCCCACAGCGGTTTATACCACCTACTGCCGTTGCGTGGAGGAATTTGCATACCACGGCCCAGCTCAGGTAAGTCGCGATGCTGCAGTGCGAAGTGGTAGCTCTAAGTACGAACGAATTTTCGCAGTGCGGAGCCGCTTAAAAAGAAGAAGCGACTGGACCCGGCCATTCTGCGCATGAGAGAGGAACGAAAGAAGCGAAAGATCGAAAAGGGTATTCGTCAGCTCAAGAAGCATGCCAAAAAGTACAAACCAATCGAAGAACAGGAGGTTGCCCCAAAGCTGCAAAAGGAGCTAGGGTGAGTGTTCAACGGTTGCCTGCATGTAAAGTTCCTATCGCCTTGTTGATGTATTCGACATGCGACAGGCGATGCGGCATATTACATCTAGCTACAGCGACCTGTACTACATCTGTGAGGCTTCGTGACTGCGGTAAGTCAACATTGTGGGAAACGTGAACGGCATTGGCAGTGTAAACTACGTTGCGTTTAGCTTATTTAACGTGCTGGTTGGTACCATCCTGCTGCTTTGCATACAGGTGAACCCCATAGAGATATCTCGAGTACAGTGTAAATCAAACGCGATATCCGACAACGCGTGTGGCATAGAAGACAAAAATGTACTTGTAGCGGCGAGAGAAGAGAGAGATGAGATGACGTCGAAGGCGGCCGATGGGGCCGTGCCGATCTCGCCACTTTATTCTAGGCCTGAAGCGGAGCCACGTCGGCTACCAGCGTCCGCCACGCCAGGCGTGTCAGCTCGTTCTAATTCTCGCGCAGCTCGAGCTAGCGCCAGCTGCGCGAGAGACGCGGCGCGGTGATGGAAAAAATGATGATGGTGATGATGGCACTACAGGGCTCCCCCCCTAGCGCTTTGCGCGGTTTGAAGGCATATGAAAAAAAGAAAGAGGGCGACAAATGCTATGTACGTACATGAACGGCAGTCCATAAAGTGTTCCTTTGGCAAGTCCAGTTTGTCAACGTGTAGTGACCATCGGGAACCAGTGGGTCTCTGGTGGGCGACACTGAGAGTTGCGCAGTGGACGAAGAAGTAAGCGCTCGATGGAAAGAAATCCGTAATGACGGATGGCTCGGTCCCAGAGGTCTTCAATCGTGGAAAGCACCTCTGAAATTTCGAGGTCTCGTGCCACTTGTGATGCGTTTCTGTAGGCGAAAGAGAGGCCGTACTCAGTGTGACGCTGTGAAGCGACGCGTGACTGAGAACGTGCTCAACTGGTGCACTAAAGTGCGGGCTGTAAAGCGTGTCAAACGGGCCCGTGTCGTAGAGGCCGTCGTAGAAGGTGTAGTCACACACGCCGTCCGCAGGCAGCGGCTGCGACTCGTTCGTCGCCGTGCCGAATACGCGGACCACGGGAAATGGCGTCATGGGAGGCTGTGCAGGAAAGACGGGTTCAGTTGTCGCCTTAGTCACTGTCGAGGTATTCGACGCTGGTGGACTGGTGGCAGTGCTTGTTCCCATGCTTTCAGTTGGCTCCACAGTGGTTGTAGTTAGGTCGGTTGACTTGACAGACGTCATAGACAGTTCAGTTGGCTGGTCAGACGTCGTAGGCAGCTCAGTTGGCTCAACAGATGTCGTAGGCAGTTGAGTTGGCTCCACAGATGTCGTAGATAGTTCAGTTGGCTCGACAGATGGTGTAGGCAGTTCGTACGCGGGACACGCGTCGCTAGTGGCCAGACGAGAGGAAGTCGGGAGGTCAATAACGGGTGAAAGGTCACCTGTGCCAGGCTCCGAGGCGGGCGGCAAGGTGGCCGTCATGGAGTCTGGTGGCGCCATGGTTGGTAGCACACATTGCGACGCAGTGACAACCCCAAAGTCGCGGGCCCCTGGAAGCGGTTGATACGTGAGGCCATTGCGGGCGAGCATTGAGGGCAGGCTCTGGCTCCGCGAAGGCACGGTGCTGGGGCCCGTCGTAGACCACGAAACAGAGACAGGGGCGGGGAGCGGGGACGCCGAGTGTGGTCGGCTGCTGGCCGGGTAGGTGCGAGTGGAATGTGGCGAGGCACCCGGCAGGCTATTGCTGGCACCAGTGGCAGGTGGCGGAGCGGTAGGGGGCACCGTCGAGGAGCTGACCAGCAGCTGCGGCGAGGAGGAGGCCGAGACGTCTGAGCTGGTGGTCGCGGAAACGGCGAGGGCCACGGTGTCGCGTGCCGTCGCTTTCTTGGAAAACGTGCAGGTAGCAGGTACGTGTGATGAAGCTCTGCACGGGGGCTCTGAGGGAATGTACCTCTCGGAGGGAAGGTCAGTTGCAGTGGGGGAGTCTTCTACCTCGCGGTCGTGATCAGGTGCAGGAGTGGATGTTTCTGTGACCGGATCAGGTGTAGAAGTAGTCGAAGCCGGGGTACCGAGGTAGCGGTCAGTGGAGGGCTGCGGACCGGTTCGTACCTTGCTCTGCGACGCCGGGGAAACCTGCCTGGTGCGGGTAAACAGAAGCGGACGGTATGTGTTGCCGCTGCGGGCGAGCACCGCAGTGCAGAGGGCATCGTAAGGCTGCGGGCTCGTGCTTGAAGTGGCAGCGAGATGGCACAACTCTACCGGTAGGGCGTCGAGAAGAATGGCGTGCATCAGCAGCTGGTCCGTGATGCCATTCACCGCAAGAACGGCGTCGAGTTGCATAAACCATACCTTTGGGTAGGTCGATTGGAACGGCGGCACTGGCGGGCAGAGTTGCGGGAACATGGCAGCGGGCCGTTCAGCGAAGGGCGTGTTCTCCGGGTCACCAATGTAGCGGCGAGGAGGGGAGGATACGTGAGAAGACGTCGAAGGCGGCCGATGGGGCCGTGCCGATCTCGCCACTTTATTGCAGGCCTGAAGCGGAGCCACGTCGGCTACCAGCGTCCGCCACGCCAGGCGTGTCAGCTCGTTCTCATTCTCGCGCAGCTCGAGCTCGCGCCAGTTGCGCGAGAGACGCGGCGCGGTGATGGAAAAAATGACGATGGTGATGATGGTACATACTCAATGAAACCTTATTCTCCAAGCGTTTTTTTTTCTTTTTCTTATGTGCAGTATAGGCCCCAAGTCATGATAATTAACGTGTACTTTTCATATAGAACTGGTTCAATTCTGTGGCAAAAATGGACGCCAGACTTTTGGCACACACGTAGCGCCACCTGTCGATGCTATTTTGGGTAGTACACTAGCCCAGCTTCCTTGCACGGTTGGCTGCGCAACAAGATGCAGCTAGCGCGCAAAACAACGACTGAGCTAAAAAATATTAGATGTGTTTGCGCATTGAACACTCGGAAAAAGAGCTATGCATTCTCTCCAGTGGTCGGACACTTCAACTAACCGCCATGAAGTGCTTGCTGGTTCACTCGCCAGAACAACAAAGCAAACAGGAGCAGACGCAACAGCTTCGTGCTCTACGAAAGCTCAGTCGACACCGCTGTTGCGATGAGTATTGCCACAGACGTAAATGACTTCAGGTGTACCGATTTCTGTTGCTGTCGCATAGCAGAATGGCGAGAGCGCTGAATGCAAGCCGTTGTGAACATGTCGGGTAAGTGAATCGCTCACGTTCTCCACAGCCGGTCGCATGAGGAAGTGAGTTTTGAGTTGCTTAGACAAAGAACTCGGGTAACTTTGATAATGAACCTCAACAGATCCTCTGACCGCGATACGCGCCATGTTACATGCAGACTGGTGACACCTGCGATAAACATATTGCCCACGCCATGACCACCAGTAATCCGAAGTGGTTGTCACTTTACAGCATCGTGCACATGTATGTTTTGAAGGCTCAAGTTCCGGCTTTAACTAGCAAATTAAATTTTAGCTTGTATGTCATGTAGGTAAATGACAAAATGTTGGTCGTGACCACAATCAGGTTTTTCTTTCCGTTGGTCTCTGCGATTGCTGTAACTGTCTCGAAGGCCTCGGTTTTGCCTATCGCTGTACACTGAGAAAGCGGACAAGCATGTATCCCCATTTGCAGTATATACAACATGAAAGACCGGCCGTCAACAAAACATTCTAGAAATGTATTGTAGAAGAACTTGTTGTTGGGCTAGTTGGTATAACATTTCAAAAAAATTAATTTGAGTGCAAACACACTACACATTCATGCACGCACACACCCAGGCATTAAACGCACAATGCTGTGCGTGTATGATGCCCGGGTGTGTGTGTACGTGAATGTGTAGTGTTTGTGCTCAAATTTTTTTGAAAGAACATTCTAGGATTCTTAATAAACAATTCATGCACAGGAAGCGAGAGATAGGTCGAGAATGCAACTGCAAAGGCAAAAATAACCGAGGCCATTCATGCGAGCTTCATACCACTCATCGCAAGATATTTTGTTCGCGTATGTATTTAATCTTTTTGGCGTCATGTGTATGCCCAAATTTAACACATTAAGATGTTATAGAACGCTGCTCAGAGCTCTTGCCTCTAACTCGATGTCATGCGATACTCCCTTGCTCTTAAATTGCGATTTGCAGCATGTCGAAACAAATGAAATATGTTTTTCACTGTACCTGCAGTTCACTTTGATGAGCTTCCTATTTTCCTGAAGCAAGGTTGGATTGACAGAAGATGCTTGTCAGGTCCTTGATTTTTAGCAAACCGCATCTATTAGCTTATGCATATTTGCTTGCGAATGGCTTTTTTTGCACTACTAAGTTGTAGCCAGCGCGGCGATAAGGGCGCTGCTAACTGCGTTTTTTTTTTTTTTTTTCAGTGCCCCTTGTAAAGCACTCTCAATACCTTCTCCAGAATTGTTGCCATGGACACTGTCACACTTCTCGAATTTAACCTTCAGCATGGGAAGCTAATGCATATTGTTCTTTGAGAGCTGCTATTGGCCTGTATTTAAAATTTCAGAATGCTCAACTTATACAGTCTACTCACATTATTTTTACCCTAGCAGAACTGCAAGACCTCGTTGTTTTATCTGTGAATTAAATTCACAAACATTTTTTATTGCTGTTTTTACTTTGGCAATGCCTTTCTACATTGCGGTCTCTATCGATATTTAATTGATGAAGCATGTGGTCGAAAATGTCATCACGGTTAAACCTGTCGTCAGTGGCCTACAGACCTCAACACTGAATTTGGCACAAACTCAACTGAGACAAAAACAATAGCGCAATTTGCTGAATTTCTCATCTTGCTGCCTTGGTGCTGGTGGAAATGTAATGGGCCACAATGAGCTACAATACTTTAATGCACTCGAATGCACCTAGGTTCATGCGTCTTCGTTCCATCATTGCGGTCTCAGTTGGATTGCTGTTTAATTCATTGTACAGTGCCATATGCATCTGTGTTTTGAGGGGGCGCATCTTCACCAGTCTCCACTTTTCAAGCTTTTACTAAAAAGTCACGATTGTGAACAATGGTCAAGTGACTAATAGGTGGCGGCTCAAAAGCTTCTTAGAGAGAGAGAAATCTTATAATGTGGGCTCCCTGCCAAATGCGTGGAATATTGTTTGGCTTGCATGCTCATGGCAGCACTGTCTGCAAATCTCGAATCGTTTTTGTTCCAAATATACCAATGGTTATGTCTCAAAACAACAGTGCTGTGATAATGCCTAGTGGAGAATGGGGACATGAAACTCTGCACATTGCTAACTGAAACTTGTGTCACTGGTTGAAGACAAGTGGCATTCTCTACAGGCAGCTTCTCTAAACAGAAACGTGGTGACTGTGCTTGTGACCATAGGTCAGCTAAAAATATGGAGTTCACTCAGACTCAGTCTTATCAAAATTATCCTGAAGCAGACAGTCAGACTCACACTCGCTAGAATTCTTGTTAACTGGACTCGCTCGGCAATATCTCACATATTCAGTGCCTTCGCATATTCAGTAGTTGCAATTCAATAAGAACACTTTTATTGAAAAAAATGACTTGCAAGATATTTTAACGAGAACTTCCCATGCAAACAATTGCAGGAGGAAGGCGAAGGCACCTTCTCCCCCTTTAACTTATGCCTCTGAACAGTAAATATTGAGCAGGTCTATGAACGCTGAACAGTGCGCGAGTAGGCGTGAGTATACTGACGCATAAAGGTTATAGTAATGCTAAAGTTGAGTGATCACTATAGTTCGGCACAAAAATGTTCAGCTCATGCAGACTCACTCAAGAAATAAAGTTTGCACTTAGTGCTCACTCGGACTCAGACTCGCGAAAATTTTTCTTAACCGGACTCACTCGGGAATCACACTCGCTACAACTTTTCTCAACCGTACTCAAACTTGTAAAATGTTACTCATCTGAACTCACTCGACAGCGCGCCTCTATCCGAGTCTGAGTGAGTAGACTCGTGCGAGTTTGCCAACCTATGCTTGTGACACATGGCAGTGACTGTATTCTTATATACTTTATGGTAATGCGTTTCACTACAGATTAAGGCACAGGGCTCTGCCCGTCTTGAATCATGAAACCTGTCAGTTACGAGAAGCAATGCAGCGTGCCTGGAGCATTTACTGCATGCGGAAGCATCAGAACGAAGCTGCCATGCTGGAACGCATCGTGGCGACACAGGAGAAGGCCCTCGAGATGCTGAAGGAGGAGTCTGAAGATCTATACAATGCAGCCATTCAGGTGAATTGCCAATATTTCTTCACACCAGCAAGTTGGCTATACTTCTTTGTGCCATGAGTTACTGACACAATTCACACCAGCAAGTTGTAGATGTTGCAAAATGAACTTGGATATAAATGCTTGCCATAGCATTAAATTGGCCATTCCAAGTTAGCCCCTAGCTTCTTGGTTTTCTTCCTCTACAACTCCAGTCATACAGCTTCTGAACGAATTAACAGTGCTAGATCACTGTACTTCCATCAGTGATTTAAATCTGGTCTATGGCATTTGCATTCGTAAATCTGCGTTCAATATATGTGGCCTTCATTGCTCACTGTCCATCTCCAATCTGATCATTCTTCTCTCTTTATAGACTGACAATGGCTTGTTTCCTGCTCAGTTCAAGGCGATAGTTTCTACTCCTCCAATCAAGGATTACGAACCACCTGATGGGAAGTACGTTGACACTACAAAGAAGTGGAGACCCTAATGTGTACAGCAGCTTGTTGAAATAGATTTATGCCAAGTAATCGTTACCCCCTGCATTTTGTTTCAGTTGCATTATGTGCAAGGTTGCTGGGTGGCTGTGCCACTCTGTTGCCTAGTAGGAGCGTCTAGTGACCTATGAAACCTGGAAGAGTCGTGAAATTCTTGTTTAATTAGTAAATCCAAAGAAATTACTGAACTATTACTATCCACATTGCAAGTTTATTAAGGTAGGCAACCCTAAAAATGATTATAATGAGGGAATTGACCCATATATTGCACTAAGGTCCTTGTGACACTAAAACTCCATATGAACTTGCAAGGCAGACAATATCTACCACAATACAAAGCTTGCTGTACAAGCAGTGAAGCATAATAATAGCAGCAGGGCAAACATGGTATAGGGCACAGGGCACCCACCAACAAGCAACTGATAGTTTTAGTTAACCAAAATAGGCGTTTTTCGGGCAAGTTGATGCATTGTTGCTGACAAAAAGACATTGTTTTTAGTTACGAGTGAACAAGGCTAGTGGGTAGTGCAATTAGACCCCTTTATAAGAGGCATGCTCTGAGCATCAATTCTTGTCTCTCACATGTCTGTTATAAGCACGGTACCAGGTACACATTTTTATATCAGTGTCTCTCATAAAGGGGTTCGACTGTCATACTGGTAACCACAGATGGTGTGAGGTACAGGTGATACTGTGATTCGATGTGTGGTTGAAATCGCCACTTCATAAACAAAAGAGCACCACTGGTGCAATAATAAGGCAAACAGCATCACATACACTGATGCACAGCTGCCCACCCAATAGCAGAGTGACAATTTCAGGGACTTTAGGCTTGGTGCAGTGCCTTGTCACCAAGTGGACTAGTATTTGTGAAAAATATTGCCGTGCATGTATGAGTCAGGACGATTTGCTATTGAAAAACTTCATTCTCATGTAGCACAAAGGAACAATGTCTGCCATGATGATTGCTGAACAACTCTATACTTGGGGGTGTACAGCAGCGCCAAATGTTGTCAAATGGGAATAATACTTTTCTTTAGCAATAAAGGATACTGAGGATGGAACCATAACAGCTTGTAAATATGTAATAACTCATCTTACAAAGGAGAGCACATGAGCAGTGTGAAAGGGTAAAGACTGAAGAGGAAGCGTGCCTTTTTGCGTCGCTTCTGTGTTCCTCTTTGCAAGATATGTCATACCAACTGGACCATCAACATAGTAGTACACTAGGAGGAATGGTTTGGAAACAACATTTCTTAGGTGTAACCAGAATACACTAGACTCTCGTTAAATGGAGCCTGAAGGGACCAGAAAAATGTGTGTTCCATTTAACAGTAGTTTTGTTTACTAAGAGGTAAAAAGGGGGATGCAGATTTCAAACACGAAACCAATCTTACTAGAGGCAATCGTTTCACTTGAGCAGCAATTCAGTTTAAGAAATTTTGTTTAGTGAGAGCCTACTGTAAAAGCTGGTTCATTTTACTTGATTCAAGTCCTGTGTTATCAACCTGTGACAAGCCATTCACGCAGAGCACACATGACAAGAAAGTTTTCATCGATTTTTTTTCTGATTAAAACAAAATGTCATTATACATACAGATGTACTTGCAAGCAACAGTTTGAAAATGAATAAATAAATCGGTACACAAAAGGAACAGGAGTATAGCCATAAGTGATCTTCCAGTGTCGTAACGCTTGCAGAAACTTTACTATACCGTGAGAAAATCGTGCTAAATTGAAACAGGTTACCAGAAGGATGGAAGTGAAATGGATTGAAATACTAAAAATCTTGGCTACAGCACTCCGAGGACGTTACTATGCTTATTGCATGATGTGCATTTATTTATTAAAAGCAGCAAAAGAATTATTTTGCGCTGATTACAGTGCTTTGTTCTTGCTCCATCTTCACAGCAGTTGCATGTTATGTTATAGTTGCTCGCTCTATCAAACTTGGCTTCAACACTTGTCCAGTTTTTCCAACTGAAAATTTACGTGTTTTTGGCATCCACACGTCGAAGAATATGCTTCACTGCAATGCACGCTATGGAGGGAACAGAGTATCATAACAGCTGTCGTGTTTGAACATCAGTTTCTGTGAAAGCAGCAGGTAAAGGCAACATTCTTGGTCTTGACAAACCAGGCAAGTAACAGTGTGAAGCATAGGTGTCAGTCATAGTAGGGGGCGGCAAAGGAACCTTCCACACACTCGTCTCCCTTAGCAAGATGAGAAACCTGCAGGCTTCAGATGCCATATCTTTTATTGAACAATTTGAATTGTAAACTGCAATCATGCTATGAAGTTTGAGCAAAAGCAAGGCATCAGTAAGAGCAAAACGTTCTTTAATACTTCTAATAAAAAGAAAAGAGCACTCCGGTATGTAAAGCCACGGCCTTGTCTGGGGAGAGCGCACGAGCAGCCGGATTTCGCTCTGCAGGGCGACATCTTGGGGTGATTTCAGGTTCTGACGAGGTATGTCGGGAACATGCACAGCCTGGTAGTCAAGTTGACCACATCAGAGCCTGAAACTGTCTCAAGGTGTCGCCCCGCAGAGCGAAAACCGGCTGCTTGTGCGTTTCACATAGTCATGGCTGCGGCTGCACGCAATCAATAACCACCATCACATTAGCTAGGGATAAGTTACCGAGCTTATATATGTATATTGAGCTGCTAATAGCGGTTACCGAGCAAATCGTCCGTTGCTCGCATACAAAGGATATTAATAAGTCCATAAACAACACCAAATATGACTATTGAACCGATGTTCAGGTGCCTAAATGAAATAAAGAGTGGCAACATCTGTGAGCACTTATCTTTACTGGCTTAAAGAGACACTAAAGAGAAACACTGAATCAAATATTTTGATACTTTTACAACTATTGTTATTAATTTTGCCATCACGAGTTGCATAAAGATGAAATAAAGCATCATGTTTAAATTTTGTGCCAAAACATCAGCATGTTTAAGGTACAGACAACCATTCAGAACATGTATTGAGGTAACCCTACTAATGGAATGATCATCTCTTGTATCTGTTTGAAACAAACACCGTTTTTCTCATCCAGTGCGGATTGATGTCTTTATTTCTTCACTCAAGATTACTTTCGGTGCCTCTCGTGGCAAAAGAATGAAGGTGCACTCGTTGGCGATAACATGAACCATTAGTGGTGTACACTATGGATTCTCTCTATATTAGTGTTGAAATGCAGCAAACTTTATTATAAGCTTTTCTAAGTTAAAACGAGGAGATATGACTATGTGTGTAATAGGGCTAGGCTAGCGTCCCCTTTCTGTAATGTCTTGACGAATGTACTTGGATAAATAAATAATTTAACCGCAAGTTTCAATGCGCTAGAAATTAACAGCCTACCTTCCCTACTATACTTCTTGAACCACGAAGATTTTGATCCTTCGTCTAATCAAAATTGTTACGTTAAAATGCTTTGCCCAGCTAATTTATTTTTCCGAATAATACATCTCTCTGAATTTTGTTTGCATTTCTTATCTATTGTTGCTTTTCATGTTAATGCCACTTCACAACTAGACATATGTATTCCCTCACTCTCTATTTGTAGTGCTTTGTTTAAAATTTTTGTATTCTTTGATGTCAGTTTATTTTATATTCGACATGTATGAGTATCCGTTATACTACTGCTTTGCCAACTTGTAACAGTGTCGGGGCCTCGTCAGGCTTTCGAACTTTTAATCCCATACTCCTCATATTGAAAGGAAACAAAGTTGATTTATTGAGAACATTATGATGTCAATAATGTCTGCAGAGTATAAGCATCCTTGAAATAAAAAAAAATGATTTTAGTAACTGTATCACTGTATCTGTATTCTGGGATATTTGTTTCATTATGTATAGGTATCTTCAAAATATCCTGTTGCGCCAAAAGCAAATGTACCTCAGTATCTGTATTGTAGGCTTCTATCCCACATATTTCGATATTTGTATGCTTTTTATATTCAAAAACCCGTCGATGATGTCACTATGAAGGTGGTTAACCACAGTTTCACTTGCTCCTGTGGAAGCAGAACCTTGAGCGTAATGCGAGGTGGGATATCGGCTTTGCTATCGTTTTACAGCATTGCTGGATAACTACTTTGTCCACTTCGGAGGCTTTTCAAATAGAAAAATGATGCTTATGAAATAACGATGGGCTTTTTGGATCAACCACTTCAGCTACAAACACTATGCAAGATAAGCTTTCTGTTGTGCAATAGAAAGCTGGGTCAAGAAAAATCGGTTGTCAGTCCCTTTAGAGGTGTCACAAATTTAAAGTCTTTCCGTGCACTTTGGTCACATTGATTCAATGAAATTTCATCAAACTCGCTATAGTAAGGCTTTGAGTCTCTTAGAACACAATGCAAAATAACGTTTAGTGATGAACAATTACAAGGCACCAGCATGTGCCGTCAAAGTGTATGACATCGCAACAAGGTAGTGTGAAAACATTAAGGCCGTGTTGCAATCAGTTTTTTCGTGTTTTTTTTTTTTGCTTCCCAAGAGTTTTCGCTTCTCATATAGTGAAATTTTGATTTACTGATAGGAGAAAAATAGTTCTCTTTAGTGTTCCTTTAATGTAGCCAGGCTAGAAAAAACAAGATTACACCAATGACTTTTACACAGCTTGTGTTTGCAATATAAAACAAGGTACAGCTGACTAGCTGCAGTCTATTTTCGTGTAAAATGGGGGATGATAAAAAAAAGAAAAAAAAAAGCTGACTTACTAGATTTGTAAAGGCATGGCAAAACATCAAGCAATAATTTCTTTTTTTATCCCCTGTTACGGGCATTAAACAATGTCACAAGAGGTCAACTGAAGGTTAGAACTGGTGCCTGGTGCAGGCACTGGCCTCCTTAACCACCGCCCTTACACCGTGACACTAAAAAAAAAGTTGCACCATTTTCTTTCGGGGTGTATTTTTGTCACAAACAATCATCATCATCTACCTTGTGTGCCGGGCATAACAAATTGCACTTGACATTATACCTTCTATCCTCTTGCTTATTTATGAGATAGCAAAATAAAGGGAAAAAATGCATCTGGCAAATAATGAGGCCTGGCAGTATTGTTTAGAGATAGCAGTAACAGCTTTATAACTTTTCCATCCCGAGGTTACATTGCTTGCACCTTAAAAAGGCATGCCAATGCACAAGTGTGAAGTGCGTACATGCAGGTTCTCGAGAACAAGTCCAAAAATGAGCTGGGGCAGGGAAACCAAAGCGTGAAAGGAATGCCGAGCAACTCAGTGCAGCAGCTTTTTCTAAATATCTACCACAAAAACCAATTCAAGCTTAAGGACCTTCAAACATCTAAGTATTTCATTACAGCTGCACATTGCTGATGTGTCCGATCAATTTAGCACATTGATTGAAACCTTCCACAACTTTCCACAACTTCCACACAACAATTTTTTAGAATTCTTGCCTGTGCATGAGAGACTACTTGTCCATGCAATATTTTGGAAAACCTTGGCCATAGTGTTACCCAAAATCCAGTGGTAGTAATGCTTCTGTATCTCAAATGTAAGTGCAAACAACATAACTTACAAATGTTGCTTGTTTGCTACGGCTCCGGCCAACCGAAAAAAGATTGAGCTTCTCACTTCCTTTCATTCTCACTCCAGCACCATCCATCAACCAATTGAAAGAGTTCTTAATGGTTATTCTGTTAAATAGCAAAGTATAGTTACAACTGTGCAACATTAATGAGTTCTTTTCGTCAATGAGGTCTTAGTCTCATCGATTTGCACTGAAGTAAAGCCAGGGATGCCCAAGATTAATACTTGGCTATTCCCAGAGCAAATGAAGGAGTTGCATGACCGGAACTCTCTTGAAGGTTAGCCGTACCCTCAGCAAGAAGGTAACAGCGTCTGCGAGAAATCTGAGTAAGCCGGGCAAACATGTTTCATGTTCTCAATTTCCGCGGCATAAACATAATATCTCTTACCAGAGCACAAAAACACTCGTATCTTATTGGAGAAAAAATAGAATTGCTTTCCTGTGTTGCATGTTCGATGCTGATGCATGCAAAGTCGTCCACTCGCTGAATCATTTCAGTGGCTAACACAACACAGATAAGATGTGCGGAGCATGTGTGTCTACCAAGTCAATATTTTTTACACATAAGAGGAAGCTATCAGAACAGAAAAAAACAACAACAAAGAAACCCACTTCCTTACATCACTGGGCCTATAACAATCTCATATGTAATGAGCACAAGCACCAAAAACGAAAAGCAAATCAGTACAGTATAACCAACATAACCTTTCACGTGATAACATTTCTGAGGGCCCATAATATCACTGCTAATGACCTGATCTGTCCAGTAATCATCTAATTGACTGACAAGCCTATGAAGTGACAAGCAGTTACTGAGTAGTCATGCACATGCAACACCCATCACCAAGTTGGTTTAAAAAATTAGCAACATATGGTGTGATAGCACCACTCACAAATAAACTTGTCTCAACAATACCACGCAACACATGGTCAATTAGCTTGCAGCATGCACTTTGTCATAACTACAGCAACAGTTTTTTTAACCTTGATGTATCACTAGTTTTCTCTTATCTGTGATTTGAATACATTTTTTTTCACCATGTGAATTGAAACTATTGCTCCTAAGAATGCCAATATCGCATGACCTTTGTTTCAGGGGACACTGAATACAACACTGACACGATATTGACATTAGCATTATCCAACACCAATGTCGCATCAACTATATTTCTAATCAACAGTCTTCACTCCCCACCTGTACACCCAGTTGCATCGTTCAGCTTTCACCTACTTGGCTTTGTTGGCCAGAAATTGGCGAGAGCAGTGCTAAGGTTGTTGAACTGTGTTTTTCTTCAAGGATTTTTCTTAACGACTCAAAGAAGAAGCAGCCTCCAAGTTCTTTGCAAAAAATCATGCAAGCATGCATCGTGAAGATAAATAAGAGAAAGATAACAGTGTGCAGTGGCAGAATGCTACTTAGGTGATTCCGGTGCAAGACAGCCAAGTTTCTTAATCTTCCATAAACTTCACATAGTGTTAGAATAGCTACACCCATTTTCAAATTTTACTTAGAGTGCCTTCAAGTGACACAGAATCCAACACAACTGAATTTAATTAGCAAGAAATAGTATAGGACCACTTAGTTTATAGTCGTGTACATAACATGGAGGCCTGAGACCAACCAAGTGGATATAGTTCACAACAGCTAAAGCATGTCGCACACACAACCGTGAAGTGATAAGTTTGATTTTAATGCAAAAAAAAAATAGATAGATAAAAAGAGAGAAAGAGAGATTCCCCAGCTTATTCACAGTATGACTTGTGCCCAAGCTGGTTAAGAGACTAGACTCTCGTCATCAAATGTGCATACTGCATGGCAATTCACTTCAATACTGCAAAACTGCATCACTTGGCCTGCTTGTGGAATACGAAGCAAAAATAATAATAACAATAAGGTCACGCCACCAAAACATATACCAGCCTAAAAGAATGTGTCAGGGTAATGATATGTTATAGTAAAGGGATAATATGAAACAGCACACTTTTGTCAATGTAACACGAGTTAATTGGACACCCTCCTTAAAAGCTGGCCACCAGCCATGCTGTTTACATAGGCCAAGACTATCATTACATTAGTGTGCCCTCAGATAATTCGACATATGTGCCCAATCTGCCGTGTGATGCTGATCATGACATCGGTGGCCATAGCAAAAAACTTTGCAAGTTCACTGTGCTTTTTTCTTGGTGTCACAACTTTAAGAATATTGTATGTTCATCTTAATGGAGCCAGCTCTGCAATGAATTAGCTTTAAGTCATGTTACAACTGGGTACATACTGTTACGTAATGAAGCAAGACTTTCTTTTCTGCATTCTCAGGATGATAACATTCTGTCAATCCCATCATGAGTGAATTAATGAAAGTCAACTGCACTGATGCACATTTGTGACTTTTTTCAATAAGTAAATCGTAGCAGCATCTACAGTTACACAAGCAGCAGACACAAAGAAGCTTGAAGCTCGTCACTTGTTGGTTGCACTTTTGAAAAGATACATTCGAGCTACTGTAACTGCAACAAATATTCTGACAGCACAGAAAACACGATTTCAAGTAGTATATATATAGAGGAACCTTCAAGCAAAATATGATGCATAAAATACAATCAGAATGCGTCCCATGTTCAAAACACCATTATCTCATGCACTTGCAGACATTTCGTCTGCAATACCTTGTTCCTTGGCATTGCCCTACCAACAATTTATTTTCAAGACTTTTACACCACATAACACAAGAACGATTTGATACAAATGCTATCCTTACATTCCAACAACAGCTCAACCTGTGATTACACATACACAGCAGTCTTCGTCTTCGTATTTGTCACATGTGCCATTCACTAAAAAGACCCCAGTCGAACTAAACCAGATAGTAACACAGCAACTACTGTGTCACACAGGAACACACACACCCAAAAGTTGCCCATGCATACACACTTGCTCTTCATATATCGACATTAGAGGGCCCCTCACCAAGTGCCATCACAAATTACTGTAGTATGGTGGTAGTCGTAAGGCACCATATGTAGGAAACAGTTAACTGAAACAATTTTTTTAATATGCTCACACTTGCAGATGATGAAAGATATCAAGCTGTCCCATTATCATGCCGCAAAGGAAGAGCATCAATGTTGAAAAAAGTGTGTGTTCCCTTTTGTCTCGACTAGCAATCGGATACGGCATTCATTCCTTGCCTGCCTCAACTCAAGAGACAGTGGCACATTTGAATGACGAGCCTCACCTGTTTTATTTGTCACCTTTTTTTCTTATACCACACAAGAAATTTCTTGTGTTGGCATCGGGAGTTCCACATTGGACAGTTAACCGAAGTCACACGCCACACTCAGCGAGTGTCAGTCACATGCTGTAATCAGTAACAGTCGGTCACTGACATGCCACGTTATGCAACATTGCAAATAACGCGACTTACGCGGAGGCATTTGCGCATCCAAATTGAATTCTCTAACTCGAACTTCAGCCCTGCATTGACGATTTTTACCGTACACACAGCAGTTTCACACTTAGCAAATGCAATTGCCAATGCATAATACATGCGCTGTGCTTGCTTGCCTGAAGTGGTAAAACTTCATGAGGGGCCCTTAGGGAGGGAGCTCTTTAACTTAGCTTCCCGTGTTAAATACTTGGAAATGGAGAGATTATTTTCACGAAAAAACTACTCCACCAAGTTTCCTGGGGGATGTTGAATGTTGGAGATACCGTAAAAAGCATATTTTGATTTTGACCCCTAATATTGTGAAAACCCTTCCAAAAAAGCAGAACTAAAGAAAAAAAGGGAAAAAGAAGTGAGTTTAGAGTTCTGCGACACTGAAACAAATAAAAGTAACATTTGTGTAAGCTGCATCTATTTATATAGCTAAAATGTGCAAATTTGATGCCTCATAAACCCTTCTAGTGTATATTACTAATTTGGGAGCATGTCAGTCATGCTGTGTTTATGATGGTAGCAACTTTGTATAAGCTGCAAGCCCCTTACCACATTTGTCTCCAACAGTTGCAATCTAGAAGACTGGCCTAGCCTTTTCTGATGCATAATTAAAGATTTGTAAACTCTGATGCTCTTATTGTTGAAAAATTTGCTCATTTTACTAATGAAAAAAAAAAAAGAAAGAGCCTAGGGCATCACATAACAATTCCACCTCTTAAAATGTCTGTAAGTCCAGTTTTCCCTCTTAAAAGCGACAAGTTTTATATAAGTCATTGCAACTCAGTTTGGGGCTTCAATTATTTTTAGCAATTTATTGCCACAATTGCTTAAAGGGGCCCTGCAACAATTTTTCAGTACAGTCAGAAAACATGGCTGATCAGTAGTTGAGGCTCGTGAGGACATGGGGCCAAATATTACAGCGCAGCAAAGCAGCATGGAAGCGAGGCCACCATGTACCCGCACGCATGCTCGCAATAGGCCATTTTCAATATTGTAAAGTTAGCTTTCTTGCTGTGCAGTTTGAACAACTAATGGCGGCTAGTCATTTACTGCAAATAGCCTGTTCAAGCGCTGTTTGCTTATGCAATGAAGTCAAAAATGTCGAGCCAGCTCTCTTGATATAAAAACTCATAATATACAAGCCCCAGTGCGTTCAACTAGGACCGCGTCGCCACTTAAAGCACAACAGGCACCGCCATTACTTGAGCAAACATGCAGTGCAGAGAAGAGCACTTGGAAATTATGAAAAGGGTCCATCAGCCGGCGAAAAAGAAACAAGTGCCCAAAGTCATGGCATGCATGTGACGTAACTTCTTCCCTCCTACCATTCCTCTCTGTTTAGCTTCCAGCATTATGGTCTGGACGAGAGAACACGGTAAACAATTACAGCGTGCAACAAATTTCTGCAGTTCTTCTCATGCCTGACCGATTCAAAAATATTCTTCTGCATTAGCAGATTTGTAAGGCGATAAACTCATTTGATGGAGGAATTCCATGGCTACTTGGCTAAGAGCTGCAGGGCCCCTGTGGATGCGCCACATTACTTGCAAACCATAAGTCACCATAATATTCCCCATTAATCTTCATTTCTGTCTGTTACCAGCCAAAATCGCATGAACTTTGTTTCACATTTCCCTTTAAACATTTTAAAGCATACAGAGAATTAACTGCATCGGATAGATTATATATTTTTGCCTGATCCCTCTACTGATTGCAATTTTTTCACTTTCCTATGGAGAAGCAGGGTACCTGTGAAAATCTTGGCAGATGTTGGCTGTGGTGTTCACATAAGTCTGAAGTAGCCGTTTGCAATGCATTGCCTCCAGAACTGTTGGTATCTTTGCAGAGTCGAATGCCTTTTTGTTGCCTTTGAAAGAGGTTCGTTGCACTTGGCATATTTTTCAATTACTTGATTCATCATATTGTTACACTTGAAGGATATCGTCAAAGGCTGAAAGGGGCTGTTTATTAGGTCGTGAGGGTGAGCTCGGACGCGGCCGACTAGTAGAGATCCTCCTGATCCTCTTCTTCTCCTCTCTAACTCGGAGCAGCGAGCGAGTTCATCGTAGTTTTTGTTGTCTTCGCGCATGTGTGCAACATTCCTCTCCATGCAGACGAAGGCCGCCGGACGAGTCAATCAAGTTGTCTCGGCGTGTATCATTTCAGGAATACAACATGAGCCACTTGAATCTTGGCAGCTCGTCGACCATTCGCCATGAGGCGAGCTATTACATAGATGACCTCTGTTAGTCTGTCGACAATGACAAAAGGTCCATCGTAAATGGCCAAAACTTTTGGCATAACCCGTGCTTGGCATGGGAATCCACAATCGCACCAAATCACCACGGTGATAAGTCACAGGTGGGTGGTAAATTTCATAGCGTGCTTTCGCTTTGTCTTGCGATGCCACTATGCATAGTCGAGCTATGCGACGCACATATTTGGCGAGGCAAAGGATCGCGGCAACAGTGACATTGTCGTGATCACAGAAAGGTAAGACTGTGTTGATTGTGTACTGGGGCGAACGGGTATATAGCAAAAAAAAGGGCTATAACCTGTAGCGTCGTGCTTTGCGATGTTGAACACGTACGTAACGAATGGGAGTACGTCATCCCAGTTCGGGAGTACGTCATCCCAGTTCTTGTAGTCGGATGAGACATACATAGACACCGTGTTGATAATTGTGCGGTTGGCACGCTCCGTCAGGCCATTCATTTGGGGGTGGCATGGTGTCGAGTGATGCAGGTGGGATTCACACAAACAAAGCAGCTCCTCCACTACATCCGCAATGAATTGTCGTCCACGATTGCTGATGATCAGGCGAGATGGGCTGTGTCAGAGGATGACATATTGTAGCAAGAACAACGAAATTTCACTGGCAGTTGCGAAGGGGACGGCCGCCGTCTCGCAGTAGGGTGTGTGCTGGTCAACGCAAACAATCATCCATTGGTTGCCCTTTGCTGATTTTGGAAAGGGGCCCCGGAAGTCAATCCCCACTAGTTCGAAAGGTGCGCTTGGAGTTGGCATTGGCTGCAGAAGACCAGCTGGAGCAGTAGATGCAACATTCGTTATGCTGACATTGCATGCAGCTGGCCACATAAATCCCAACGGATTTCTGCTGTCCTGCTTTCAAACTGTGGTAATCTGGGAAAATAGGCTATACAGACGCTATAAGGTGATCAAGGTCATTGGCGTCACAGTCCGTTGTGCTAAGTGGCATACGTGAAAGACAGTCCGCAGTGGCATGTCAGCGACCAATCTTGTAAGCGACAATAAAGCTGTATTCTTGCGGCCAGAGTGCCCAACGCGCAAGGTGGCCGCAAAGGTCACGAAGGTTGACAAGCCAACACAAAGGGTGGTTGTCAGTGGCAACTGTAAAGGAGCGTCCATACAGGTAAGAACGAAACCGCTGAATTGCAAATATTACCGCCAGGCATTCTTGTTCCGTGACAGTGTAATTTCGCTCTGGCCTGCTTGGGGAGCGACTTGTGTATGCGATAACGTCTTCTCAGTCAGCGTAGCATTGGACTAGGACGGCTTCGATACCTATGCCAGTAGCAACCGTATGATGTTCTGCCAGAGCACAAGGACTGAAGTGCTGAAGGACGGGTCGCGACGTCAGCACAAACTTCAATTGACGAAATGAAGAATCACACTCCAGAGTCCATTCAAAGGAATTATACTTTTGTAAGAGGCTTGTGAGAGGATACGAGATGTCGGCAAATTTCGGTATAGAGCGGCGGAAGTCCCAGGAAACTATAGAGCTCCTTGACAGAACGCAAAGCCCTGAACGCGTCAGACTGCCGTATTCTGGGGGTCAGGCCGGATGCCATCCTTATCAGCGAGATGTCCAAGCACAAGGGTTTAGCGGCCTCCGAAGTGGCATTTCTTTGAGTCTAAAACTAGGCCAGCATTTCGGATGCACTTCAAAATAATATCCAGATGGAGTTGTGTTCGCTGAATGTGCTGCCAAAGATGACGACGTCGTCGAGGTAGCACACGCAGATGTTCCAATTCAAGCTACGCAGAATGGTATCCATAAACCTCTCAAACATTGCCGGAGCATTGCATTGTCCAAATGGCATCACATTGAATTCAAGGAGCCCATCAGGAGTTACAAAGGCAGTCTTTTCCTTGTTCTCTGGCTGCATAGGAATTCGCCAATAGTTGGATCATAAGTCTACGGGGGGAAAAATAACAAACAGAATGCAAGCAGTCTATTGCGTCTTCTATACGTGGCAGTGGGTATACATCCTTTTTAGTCACAGCATTCAGTCGGCAATAGTCGACACAGAATCTCCAAGATCCATCTTTCTTCTTAACAAGAATTACCGGTGCTGCCCATGGACAAGTCGTGTATCGCTCCCTTTTCCATCATTTCCTGCACTTGATTGATGATAATTTGTCGCTCTGACGGGGAAACATGATATGGTTTTTGCCGAATCAGACTTTTTCCACCAGTGTTGATGGTATGGCACATTTGAGACATGGAGATGGGGGTTATTTTGTTCTTCAGCGCAAAGACAAATACCGAAAGTCCATGAAAGTTCGGCGTTCGTCTGAGCTAAGCGACTTAATTATCAATGCCATATGCACCCCTTCCGAACTGTGACAACCAGTTCTGCCATGTTCTTCCGGCACATCTGTAAGCTCAGGCACTGATAAGGTCGCACATTCTCTGCTAACCGAAGCTGCTAATTTCAAACCGTCTTGTCACCAGCTCTGAGGAACAGTTTACAGTCCATAGGCCAGTTCATCCACCATCGATCGACACCACACAATTGGGAACCAACACATTCTTCTTCACGTAGTTAATGTGCATTGGCTTTACGCTTGCACTAAAGCTGTCCGAATCTGTGCTGTGACAAGCAACAGGGGCACGTACAGTAGACCGACACAGGTATGAGTGTATCGCCACAGGCATACAACGTAGCTTCATCGTTTGCAGGGGTTTCCACAAGTTCTGACGGCATCTGGCGACTCACGGAGGATTTCCCCATGCGACAATCTACAGTGGCACTATATTCTCGCAGGAAGTCCATGCTCAGAATGACATCATGGGTCAACTGAGAAACAATCGCAAACTCTGTCGTTATAAAAATGCCTCACAAAAATACCTTAGCGCTACACACACCAATAGGGTACAACGGCTCTCCACTAACTTCACAGGACTTCGAAGTTTCATCCCACGTAAAAACAACTTTCCGCCCTAACACGTCTCATCACGGAAATCGCCGCCCCTGCGTTCACCAAGGCCATCACAGACACATCATTCACAAAAACTCGTACTTAGTTTTTAAACATCAACACAGGAGGTATTTCTGTCAGGAGCACGTTTCCAGCGACTTCACCCCCATCAGCCGCACAAGCTAGTTTTTCGGTGGCGAAGAGGAAGCTGAAAAAGACAACGCAGCGGCAAAGGAGAACAATGACTATGAGGTTGCGTTGAAGGCATCAAACTTTTGTCAGATGCCGAGGAGTAGTTGCGGAATTTTTTCGGGCCAATAGTTGTCACCAGGGGGCTATGTGGGCTGGCCGCAAGACACCATCAGGCTGTTCAGAGGATCGTGAGATGTTGGATGGCTGGTCATACCAAGGAGTCGCCCGACAGTTGCAAAACCGCTATATGTGGTCCTGAACATTGCAGGAATAGCACACCGGCAGAGGTCAAAACGTCGGTCGCTCATCGATAAAACGAACATCGTCATTTGTTCTTGGTATAATGGGAATACTGGTCGGGTACGTGGTAACAAGACATCGAGCGTCAAAGAGACATGCGCTGAGAGCGTCGGTCACACCGCAAAGCGAAAATAGGGTTGTGATCCTTAACTGTGGGGCTGGGCTGTACTCCACAGTTGCGGCGCTCATCGTCAGTTGCCATGGGGTCGAAGCACGCGCAGTCATGGCCTCACGTGGCATACACAGCTCGGGATGGCCAGCTGTCGAGCAAGACGTTTTTTGGTGGGACACTTCCTCGCAAACAATCTGTCAAATTGTAGAAGAGAGGTCGAGACCAGCATTTGTGTTCACACTGGCAAGAATTGTAACATTAGCCAGCCGACCAAACTTGGGCAAAATCTGACGCATCTTGAGCGTTTCAAACGTTCGGCAATTCCGAATGACGTCGAACACAGAACTGAGGCTTTCTTTTTCAATTAGAAAACTGTACACGTCCTCAGCAATTCCTTTGAGCAGATGACCGATTTTGTTCTCTTCCGGCATGGTAGCGCAAACCACCTTGCACAACTTTAACACTTCGATGTAAGTGGTGTTGGTGGTAGCTGTGCAAGTTGCGACAGTGTTTGCTTAGCCTGCTTTTTTTTTCTAGTAACGGAGTCGCTGAAACACGCCTTGAGCTCTTCAACGAAAAGGTCCCACTTCGTTAGTGTGTCCTCGTAGTTCTTGGACCACACCAGTGTGGCGTCGTTCAGAGAGAACACCACGTTGGTTAGCTGAGCAGATGTATCCAAACCGTTGAATTTGCTCACTCGCTTTTACTTGGTGAGCCACACGTCGACATCTTCTGCGGTTTTCCTCTGAAGGGTGGTGGAACTCGGTAGTACGGAAGCGCACCAGAGGGTGGTGTCCTGGGAACGTCTGTTTCTTCGGGCATGTCGAAGGCACTCTTGGCAGATGGTGGGAGGCCAGCAAGTCGACGGCTTAGTCGAAGCTGTAGTAGGGATGATTCGGCAGTTGAAATCACTTACCCCGCACCTCCACCACTCTGTTACGCTTGAAGAAGACTGTCAAAGGCTGAAAGGGGCCATTTATTAGGTCATGAGGGTGAGCTCAGAAGTGATCGACTAGTAAAGATCCTCCTGATCCTCTTCTTTCTTTCTAACTCGGAGCGGCAAGCGCGTTCACTGTAGTCTTCATTGTGTTCGTCTATGGGCGCAACAATATGGCTTTGATTGATGAGAGGATCCTCTTCTGAAGGTCGCTTGCTCACTAGGTTGATTAAAGTCAAGTGCTTCTCTTGTCCTATTAAAGATTACAGTCATGAATAATTCGTACTATACTGAAAGAAAACTGTCAGATCTACTATAATATTTAAAGGGAGTGATGATGGTTTCTTATGGCACCTATTTTCTTTAGCATGCAACAGAAAGCTTACTGGTCAGAGTGTCTAATCATGGAATGGTACATAGAAAATGCCATAAAACATTACAAATAAAATTTTCATATCTGTGGTAAATATGAGGTCATATACACATGTTACAACACATGCTACAAACAGTGAGTGAGACAGTGGTTCGTGTTCATGCGTGGAGGTGCACTGCATATGCGCGCACTCTGCGTGCATGCGCTAGGGCTTGGAAGGGTCTATTGACCCTTCCAACACCGCTTTTTATCACGCAAAGGCAACATCGCTTTTTACCACGCAACTACTTTTACATAGATCAACATAGAATAAAGTGGGAATGGATAATAATATGAATTTTGGAGACTACTTACAGTGAGCACGACAGCATCAGACCATGTGACTACGTAAATCAAAGTAATCAACTCCATAATCCAGCTTCAAGGCTCTTCCGCAAGGCTGCGTGGCGTACCAGTGTTTTGTTACTTTTAAACACGATTTAAAAATACAAATCCTGCTCGCAAGAGGAAGAGGATGCCGAAACAGGTCGCTATAGTTCATCGTTCTTTCATTTCTACAAAGATCTAATCACTCATTCTGGCCAGTTGTCGGTCTCTTTAAAGTCTTCTACGACTCCTGTCTTGCGTATTAATAGCACATTGGAATTTTTCAGCTCAGGGGCACAATGTGAAGTCTCAAAGAGATACTCACACCAATTCTCAAAGCTGAGTTTACTCTGCCATATAAATGTCCAATATTCCGAGACAGCTCTGAGCAAGTGTGATGCTTTCTTTTGACATTATTTTTGACATTAAAGTAAATTTTCGCATGGCACTACTGACATTGACACTAGCATGATGTCAGGCTACCATATTGATTCTGCTGATGCACCATTCTGGCTAGTTGTGATGTTGTCGGGTACCATAATATACAAAACGGCCACTTGCGTGTTGCCAACAGCACCGCGGTAGCCATAAAATGGCAGCCGGGAAATTGCCACAATATTTTGCACGAGCACTCGATGAGAAGCCCATAACATGTCGTCACATCAGGGTACAGTAGGAAGCAAAACTAGCTTTCACGAACATGTTGGGTGCACTCACATTTACCATTTATAGGCTCTTGAGGGCTTGTCCTTTCATATGATGGGGAAAAAAAATTAAAATAAAATGGTGACAGCTGAAAATGTTTGTATCAGCATCTCCTTAAACATTCCGTGTAAAAAGTCACAAGTTTTATGTATCCGAACTATGAGAACATTATAAGACTTGACGTAGTGGAAGCCTCCAGAAATTTTCGACTGCCTCAGTTTCTTTGAACTGCACCTTAACCGACAGGCACATGGGCCTCTACTAAGTTGCCTTTAAAAATCTGGCTGCCTTCGGCTCGGATCAACCCATGTCTTTAATGTCAGCAGCTGAGCACTGTAACCACTGCAGCTAGTCACAAGTTTCTTAATTATGAGGCTGTCCTCCATCTTTAATCAAAGTGACTGGTATGACATTTCTGTTTGCCTTTTCATCAGTTTAGGTACCCCTACATGATAGGTTTTTTATAAAGCTTACTGAGTAAAATTTTTTAATATAGCTACAATTTCAAGCAGGCATTCAGTCCAGAGCACTAACTCAACAAAATGCGGGCATATTATTGATTCACTTTAGTCTCCTGACATGGCCCCAGAAATACCTCTGGTTTACAACAGCCAAATTGCACACCACAGGTTTCTCCAGCCACCAAACCTTCATTCAACAAACGCCTACAAATTCATACAGACTTTCCCACACACTAAAGAAAAACTCTTTCTCACATGCAAACACACAGTCTTTCCCTTACAGCCACTCTTGTTACGATCGCTAAGCCGAAGACAGAGCCGGTCCCACTGGCTCGTAGCGCACCACTGACTGTCGAATGGCTGTAGCCGTCGTGTTGTGGGTCTTGCGGAGGTGTCTGGAAGCTGCACCTGTACTTGCAAAAGAGCGCGGACATACGGGGCACGAGAACGGCCGCAACACAATGTGCGCCCGTTCATGGCCTGCCAGGCCCGCTCGGGACTGAAAGCTGGCTCCGCACTGCTTGCAAATGTGTTGTACCTGCACCGCTGGCTTATCTGTTCCGCCTGCTCCGTCAGTACCTGATCAAAAATAAGAAAGAGCTTTACATGTATGGTTCATGTTTAGACATGGCATAAAATGAAACCTCTTCAGGACACTGCAGTTATGTATATTTCTCAAGTTACCAGCACTCGAGTTGACCAGTATTCCAATATTGCTTATCAGTATTTCACCCATTGTCACTTGTTTTTTTCTTTTTTCGCTTAGCAGCATCGTTCTATTGGTTTTCTCATCTTTCCTCCACCACTGTGATACATGTGGTTTCCAGAGGCACTGCCTGGTAATGGTTAACTGCAACAAAACTTATTATTGTGTAGAAAGCCTAGTTTCTTCCATATTGTGTAGATACAAAGGAGGCTGTGTGAAAACTGGGAGGAAGCATCACAAAATTCTTATGAAAAGAGCCATTTCTGCTAGTGAAGCAGGCAAAAAAAAGAAAAAGACTGGAAACTCTACAATTACTGTTTGTCAAAAGAGATGCATCACCGAAAATGTTCAGCTCTTTGGCATGACCTCTGAGATAAGAGGCACACTGAAACATCCTAGAGGCAATATGTGCCTGAAACTATGTCATAATGATCTATGAAACTTGTTTAGATGCTTAGATAAATTCCATGGAGAGGCTATTTGAAAAAAAAAAAAAAAAAAAAACACGGAAGTACCAGCCTGGCAGCTTTGCCAGAATCACGCAAGTCTTACATACTACTCGCTCACAACAAATGTACCCAAAGTGAAATTTCATATAAGCTGGTCTTTTTAAATCATCACTGCTTTATTTTTGTCTGGCAGGAAGATATAAATCTTGCATGCCTTCTCGTGCCTGTCATGACTCCAAGACTTTCGTGCTTCCTAACGTTTGACTTTCTCACATGACACACAAGGGTTGACTTTGGCATAGTAGTTGTGTGCCTATCTGCTCCAACCGTGGGGTTCTTTTAACATGCACCTAAATCTGAATACTTGAGCCCCAAGCACTTCTGCCTTTATAAAAAAATGCGGCTGCCGTGACCGGGATCCGTTACAGTGACCTCTGGGCCAGCAGTCGAGCACCTCAACCACTCGACTATCGTGGTGGATCAACAGCAAAAATATTATGCTCTAATAGAGCATCGAGGAGTTCATAACTAACTGATGAGTGTAACCATAGTAAGTAAAAAAATAAAACAACCTGAAATAAAATTCTTACCTTCACCATCACCACCAGATGCCTGCTGTCCTCGGTTTTTTGCTGGTAGGGTACAAAAGATTTAAATATTTAGAGCATCACCAGACCTACAACCTCATAATGTTAATGGCTTACACAGCAAAAGCTTTTTACCTCATGAAAATGCATGGCATTCACACTAGCAAAGCTTGCAGTTTCACCCAAAATGCATAGCAATAATAGCCAGCTGTTGTGCACTGTTTTGTTACAGCATAATATTTAAAGTGGCACACTGCCCACAAGAAACTGCTTCAATTCATACCACGTAGCAGAATTTACATTCAGCATCGATTCCTCCAAATTTCTGTTGCAGGCAACGGCTGACAGAACGAAGAATAACTGATGTATCATTTCTAGAGTCTTTGAACAACCAAGTTTTCTAACTGAACCGAATGCCTTTTGAAGAAAGATCATTTCCAAACAGCTTGCCAAATACTGAATGTAATTTTCAAATAGGTAATAGTTTCCTGCACAAAAATAATTTCCAAAAAATCAGTTGAATACTGAATGTTTCATTTGTGAAAGAACTGAAATACAAACGTTTGCGTGAACTCCTATTTTTAAAGGAAAGGGGCAAGTTAAACTACGTATAACGTGATTAAAAAATGAAGGCCAACTCGAAAGGAGCTTGTAGATGAGAAACTGCTTTCAGTGTTTTCATATACCGTAAGAGTACAACACCAGATGCACACAAATGTTGAGCTGAGTTGGTACACATCTTTATTTTCCTGAACTTGAGCTAAACTCGCATCAAATCTGAGCACACTGATGGTGATCATGAACACAAACTGAACCAGAAGATATATTTTTTCCAAGTTGAAATCCTGCCTATGATGAAAGACTGAAAATCTGTTTCCCCTATGCATTTACTCCAGAAATATTGAACACTAATATAGCACCAGGGCTTTCACCCAGAAGAGCCACTTGTAGCGATTCTCACTTTACTGTCCTCTTTCAATTATGTCTGCTACAATATGTGTTGCTACTCCTTGAACACTCAAAATAAATCAATACTCGGCAATATAAAATAGTGAGTTTTTTAACCAGGTATTGTAGACTACCATCGACTCTCACTAAACAATACCAGAATAGACCGTGAAAATATGTTCCAGGAGTTCTGTTTTTGAGAGATGAATAAGGCTGCAAACAACAAGTAGGAAACTAATCATGTTAGAGGCAGTTGCCCTGTTTAAGCAGCAGTTCTATTTACAGTGAGTATACCGCATTTGATATATATCTTTGAAATCGTCAGTGTGCACATGCCTCTGATCATATCACTTGTATATTAATTATATCCTGAAAACTCTAATTTCATTAATTTTGCTACTACTGGCATACAATAGATCAGAAAATCAATGTCAAAAGTTTTACTCTCAAATTTCCCACCTATATCTCCTATAAGGATATCAGGAATTTCAAAGTATTTTTTCACATTTTGGCCACGTTTGCTCAAGGAAATTTCCCAGCACTTGGTATGTTAATTCTGTGGTTCCCTTACAAGACAATGTACAGAACTTGCGGATTGAAAAAAACACAATCTTCAATTCCAGCCATATCGGCATAATTCTGATTCAATTAAATACATCAGAGCCAACATCATCTTTAGAGATCAGGTCCGCCGTAACATGACGCGTTTATCTCAAGCAATTGAAAATACCAGTCGTTATACAAAAAAAATTTGATGTCACATTTGAATCAATGCGCACTGTACTTCGTTTTTACAGATCAGAAACTACCTAGGCCCAGCTAGATGCGGTCAAAAGCTGTGACATCACGGCAAATTGCGCAGTAACTTCAATACAGCATCGCCACCTATATTTTCTTTTTGCGTGTTTTCTCACTTAACAAGTGTCTTTTTTGAAGAAAGCATGGGCTCTATGGCAATGTGAAGGAGTAATCTACTAATGCGAGAAAAATATATATTTTTTTTTCTTTAGTGTCCCTCTAAGCTAGCACTTTTCAAAGCAGTGTTTCTTCAGTGAGGACACATTGTGGTTATGACTTCGGGGCATGCCCTGCGAGAAACAGTGGTTTGCCACAGAGAGAAGCAGGTTTACCCACCATTCTTCTGCGAATCCTTGGAATGGATGTTGAGGAAGTGCCGCTTGGCGGCCGATGAAGTGCTGAATGCCTGCGGACATGTTTCCGAGGGGCACGGAAAGGGTCGTTCCCCCGTGTGCGTGCGCTTGTGGGCAAGGAGGTGGGCCCTGTGTAGGTCAGAACCTTAGGCTATAATTCGATTCAGGGAGCAGGCTTACGGAAACAGTCAGAGTCGAGGGCAGCAAGGAAGGGACAAAATAACTGGCACTGCACAAGAACACCTCTTCGAGCGGAAAGAGAACAAGTAGCAAGAATGCAGTGTCTCATGCATACACGACAACATAAACAAAGAATTCGAGTTTGCACAATGCTTACAGTTCGTGGCGCAATGACACTGTCATGGTGTCTTGAAGGTGTGTTCAGTGGAATGTGGCAGGCTGCTTCCTTTGATGTTTTGAGGGCACTGGCGCTTGAAATCCAACACGCGTGGTTCACGAATTGTTGATGTCTCATCAGGCCAGTCCATCTTCAACACTCCACCTTCTAGCTTCATAAGTTTCCTCCACTGTTCTTTTGACCAAAACACTTTGTTCATGTGCGACACCGCCCACCTCAGACTGCACGCTCTCGAGCATGCTCTCGCATGTAGCGGATTCATTGTCGCTGAGATGGTGGAGAGATGCTGTCCAGTTCTTCGCATCAATTTGATGTGCAGACGAGCTAATGTACAAGAACTTACATAAAAACCGAAGCTTCCCAGTGCTCAGAAGTGTGAAACCGGATGCCTAACTCCACTTACAATACACATTAAAGCAAAGAAGCCCTACTGCTATGTAGCGGAGTTTGGCGGGGATCCCTTGGGACACTGCAGCTTCCACCACATGCTAGATGAGCTTGGGTTGTTTTTCAGTTTTTGTACCGGTGCACTCTTATTTAGGTGCAATAAAAATTTGACCAAAACTACCACAACTACCTTTACTAAAAAAAAGATGTCTGCAGATGTGTGCAAACTTTTGTGGCTCGTAAATCAAACACAGATAAACTACATAAGGAAGTTCTGAAACGATAAGAAGTGCTTGGTCTTCTTTTTTTGTTTTTCATTTCACGCATAGCTTCACAAGTGCTTGGACGTCAATCATCAAAATCTAGAGATGAGCGTATATTCGGATATTCATACAAATATTACACTATATGAATTCCCTTCGACATAAATTTAGATTATTTAAAATTTTGAAGTATTCGAAATGAACGAATGTCCCAAATATGTACAGTTGGACATACAAAACTTTCCTACAAAGATAATTTCACAGCAGAATAGAGGAGCTAGGCCGTGAAACCACCCATTCAGAATAAATCCGCACTGCCGTAAAGACTCACTTTAACGTTAAAAGCAAATATTTTCTCCATCTTAATTAATTTTTTTTTACTCTTGAAAAAGTGTTATAAATGCTCATTTGCTTTAAGAATTTTAATTTTTAAATCTCGATGTGCTGTCTCATACCACTGCTATACAAACCTTACTACTATTCAAAGTCATTTCCATTTCACTTAAAATGAAAGAAATGACATTCACACATGCCTTGCTCCAATTTTTGAAAATAATGCACAAGTTAGTCAAGTCATGGGAAAAATGCTAATTTCCCAAAATAATACCTGATATGTACTATTAGATTTAAAATTATTCGACCAAATCTCTATTTGCTTTGTATTTGCCTACTACCTCAAACTTATTATTTGCTCTTCCACAAAAAAATCTCATTACAGTATAAGCTCGATCATTTGACACCCCTTCCCCTATTGATTCATAAAATTCGATAATTGAGCTGTGTAATCTCGTCAGCAAGCTATGTATTTTCTAATGGCCTCAAGCACTTGTTGACCTAAACATATTTGGCTGCGACCTAGTTGATTTGGACAATCTTTCATGTGCACCAAGTACACAGTGCTTCAAATGCACGATACATAGAAGCAAAAATGGTGTTTGCAAACAACTGAATGGCCACGGGTCTTCGAAAAGGTTTGGTTGCCATCCACAATTGCATTGTTGGCAACCAAGGATTGAGTGGCTGCAGCAAAGTCGTTTCAATTCGATTTTACTCACCATCCATGAAATGCAAGGGTTTTATCTACGATCATGCTCATAGTGACTGGACTCAAAACTGCAACAAGCAGTAGTTTTGTTTCTTCCACATGTCTTTGCAACTGTGTACTCATCATCCATGATTGTGCATAAGCGAGCCAAGTTTATTCAGCATGCAGATGGGGTGCTCAGTAGCCTAATTTCAACTTTGGACGTATGCCGCACACGTGCCTTCAGGACTGTATGGTTACTATGATCATGTCTTTAGAAACCACGCCTTTGTTCACAGTGGATGCAGCATTCAGTAGCTTTGTTCCGACCTGGGGCGATGCGCGTGCTATATTATAAAGCTGAGACATTGTGGAAATGTGTAGTAGACGAAGAGCTTCAGCCATAGTAAGCATGCTGGCATAAAGATTGCATAATTGATATGTCATCATCATCATCATTATCATCAGCCTGACTACGTCCACTGCAGGACAAAAGCCTCTCTCCATGTTCCGCCAGTCAACTCGGTCCTGTGCTTGCTGCTGCCAATTTATACACCCCAAACTTCTTAATATCATCTGCCCACCTAACCTTCTGTCTCCCACTACCCGCTTGCCTTCTCTAGGAATCCAGTTAGTTACCCTTAATGACCAGCGGTTATCCTGTCTACGTGCTACATGCCCGGCCCATGTCTATTTCCTCTTCTTGATTTCAACTATGATATCCTTAACCCTGTTTTGTTCCCTAATCCACTCTGCTCTGTTTTGATATATACGCACAATCATTTGCCAGCCACTTTGCTGGCGAAGAAAACTGTCGCCGCATGTGGTGGTGATGTTGGTGTTGGCAGAACGCAAGAACAGCCAGAGGTTAGAGAGCACTGCGGCTGAAGACAGAAGGGTATTGAGCCTGGTCACACTGTGAACTAGCAAATGACGAAAATTGTGGCTTGTACACAGCTATAAGTGCTGGATTTACGTATTTATCAAAAAAATGAAAATGCATTGTTGCAGTCGACACTTGCTTACTACTTTCTGGATACTTTCAATAACTTCGCATTTGGTTGAATCGGACATTTTTTTTGTTTTTGTCCCATGAACTCCATATTGGCAAGTTTTGAATGTTAACAGAAATCGTATTAAAAGTGTTGCATAAACTTGAGCTGTGTGAATAGCAATGTTTTGTGTTGCAAAGTGAATCTGAATATTGAAGTGCGAATCGAATCGAATACTTCGAAACAAAACAGTAAAAAAAATAAGTTGCAGAGGATTCCTAAGCATATACTTAAGATATCAACACGAAAGTGTTTCTTTTGTTTAGATGGATAAAGCACTGCCGAGGTGCTTCGAGGTGCTTCATTCTCCATCAAGAATGAGGAAATGTAGAGAATGAACTGTATTTATGCACATGATTTGGTGCAACCAGAGTGTTGCTGACAACACTCTACGTGTGAAGGGAAAGGATGCTATTTCCTCAGTCTCTCCTCCTCTTTAAACTTCTGTGCAAGCCCAACTGATATGGTATACAAGGGGGTTCACTCTTTGAGTCTGAAGTTCCACATCTGCCTCATAACTGAAATTTCAGATGCTAAGAATTTTCACTGTGCGATTTTTTCAGAGTTCCTGTCCGAACTTTAGGTCAAATAAGACATCACATACATGTAGGAACCAGCGTTTTCTTGAGTCAATACACTGACAACTGTAGCATAACCTGAAAGGCAGCTTAGCCGCAATGCGAAAAAGTAATGGGGTTAAGCATAATAAAAATCAGAAGAAACAGTATTTAAATTTTCTGTCTCCATGAAGTTCAAATAGTTTTAAGAGTAATATTCCAGTGCAAATCGAATAACAAACAATACTCTAAAAATATTCGAAATTTCGAGCATTCGTGCACTCCTTGCATAAATGGAACAGTGTTAACAGTGTTTCAATCGGTAAATATTGTATTAGGGTAACAGTTATGCAGACCCTCACAGTTTGACAAAAAGTTTGTGAGCCATACTGCCATGTGAAGGAGGACAACCAGCTAAGTGGACTAGCACACAGCACAGGGGTGACACATAATTTATACCAATGATACAGAAAAGCACAAGATTATTTTAGTGTATGCTCCCTTAAAGCACTTTCACCTCAGTATGCATGAGCTAGAAGTGCATTTTTGTTTATTAATTCAATCAGTCAAACTTCGTTAGTATAGGACCAACTTTAGGTGTACTAATGGTTAAAACGTAGTGGCGAAAAATCCTCGACCTAGTCTTATAGAGACCGATGCATTCGCGGACTGTTTAAGCCGTAGTGTTCAACTTATTCCTACCAGTTAGAGCGTATGAACTGCGTACTGCGATAACATTCTACACCAAAAAATTTTACTGCCCGGTTGAACTTTCAGATTCCACAGTGTGCCGCGAACGATTTTCCGTCATGTTGATAAGTGCAGAGATCCGCCAATCAGTTCTGATTCTGACTTCGACTCCGACTTCCCCGCGATTGCAGCAATGACTTAGTGGGTAATTATAGGGAAAAAAACGAAGGCGAGGTGGCGACCACCAACAAATGTGCCGGTTTGACTTATCGCCGACAAAAAGCCTTATCACAGTAAGCATCTTCAGCTATCTACTCTTGCACACGTGTGTTGTAGCGCCACTTTAACCATACTGCACGCTTTTAGTAGGTGACTACCTAAACGCGCTGGGCCACCGATCGCTTCCGGTTCGTTGTTCAGTGTACACCTATTCACAAAAACACAAGCAGCTCGCTGTAGCAAAGTTTAGCATTGCGGGTCACGGGTACAGAGAAACCTATGCCAACACTCACACTGTATAGCAAGCATAATGCTGTTATAGCCACAATGCATATTTTCGTTCAGCGACAGACCAAACGTTCCTCTGCTCATTGCCAGGACTTCTAGATGCGAACAGCGCATCACTTGCAGAAAGCTTGTCATCCCCACATTAACCCAACAGGCTACTCGCCGCATCTGTGCGTGGTTCGAAGCAGAGTGGGTATACTCTACTGCAAGCGGATCGGCAGTCACGGTGTGCGCAGAGTAGGCCAAGCGATGCATGCAACTAGCCATGCAGTAAACGACTTGGCTCTCTGCGACCCTATGGCACTAAAAGAAAAAAAACTGCACCAGTTTTCACTTAGAAGCAGACCGTAGAACAACTGTATCATACTGCGTATCTCGGACCCCGCAGTAGTTTCAAATGCGCCTTGGCTTCACCACCGCGTGCGATCCGACGATTGTGCGAGAGTGACAGAATACTTTCTGCACTTTGGCGAAATGAAAGAAATGGCTTTGCAGTGGGCTCTTTACGCAATACTTCTTGTGGCAATGAATTTATTCCTTTGTTGGCGGCGATGGCGCATGTCAGAAGATACGAATTTGTATATGGCGGTTTATGCATAGTATGTTTAGTGCATAGTTATGTCGCTGTCCCCGTCAGGTATGTATTAACAGGGTTTCACTGTACTTCATTTAGTTATTAACACATTCATTTAAAATTTTTTTTAGTTTAGCATACGCTCCATGAAAGTACCACCACATAGAATCGCAAGACCCAGAACTGAAGTGCATAGGTTATATACTTATTTATCTACTCATTTATATTTTACTGTTTATTGTTCATTAACTATATCCTTTTGGTTTTAGTAAGCCAATGGTGCTCAAATTTTCGTGGCACATACCTGCTAGACATTTCCTGCTGAGTAGGCCACCACTGATTAGGTAACTGTTTGCAGAGTTACGAATGCCACGAATCACCGAGTGGCATAAGGTTCACTGTAGGGAAACCGCTTGCTGATGGTGAAAGAAGCCTCACCTGATGGCGAAATTCAGGCCGCAGGTAAGGCATCGAAATGGGCGCTCGCCGGTGTGCACACGGCCATGGCGTTTCAGGGCCATGGAGGAGAAAAAGCGTTTGCCACACAGCTCACACGGGAACCGTCGCTCTTCCTCATGGCTGAAGCGGTGCTCGACTAGGGTGCTCAGCTGCAGGTAGCCCTTGCCGCATACCTCACAGACATAGGGAGCCTTGCGCCCGTGTCCTGATTTGTGGGCCTGCATCTCCTTGTAGCTGCAAAATAAAGCACAGGAAAAGGGAGTCTGCCAGCCAAATCAGCCATCACAAATCCAATCTGGTTCTCGAAACCGTTCGACAAGTTCATTGTGTGGGTTCATTTTTGTGACTCGAGTGACCAGACTGCAATACGGGAAGAACGCAAGAGCACTCGCAGACTTAGAATTGGTTATTAAGGGTGAGCAAATAGTGAACTTTAAAAAAGTGATGTTCTAAAATTTTTTAAATTTTAAAAGAGCAAATAGTGAAGTTCTAAAATTCACTATTCAAATACAAATCGAATAGCAATGACAAAAAATATTAATACGTCATTAGAATAGTTCTCTAATAGACCTTTGCATCGGGCGAGGAGGTCCTGTCTGGCAACCAATGCATTTCTCCTCTCTGGCTTGCGAGCCACGGCTTGGAGTATGTGTGTCGTTGCTGGTATGCGTGGCGTTATCGAGCAACCTACCAGGTATAAAGCCAACCTGTGGATTTTGTTTTTCTTCATTGCTATGACGGCCAAGAGTTATCAGGGAACCACTGCACTGTTTTTGGGTGCAGTAACAACTACAGAAAAAGGAAACTGCTGTCGAAAGAAACATGCCATGTGCATCACCAGACGCGAAGTTCTTCAAGTTACCTTGTTTTCTTCAAGTTACATTGAATTCTTCAAGTTATTGTTTTCCTGTTGACAAGGAGCAGCGGCTTCTATGGCTTGCAAAATTAAACAGGAAAAACTTTGTACCTTCTGCAGGTACTCGTGTATGTTTTCAGGTTATAAATATATTTTGCAGGTTAGTTGGGTAATGACAAATATGCCCATTTCTTTTTATAATATTATGTGATATATAGAAATCAAATTTCAGTCAAATTGTTTTGAGACATATTAAAATGAACTAATATTCATATCAAATATGTTTTATGAAAATATTTTTTGCAAACTCTGGTTGTTTTTTATATGTTCTGGCATTATTTATTGTAACTGATGAACAGCTTTCATTCTAAATTAAGCGAACAATGAGCAGTCACTGTACCTGCCATTGCGAACAATTCCACTAGTTGCTTTGTACTGTCACCGACGCTCTTCAGAGAAATAAAATCAATGCTTATGGCCCCCTTCAGTCATCACAGAGCTGGGCTGGGCTGCTGATATTCCCAGCAACTGGTGGGTTGGTAGCTCATTACATTTTCTTCATTTTGTCCATATCACAGCTGTTACTGTTATGACAGCCTTGAGGATATGATGCCACAAAATGAACAGCCACGAATCAACAGCACCTGCTAGCTACACACAAACCTAAATATAATAACAAACACCGATATAACAATATATCAGTTATAGTGAAGTAAATGGAGAACAGTCTTGCAATAAATAAAGTTGGTACACACTGTTATAACTAATTTTCAGATATAATGAACATATTTTTGTAAAGATGCAACTTTGTGATCATGAGGTTTGAGTGCAATGGCGTTTGAATTCATCAACATCACAAGTGTCACTTTTTTACAGCTCTAAGGACCTTATTCTGTGGCATAGGGTGACCACAATTTAGCAGCTTATTCTAGCTATTCACCTTCACCATTTGCGTTCTCCACAATCACAAGACCAGCATGCTTTATGCCTCCCTAACTTGAACATCCAAATATGCCACATGAAGTAGTACTACTTGGTTTACTTCCGTATCGTTTTTCTGCTCTATGGCTTATATAACATCATTTTCAGGTGTGACGAGCATGTCTACCAGCAGACACGTGAGAGAAGCACCTCGGTAGTACAGTATGTCCATTACTTAGACACTGCAATAAAATCGCCGGAGCCACGAAATAAAAAGCTGGCTCCAAGGCAAGAGAAATGCAATCAAGGACAACTACCGTATTTACTAGCGTAATGATCGCACTCGCATAATAATCGCACCCCTAAATTTTGTGGTCTAAATTCGACTTTTTTTTTTTTCCCCGCGTAATAATCGCACCCTGAACTTGCCGCATCTGACATGTCATCTGCCACGTCTAGCTGAACTGCGCCTATCATTGTTTCTGTGATCTGAAAGCGGACATCACTATGCTAATGCCGTAAATTTACTTATTTAAATAAAAGCATTCCTTATTTAGATGAAAGAAACTGTTTTGACGTGTGTGACGTACCCACAACCTCCATAACTGATGCAAAGAAGAAAAAAAAAGCGGTGGCTTCACTCCATGGAGCGCTTCGCTCTGTCAACCGCCATGTTTGTTTTGACATCCCGCACTGTTACAGCGGCGGCCGCCTGTTGGTCGACCTGAGTTCATCCCGCAGAAATGTTTTTTTTTATCCTGAAACCACATTTTTTTTTTGGTGTGCTTTGTGATCGTCTGTTGAAGCGCCGTTTCACCGTGGGGCGGTATGCAAGCTTTACTGCCGCGGTTCAAGCTGAAGGCACTAGACTACGCATTAGAGCACGGCAACCGTGCTGCCGGCAGACATTTCGGCGTCGACAAAATCCAGATCCGATATCCGATTTTAAGTGCAACATGATCATGGCTACTAACAGCACGCAATGGGCTTTCCGCAGACCCAAATCTCGCAAGTTCCCCTGACATTGAAAAGGCAGTCCTTGAATACAGTGAAGGACATGCGCAAGGACGGTTATGCAGTATCATTAGACATGATACAGACACAGGCGTGCTCAGTTTCCCGGAGGCTGGGAATAGTCACAAAGGACTTCCGCGCCAGTTCCGGCTGGACGACACGCTTCATGCGGCGGAATGGACTGTCGCTGGCATTTCCAACGCGCTCGACGGAACGGAAGATGACCCTCTGTGGGACAGTCCTGGAAGCATCTGGCGACCCTCGTGCTCCTCTCGGGTCGCCAGAACGTCCAACCCGAGCAAAACTGAACGCCAACCGGAAGTGCTGCCGCGGGGGGGGGCGGAGCAGCCCGAGAAAAACGAGCGCTCTCTGGCTGGCTCTGGCAGCCCACGCGTAGCCAGAAGTCGAAAATCGAAGAGCCTCAGTGAAGACACTGCCGGTTCTGACAGGGAATTGTGCGGCGGCGACACTGACGCCAGTGATGCTTCGGAGTCTGAATGAACATTAGGGGGTCAGAGAAGGTAAAAAATAAAAGGGCAGTGTGCCGTGCATGTAGCTCCTGCGTAATGCGTGCATTTTATTACAAAGGTAAGCCTTTATTTACTTTTATTTTTGGTTATTTTCATGACAGCTACCGTAAAATTCTCATTAACAACTTTTTTGCGTTTCCGGTGCTCAAAATATTTTTTTCACGAAAAATTTACCCCTCGTAATGATTGCATCCCGAAGTTGGAGCCGATTTTCCGAAAAAAAAAGTGCGATCATTATGCGAGTATATACGGTATGTGAAGTTGGGAAACTTTCAGTTACTATGCAGGGTGGGCTCAGTTTAGGCAGAGCACTGGTAATGAAAGCTCCCTAAGGCAACACTTGTCTTACTGTGAACATAACAGGGGCATTCGACAACAACAAACATGCAGTGAAGGTGAGGAAATGAGCACAAATTTCCCACTCACGTCATGAAGGATTCCTGGCAGATGGAACATTTGAAAGGTTTTTCAGGCTGTGAGTGCATTATCATGTGCTGCTCAAGGGTGTCTCGGCGAGTGAAGTGAGTGCCGCACTCGGGACAGGGAAACAGCGCCTCTTGGCCACCTTCGTGAGTCCGCAGGTGTCTCGCAAGGGACGTCTGGTCGAGGTAGTGTGCATCGCAGAGATGGCACGACAGTGGCCGGCGGGCATGCATGCGACGGTGCCGCGCAAGGCTGGAGCCCACGTATGTCTCGAACGGGCAGTCGGGGCACGTGTGCTTGATCCGTGGGCCCTCGTCCATTTCCTCCCCGAACTCGCGAAGCTCCTCGTCCCCCTCCACCATTTCCACTGCAGCAATCACAAGTGGCCGAAAGAGCTTGTTGGTGGTGAATGATAAGAAGTTCTGCATTTAGTGTGTCAGTGTACATCTACCAGGAGGCATACATAAGAGCCCAAGCCAGTTTACAACCTACTTGAAGAACCTTGTGCCATATTTGACAGTGCACCTCAGTGTTCCTTTTGTTTATTTCGATGAATGTTGACCTCAGAGATTCTTAGTAGTTTTCAACCATGAAGCCTTTGATGTCATTGAATGGCAGTTCATTGTTCTCTAGAATCACATTTGACTTTTGATTTGCTTGCTTTAAGAGTGCAATGTTTGCTCTCTTCTATTTTGTCACTTAGCAGTACACGTACATGTTTTCCTGTGGATCTTCACATGTTTCGGTTGCTTTCTCTCTTTTTTTTTTTGGCTCTGTTGGGGCTCAAACTACTTCTGAAACTTTTCGCTCTAGGCCCAATGTTCACAATTTTGATGGAATAAACATTTATTAACTCATATTAAAACACAAGCAGCATTGGGGATTTTAAGCTGCTTAGAGCTCTTGCACAGATATACTAAATCAAAATCTTCGTGCAGTGTGAAAGTAACGGGAATATCATTTTATATTACTGGCACTGCCTCATTGTACAAGAATGCCTTTGTGCATGGATGCCCAGGTATGAATTTGTCCAGTGAAGCATTTCCAATTACTATTCACCGGTGAATTCCTGACCTCCTTTCAATATATACAAGTCATAGTAGCATTCCAGATGCAGTAAATAGTGCGACAGTGTCGTCGTTTTTTTCTTCCTTTGTCCCTGTTTGTAAGTGTGTCCCATTTTTCGCATTAGGATGAACGGATACTAACTAGCCCGAATGGTTGTCTAGCTACAAAAAATAAGTAACGTAACTACAATAACCAAAACAGTGCAATTTAGTACCTCATTAACGCACAATCATGACATTATATAGCTTCAAACGATCCAATATGAACAGTGTGGCCAGACTGTATTTGAGCATCTGGCTAAATTGTAAATCAGAACTCCATGCGTACTGATGGCCACTAGTTACACATAAAGCATGATAATTAGTGATATAACAATGAGAATGTGGTGCGAGTAAACTGGCTGATCATGCTGGCTTACAGCCGGAACAATGTGTTAGCTGTGGGCAGTGATACTGCCGGGGGTGGCACACTGAAGATGTGCCCTCTCCTGAAATTTCTTTTCGTCCATGGGATACACAGACGCCAAAGGCCGACTCTGGTGATTTTTCGAGGTCAGTGGATCTCAATGACATTCACTGGGTACGTTCATTTGCACATTTGCTCCATTCATGCCAAATTGCACGCTTGAGAGTTTTGCAGCTATTTTTCAAATGCATTTCATAGCTTCGCCTTCAAACGCCCACCTCGCTTGGCAGAATTAACAGTATGCATGTGACATGTAGGGGTCTCAAAATGGTGAGCACCATGCTCTAGGAGTGAACAGACACAGCAGATGTGGTCGGAACGAACCAAACAAGACACATTTATTTAACTACTTTTAGAATGACGATATTGTCAGCCAAATTATTATAACATCAATCGTGATCAACCCGCTAAGACATCCTTACCCAATATTAGACAACACTCAACAACATGACAAACAAGGCGGTCTCGCCAACGCCTGACTCACCACAAGCGCCCCCGGCAAACAACCCGCGGTGCTGTGCACCGGGGTCCTACTGCGAGAGACAACCGTTTGCGCCAAACTGCCACCAGCGAAAGACTCGCTCAATTCTCTCGTTCTGCCACCAAGGCCTGCTGCCAAGGGTCACCGCCGGCGCTATCAATCTAACCATGATGATGATAGTGGTGATCAACGCTTGCGCACACAACGCCACCTACCGCTCAATGATTGTGAACCCGAAATGCGGCTTTTGTGCGAGACACGTGCGCCATGCGGCGCAAGTAACTTTACACGGAGTGTCAGCACCCTAAGAGACATTGATTTTTTCAAGCAATCGAAGTGACGGAACTGATGTGCCACTGCAGCGTCTGCTTGTCTGCTATGATTGTGTGGGTTAAGCCGGTGCTTCCTTTGTTGAGCATGCGATTTCTTTTTCCGTTTGTGTGGGCGAGCAATGGGTGACAAGTGGTGTTGAGTTGTACGTCGCACACACTCCGCCATATATTCACCATAACAGCGTAAGCGTTTTAGCCAATCGCTCAGGCACAAATTTGCACAGCCTGGGCAAGTAGTGCCATCTGGTGGAGTTAAGCCAACCACTGCAGACAAATACGAAAATCTGTCCGGCTTCATCGAAGAGGAACGGCGACGCTTGTTGACCTCAAAATGCATCTGCATTGTACCTGTCATTGTTTGACAGCTCCGCAGAGCTTGTGCATGAGACACGACATCACAGACACGGTGCAGTATTGTTGGCATGCTGACCTATCCACTGAGCGTCTGTTCTTTGCGACTTTTTGCGGTTTCCATACTCCAAGCTGGCGGTACAGACATGCCTTGCAGGATTTGCAGCTCTAGCAAAGTATTACGTCATACATAGACAGTGTACTCAACTAGATTTCGGTTTTAATACTAACATATTGTTTTGATTAAGAACTATTTTGGAATTTGTTGCGTGTTTCAGCTATCGGGCCCATAACAAGAGTGTCTCAGGAACATATAAAGCAGCATTAGCCTGACATGATGAAAAAATTGCCGGAGTTCGCCCTTAACCACATCTACCTATCAGTGCAGATTACCGAAACGAATTTCTGCCTACACCCATGGCTGGCGAATGATGAGCAGCAGAAGTACCTAGAAATCTACACCCCCAATATCCAGATGGCTGTTTCAACAGAGAAGCCTGTCATGTTGCATCTTCATCTATGTTTTTTAGTCAATAAAAGAATGTCTTCTATGGCAAGAAATGTACAAGATGTCATCTTTAGCATCTAAGATTTATAGTTTAAATGGGGTTTCCACACTCACAACATTACCTATGTTCTGTAATTCGAACCAGCTTGAAGAACAGTTATATTGCTGAGTCATCTTTCTGCATGAGGAGGTCAATGAATTGTTAATATATGTTGGCATGTCTGAATGCCAATATAGTATCTGCAAACTAGAAGAGCACCAGCTAATGTTTTTGCCACTTACCTTTGCAAAGGATTCCATTTTCATCATCGGATCCATTGGCGGCATCATTAGTGTCAAAATCAGGGGCGTCATATTCAACGCTGTCGCCAGCATCTCCACCATCAGGTTCAGGTATACCTGCAAGTTGACATTATATAAAGAACAAAAACCAAGACATCTAGTGAATGAACATACAGATGTGTACGTCGCAGCCAATGACAAAGGAGAACACAAATAGACTGAGGAAATAATTGTTGGAAATCTAGCCATGGACCTTATCTTGTGAATTTAAAAGGGACATTAAGGCTAATAACAATTTATGTCAGAATGAATGGTAAGTGCTGGAGAATGTCTAAACTGTCATTATTGCAGGCATCAGTGCTTTAGCAATCCAGAAATTAGGGTAAAAGTAGAACATGATTTGCACAATCAATGGGACATTCTGGAACACAAGCCTGATGATGTATGATGACCTTAGTACAACGCAACACAAGTACTCAAACTGCTCATGATGAAACGGAATGCTTCAGTGCATTACAAGATGGAATAAAATACAACTAGAATATTTCATTCTGATTTATATAATACAGAGCTTCTTGACGTTACCCTTGAGAATGATGTAAGTTTAATTTTCATTGGGCTGAAGCCCCTTGCTCTGTTGCACTGCAGCACGGGCTGTCAGGCAATACACCGAGTAATGTGCTAGCAGTATGCAGACAATAAAAATGTGATTTTCTTCCAAACTAATAATTTCCAGGGCAAAACAAGCTATGAGGTTTCTGGGACCTCATTTCAACGGTACACGCTAGTTGTTTGCCTGTAGTGTCCTTTTAAATAACACTATGCTTTAAATAACAGAATGAGAGAAAAATACTGTTCAAATGTAGCTTTCAGGCCAAGGTTGCCAGGTCAAATCCAAAAAATCCAAAATATTGAAAAAACTAGCCAAGAAATGTTGCCAACTGAAGCCAGAAGTAGCCATGTATGTATGAAAACAACCATGACATGTTTACTTAAATGAAAAAATACAAAAGTTTTTTCCGCAGAACTGCAAACAGTGCAGCATGACCACTTAAATGACAATTTCTGAGAGTCAATCATAAATGCTTGGCTTTAGCAATCAGTCTCATGCGCAATGACCTAAGTTTCTGGCGATGTTGCGAAAAGCCGCCAGGCCTGCACGGAAAGTGCGACAGTCACCGCAAAAGCTGGAAGAGCGCCTTTCTCATAGCAAACACTCTTTGGACTACTAATACAAGTTCACTTGCAGGGTACCCACTACTCCATTAATTTATTCGGTGGCTGATGACGATGAAGAATTATGGCTGAGCTCTTTGTAATGGGTTGGAAGCATTCAGCAACTCACTTATAATGCAATTCATATTGTGTGACACCTGGTTACAGAATTTGCACTTTGTGATTCCAGATTGCTATTTTACTTTTCTACTATGTTTAATTTGTATAAGTTATACAGTTATTTCTCGAAATAATGCTTGTACATATTGTTTTTGTGTGGAGGACTTTCGAGCACTGGCATGGCTCAGTGGTAGAATACTGGGCTGGCACAGTGAGGACCCGGGTTCAAACTCTGTTCAATTATCTTAGGTATCTTTTTTTTTTGCTATATCGATTATGCACACCGGCGGCAGACAACTATGGCACCCTTATGCGACTTCACAACAGCTGTCGCAATAAAATGAGACTCTCTCTAACCATCTTTAGCGACTTTCCTTAAAAGGAGTGTAAGTAACAGCCTCAGTACATTAAAAATGAATATTGCATAAGTGTGCTCAATATCAGCAGTTGCTGTCACTGTTACAATTACTTCTAGCTTGACAATGAAGTCTGAGTATTTAACAGTCCTTAGTCACAACATATGGAGCACACAAAGCAGGGCTGTGCAAAAAAGCACAGACAAAGAAATGCAAGTACACAGGATGTGCACAAATTTGCCTTTCTTTGCAAGTTCTTTTTTTATTTTTCACACAGTTCTGCTAGGTTCGAGAATGCAACAACTAGCCCAAGCAAGAGCTTTAGTGTTCCTTAGTTGCAGTTCGTGCCTTGTCCCAAGAAATGATGCATACATTTCTTCAGGCATCCATTTGCTGATGCCAATGAGAAAAGAATGCGGAGCAGTTTTAATTGTCTTGTCCACTTCCTATTATGTATAAAAGGCATTCAGCAATAGGTGGCCTTCCTATTGAGGTCCCATGCAACCAGTTTTTCTCGTTTTCTCAGAGACTTAGGCATGTGTCTAAGAATGTTCCCGTTTGTTTATTACAAGTGCTGAATTCGATTTTGGGAGCTTTAAACACACGTTGACCATCGTGTTTTGATATCAAACACTCAAACAGCAGTGGCTGCAACGTCAAGGGATATTGATAATTTGGTCCAAATCGAGAGAACTAGAAAATAGCCAAAATTTGGTCAAGTAGCCAGGCCACTTTTTCTATCGCCAGCCGGCTAAGAAAACTAAGCAAGCCTGGAAATTCTGTTTCAGGCTGCAAACTTTCATTGTGCCAAACAGCAACAAACACTTCTGTTCAATTATTCAGCCTCAAATGCAAGGGACAAGATCTCATTAATTCCATACTATCAAGCTCATCTAGATCTGGTTGTATGTAATAGTTTTTTCAAGCAACAGTTCTCATTATGGCACTTGATAGCCCCGCTACGTAATGTGCCACACACAGAAGCAACATGACAAGGGATACATCACGTTATGTGGAAGTCAGTTCATCCCCCATTTTCGATAAATACCAAGTCAAACGTACATTGCAGAAAGCAATGTGATTCAAATTTGTTCATTAAAGAAGTACGCGAAACAAATAAAGAACCTTTAAGTTATGACTAACATGCAAATAATTGTGAAAGAGAACCTAAACCCATTTGCAGTTATGAAAGTTGAGCTCTATTTTAGAACCATGCATTTAGTCCCATGCTGAGCGACCAACCGAAATCTATGGCCGGGAGAGAGATTGTTTTTCATGCCAGCGCCAGCTTTCTAGAGTCCTTCACGCAGTGAGAGAGAGAAAAAAAAGGAGGGTGGGGGGAGATTTAACACCTTCGCAAAGCAAACGAAACTAAGCTAAGGCAGGACTTTCAGCCAAAAATCTGTAAGAATTCGAGCTAGCATCGAGAAATTATGGATAAACTAAAAGGTTAATGTATTCGTAGGAAGGCAGCTAGCCCATCGAACGACCTTTGCAAAGCCGCACTTGTTCGATTCGGTCCGCAATGCCCGCGGTGGACGAGGCAAAACCTCGTTCAGCAAATACAACTTGCGCTATAGCGAGATACCTTACGTTGTTATTTAAAAGCACGCACTTGGGGTAGCGCCACACAGCACTCGATTTGCTTCAAAGGCAACAGGCCACTGTGTGAAGCGGAGGCTTTATATTGGCGTCACCGAGTAAGGCAAAAGAGATGAAACCTATTTTTTTTTTTCTCATTTTTCTCCAGCCCCGCCCGATAAGTATTGCCGAAAACGTTCAAGAGACCTCGCCGACGGCGCTCTAAACTAGACGGCGAAACAAAGTGTAAACAGAGAGCAACCGGTTCTGCCACATATACAGTTAGACACATCACGGTAGGAGGGACGAAATGGCATAGTTTCGTGCATTAGGGGTGCTCATGGGGATGAAGAAAGTGCGGCATGCAGTTCGCAACAAGGCGATCCCAGCTGGTAAGCGCGAAAGCGACTAGCCGGCAAATGCTTTCAGTACTGGCTGTTGGCTGAGCGTCGCTCGACGAAAGTTGGCGATCTTCCGGCTCCCGGGGTTGTGGCCACTCTCCGTCGCTCATTTAGCTGCGTTGAACAGAATGGCGTCCACAGATGCAAGTGGTTGTGCATTCACGTCCGAGCTCACTATGCGAGGAGCGAATTATTAATATCAACCGTTAAATCAGCGCCTTAACGCGCTGATATGTACCAGCCCGCATAAGCGCAGACGCCATAGAACAGCGGACAGCAATCAGCGCCGCTAGCGCCGCTTTCGACCACTCTTTTGATAAAGATACGTTATAGTCTCACTTTTGCGGCAAAATATTTCGATATTAATAACTGACGCATGAGCAATATTGTTCTAACGTGCATTCAGCTTGCGGGAAGTGTAGAGAGAAAAAAGAAGATCGCCAAACAAAACCGGAAACGTGAATTCGTGCATTTCCGTCCTTCGTTCGCTTCCATGTTCGATCTCGCTTGACTAAAGTTCAAATGTGGATACTCACATACAAACTTGAATGTTTACCGCGGTTTATACGGCTGTAGGATTATGGCGGTGAGCGTTTGATTCGAGCGTTTTAACGCGTTCGTTCTCTCTGTGCGGCAGCGTGCTCATGGGCGTGCTAGACGGGCTCGGGAGTTGTGCGATCGTGTTCTCCCGCTGTTAGGCTCGATGTTCATTTCACCGTACGCCCGCGTGATGCTTTTCTTCAGCGCGCGCTTCCTTGGAATAGCTCGCAGATCAAAACACGGCAATACCGGCAAGAGATCGCAAAGAAAGCCGTGGCCGTGTGATCGCGTCTTCTCTGCGCGATCACTCGTTGGCGTCTCAAGGCCGCTGCATTGCCCGCCTCTCCCAGCGTTTTGCCCGCGCTCGGAAGAAAAAATTTTCATCTTCCACAGTCGGTAACGTATGTGTTCGGGTTCGTTTGTTGAAATACTGGCGCATCGCAGCGCATCACGGGGTCGGAAGAAAACGAGGACGGTCGAACGATCGCGCGTTCTTTAGTTTCTTCTGTGCCTTTCTTTATGCGCTGCGATTAAAGCATTCCCGAGTCGGTTCATTGAATCTACACAACAGTGCGGCCCGTTCATTGCAACGATTGTGACTTGCGTACCAATTTTCTGTTCCTCACTAGGCTGCAGAGGTCGTCGCCTCCTGTAACGACGACGATGAGCTGTGTCCGGCGATGTTCGTCGAATCCCAGCTGGAGACGCCGGACTCCGAAGTCATCGACAGGGGGAAGCTGCTCGAGAATCTACTTACCATATCGAACTGTAAGCACATGCTTCTTCACACGTCATGCTCGCTTAAACGATGCGCAGTAGACGTCATGCAGTAGCAGCGTTTCTCTGTGGTATCGCAGGCATACGAAAAAAAAAAAAGGAAAAACATGATTAGGGATATTATTTTATGCTGAATGTATTAGCGAATTTTGGAGTACGCACCATTATTCAGCTCCTCACATATAACTGACGTACTTGCAGATGTGCTGTCTTCAGTACGTATATGACGTACGAGACAAATATGCATTCCATGTATGCATGTTGTCGGTACTGTGTATCGACGTCAGCCCAGTATGGTCTACTTGAGAAGGAACATCAAGTTAGTAGATTCCTACCGATTAACAGCTTAAATTTGACAGGAATGCATGCAGATTACTCTGCTTAAGCAAAGTTTATTTGTTTGTATATTTGTTTGCCTACCTTTGCGACACTTGGCGGCTTGGTAGGTACAAAAAAAAAAAAGTGTCGCCTTGCCCAACTAATGCAACTTCAATAAACTCTTATGACTGCAAGAAGTGGGATTTATGAGAAGCTGTCTCCCACGTCACTTTTTGTGTGAGGTTGTTGCCTGTAAGTGCTGCAGATGTGTGTGAGCAGGCTTTTGCAGATTACAGCCCCATCATTTCGTGGCAGTGAAAGTGACTACTGCTCTTGCATTTCTGTGCCAGCGGGGACGCCGGTGATTCAGGAGCGAACGGAGTACCCATGTCCCCTCTGCCGGGGCACCTTCCCTGCTCTCGGTGACCTGGTGATGCACGAATGTCCCAAGGAGAAGCCACCCCGGTCCCTGCTCACTTGTTGCTTCTGCAGCTTTGCCACTGAGCAGACTACTGTATTTAGGGCACACCTAGATGTAAGTACATTTCTATCAGAGGAACGCTCTGCATTCCGAGGAATTCTAGTGAACAATATCTTTTTTTTTTTTTTCATATGTGCACAAGTCTTTACACGCCAGTGCAATGAGAAAACTGTCAATCTGTTATTGCGTTAGACAATTATTACCACAAAGAAATAATGAATAAAATTTTTAGGTGGAGCTGGATTTGAACCTCAGCCTCCCATGCTCCGGATACAAATGTCTAAACTACTGGTTCACACAGCTGTGCTTGCAGAATGTAAGCATACTGGAACCATGTGATTGCATTGGACCCGCACTGCAAAAAAATTATGTAGAAAGATGTAGCGACCAAAAGACGACGAAAAACTGCTTTAGTGGGGGGACGGGTGAAGAGAAAGAAGAATAAAATCTTCTGTCTCAGTCAATGTTGGAACGTTATATTGGCGCAGCCTTCAACAGGATCAGAAACGTAAGTATGCGGATAACTTTGACTTTATCCCGAAGTTCAAGTGGCAAGTCGTATTTTTCGACGTGCAAAGTGGATGAAGACACGTATAAATTGTCTGAAGGTATCACGACTTCCGGACTGCATGAATTCGTTGCTCAGAAAGCTGGGAAGACACTGGGTGAGCTCGACCACCAACTATCAGTGAAGCTGAAACTGAAGTACTCCGAGTTTCAAGAATACATTATGCGGCCACTTTTGAAAAGGTCGTCAAGGGCTTTGCCAGGCAAACAAGATTGTTCCGTTGACTCATGCTTCATGGAAATCCTCTACCGTCAGCAGCAGTACGCAGAGCGACAGCAGCAAATCATGGACAGTCTTCTTGCCGTCGTCCAGACACAGCAAAGCCTGATCCATTCGATAGTGAAAGCACAAAGCCAGACACCTGGATCAAGTTCTACGAAAACGCTTCTGTAGACAACTCTTGGCAAGAATACAGTGAGCGCATCAGGAACATGCGTCAGTTTCTTACCGGACTGGCTTGAAAGTAGTATGAGCTTCACTTTGCTGGACATGAGACCGACACATGGTACGAGTAGAAAAGGAGTTTCCTGGCGGCTTTCGATGAAAATCCCGTTGAAAGTGGGACTGAGCAATTTTTTTAAAATATCGATCAGGAAAGCCCCTAGAATATTTTTATGAGAAAAGGCGGCTTCGTCAAATGGCAAGCCCGGAACTTCCGGAGTCCACGATAGTACCGCTCATTATTCACGTTCTTCCTAAGGAACTCCAGAGACAAGCACTAGTGCAATCGCCCAAAACTATTGAGGAACTTCTGGGTTCCTTAAAGAACCTCTTAGTTGGTCTGAATTCCCAGAATCTGAGCCGTTCAGATTACCATCAAGAGAAGGCACCTTGGAGGTTGTGAGATTTTGACAGTTGGCAAGGACGAAACCGAGTGATCAATGTAATCTCCAAGGCCAGTAACCACCAAGAGCATATGGCTTCTTCGCACTCAGACGAGGCTGAAACAAAAAACGAATAAAAGCGCTTGTGTTGTGTGTTCTGTGTAATAGTGGCTGCGCTTCCTAGCAAGATGAATAAAAGAGGGTACGCAGTCCCACGTGACGACAAAACTGGAAACTGTTTTTCTAACGGCTCTTAATCTCTTATATATCAAACTAAAGGTGAATGGTGAAGATGTTGATGCACTAGTGAATAGTGGGGCATCTGTGTCCGTCATAAATAAGGCACTTGTAAAAAGGAAAGAAATTATTCAAAGGAGATCAGTACAAGCACAAAGCTTCGATGGGACAAGACAAATTTATGATGAATGGGTGAGAACAAGTGTCTCTTTTCAAGGCCAGAATGCTGACATTGATGCTCTCGTAGTCAAAAGGTGTGCCTACAAATTTTTACTTTCCCGACCTGATATGAAGACCCTAAAGTGAAACCTTTATTGGAATGGGGAAGTGACTGTGGCAAAAAAGACATGTGCTTCCTTGAGCATGGCGGATCACCTTATTACATGTAAAGATGAAGTCCGCTGCAAATTCCCGAACTTGTCTGCTTAAGCAACTACCCACCGGCAACAACAAAACTTTCGGTTTCTTTCAAGCTGAAAGACGTTACACCAATCAGGAGAAAGCCTTGCAGCATGTCACACGAAAAGAAAGTTTAGTTGAAAAGCGAGTTCCAAAGTATGTTAGATGCTGGCATTATACAGCCATCGGTGTCCACGTTCGCCTCAGCAATTACACTGGCTCCCAAAAAAGATGGATCTTTGAGACTATGTACAGACTACTCAGTCTTAAATTGCCAAACAGATCTATTTCCTTCCCTGATGCTAAAGATCGAAATAACTGAGGAAACGGGAGGCTGCAATGTCTTCTCCCGAATAGATCTTTGCAAAGGATTTTGGCAGATACCCCTCGAAGAAGAATACAAAATGTACACAGCCTTTGTCACTCCCTTGATGTATATGAATTCAATCGCTTACCTTTCGGGTGGAAGAACAGTGCTGCCTGGTTTCAAAACATGATGAATGGCATCTTGAAACCTTTTCTTCGAGCATTTTGTAATGTCTATGTTGACGATATTTTAGTCTATTCAAAATACGAGACTTCTCACGCTCAACATTTGACGGCTGTATTGATCGCACTGAGCGGAGCTCAACTGAAAGTGAATTTTAAAAAGAGTGAGTCCTTCAAGGCAAAAATTACATTTCTTGGACGCATCCTGGAACAAACTCTGGAAAACTGCAACTATACAATATAACTACGGTGATACATCACTTTGACGACTTGCAAAGAATTTTTTGCATGGTTATTTAAAATTTTGTTACATGTACACGCATTTCATTGTGTGAACCACTTCTTCCCTGCGAAAAAGTGAGATTATTCTTTCATATAGGTCTCTTTTTGCTGGTTAGATGTTGGCATTAACAGCGGACTCTATGAAACTGACTCATCCCCCTCCCTATGTCATTCTGCTCTTGTAGTCCATTTTAGTGAGCAATGGAACGACCGGCTCTTCCTTTTCATTTTCAGTTACACATCAAGCCGTCGTTGCGGTGTGGCCACTGCAACCACACGTTCCCGAATGAAAACGTCCTGCTACAGCACCTGCAGCTGCACGGGTCCAGTTTGCCGCTGGAGCCCCTGGCTGCCATCAACAGCACGTCGCCGTACACTGCCTACTTGTCGCCACAGACGACTCCCATTCTGGCGAACAATAACGGCACCCTCTGCGTAATCAATACACCCACCTACGTGGTGCCAGGTGAGAGCTTGTAGTGGCTACTTCTGGATGACATTTCAAAGGGGCACTAACGAGAAAATAGATTTCAACCCTTTTGCTGCCACTGCTTACCTGCTTGCCTTGTTTTATAATGAATCCTTACAAACCAGCTCAGCTGTTCATAGTTCCAAAGTTCTGATCGCAGTATTGCTAATATTGCCTTCAAGCTCTGTTCATGGCAATAAGCTCTGTACTTCCTTTTGCTATAACAAAGTCCTCTGCTCAACAGGCGGCAATGCCTCTCACTGTCAGTTTGTGCGAGTAAACAGTTCAGAAGTTGCTCTGTTGGCTGGAGTTTTCCAGCAGCCTTATCTCTTGGCTCAATATGTGCAGTGCTGGAGGACCACCACTCGAGGTACACATGCACATTGTGCAACGCTATGTTCCACCGACTGAGTCTACTGGCAGCACATGGTCTCAAGCATTCCGAGTTTCCAGACATCCACATTCAAGAGAACCTCTTGCTGCCAGGCAGGGGCTCGCAAGAGCCATTTGGAGGTAAGTCGCCTTGACTCTAGTGTGACCAAGATGCACACTATACCACCTAGGTGCTACAACAATACCTTTTCTTTTAATTTTTTTTTGTGCAATTGTGTTGAGTTGCCACGAAAATGCAGGAGTTAATAGTATCCAAGTGACAGGAAAGTCTAGGCTTGAATAGTTATGTGCAGAAAGCATTACAGAGGCATGCTAACGCTGAAGCAAGTTCCATGTGATAAAGAGTCGCTTGCTGCGTTATATGGGGCAGCATCCACAAGCTACACAAATTCTCTGCAAAATTGTCAGTGCAATGCCTAAACAGAGCTCTTGTTTAGATGGCGTAAGAAGCATTATGAGCAGACGTGCTACCCCAAAAACCCAGCAAAACTCTGCTTGAAATGGTGGACTCCTGATCATGGCTTCAGCAGTAAATATCTCGATGAAATACCAGCATGTCCTCGGCTCACAAGATTCATTGTGTCTGCTCCAGCAGTAGTGATGGAAGCTAAATTTTTCACTGAAGGGAAGTTACGCTGAGCCATCTGTGAGCAGCTGCATTGCCCACGGTGACCAATCATTAATGGAAGGAGAAGTTGCATAGAGAAACATTCTAATGACAGCATGCCTAGGCAGCTATGCTCGTGCTTGAAGTGAAGGGCTCTCCGCTAACTATTAAGGTCGAGTAAGTGATAGTGACCATAAATGCATGTCACATCATGAAGGATGTGACAGCCAAAATAGGATTAGGAGCAATTTTCCTATTAGCAAAATGTTTCTCTTGTAGCACGACATACCAAAATCAGAGAAGTATAACCCCTTCAGGAGCGAGTGTAACCCATTTCACTTCTGCATTCAATGCTGCGGCACGGTTTATGGCACTCCACATTTGCTTATATTTTGCTCTTTCATAAGTGAGAAGCTAAATGTTCAAGACACAAAAGCTGCATCCCAGGAAAAGATGCTTGGAAGCATTGATGTAAGTGATGTTCACTTATGTGTCTGCGCAGCGCTCATGTGCTCTCAGTGCTGCGTCGTGTTCACCCACCCGGTGGCCCTGGCGGCCCACTCTTGCAACTGCAAGGGCAACGAGAGCGGCGGGGCCAGTGCCCCTCTTTTGGCGGGGCAGCAGAACGTGTTGGCACCGCTGCAGCAGCTCGTCGAGTCACAGCCGAACCAGCTGTCGCCTCAGCAGCAGCTCTCTGCGGGAGTGGCCTCGAGCCCCGTGCGACTGTACTGTTGCCCGTACTGTCCCTACACCTCGTACCTGCTGGCCAGCCTTATCAGACACAAGGAGGTCCACTTCTCTCATCGTTGCAGTGAATGCTCTGTCCGGCTACCTACAATGCTTGCCCTTATACAGCACAAGCAAAAGGTGCACATGGTTCACTATCAACATGCTTACACCAACTGGAACGAGGACAGAGGAAAGGATACAGCACAGGCCCTGTGAGCAGCGCCTGTGTTGTATTCCCCTCTCTGCCCTCCTCCAATTCGTGCTGTGCAAACATGTCGATAGTGTGCATGTTTTCAGACGTTTAATGATTATTTAGACAGTGGTATGAACAAGGCAGTAATAGTTTGCATGCTGAGCAGCAATATGGAGACACCAAAGAGATGAGAAAAAGAACAGGATGTGTCGCTTATGCGGTCATTTGTACTGTTTGCCCTAGCATATGCAAACAATCCTGGTTTGAAATCCTGGTTGCATTCAAACAATCCTGATTTTAGTATGATTAGGGTTTTAGGAAAGGGAACATGTGCTGCGGAAATCATACACTATAATTCTGTCTACATAGATATTTTATCGCTCGGCCGAGGTAAAGCCATTTAGGTGCACATGTAGAACAGTAGCTTGGGCTAGTTGCTAACTCACTATCAATATGTTTTCACACTGCAAATATAACGAAGACAGAGGAAAGGACACAACACAGGTACTGTAGGCAGCACCTACATTGCCTCTCAGCCTTCTATGAGTTGTCTCCCTCTCAAGTAGTCAGCAGGGAGCAATGCTGCTTGGATCAACTGAAAGTTGCACGAGGTTGCCTGTTTTGTGGTTATGACGTGGGTTCTCTTTCTTTTGGCATCAAAATAATACATTGGCTACATTTTTGGGTGACTGGCTGTATGCATATGCTGCCCTCAAAATTTTAAATTTTTTTCTTGAGGAAAATAAAAAAAAGGGGGGGGGGAGGAAATGTTAAGCTTTTCTGCTATCTGTTGCAGCCAATACCAAAGAGTAAAATATTTCCTACAATTTTTTAGAATGGAAGCACAAACAATAACATAGATATAATGATAGATGTGATGAAAAAATACCCTAAATCATTAGCTAACATGTCAAGTTCGCTTTTAACAAAGACTTACAGAAAAGAGTAGAAGTGTGCAAAGCTAGCAAGGGTACATGTGAAGTCATAGACAACTATGGTCGTGGCTCCATTTGCTTGATAAAGAGCAGTTCTTGTTCAGGATATTTCTTCATAGTTTTGTCATTGCGTACATTCTCATACTGGTTACGTTGTGCCTGTGCTCATATCTCTCGTTAAAGTCGCATTGAATGCATTTAGGCTCAAGTGCATTTAGGTACTGTATGCATTTAAGCTTTATTTTGTGATAACTAGTTTGAATTCTAAAAAAACAAAATTAAATGCAAACTAGAAGTTCTTTAATAGCTGCCACATTGCATAGCAGCTTATTGTGTCTTGTTCACCAGCTGGAATTAGCAGATATGACTAGCTGTTGCATTTAAGTGTTGTAGACTGTTTTAGAATTAGTTAAGCAGGAAGCAGAGTGGTTGGTGTGAAAACCCTACCTCGAATGTTTCAGATGCATGCTGGTGCTCCCGCACCACCAACTCCAGTGACACCAGCCCCGCCAACAACCCCGGTGAACACTAATGGTCCTCACAAACGAGGGCGGCCTAGGAAGACGCAAGAGCAGAGTAAGTGCAACCTTGTTACACTGTGTGCTTTACTGATTTGTCGTTAGGTCCGGCATGTAGGGTTGTACTCAAGCGAGTGTTTATCGTATGTGATGCCATGTTTATTTTACCAATAGAGTTTAATTTGTCAACCAACCATCCATGTTCTAAAAAGAGTGAAATTCAAGGTTTTTGTTAGATGTCGTGGGCTGTTGCAATATAGTCTCCCTGTTCATTGAACAGTGAGCTCAAAACTTTTGCAGTTGCTTGATTCTTCACAATAAAGTGTTCTTTAATACCGTATTTTTCTCTGCTGTGTGCATGTAACAGTGCTGTTTTACTTCGCCTTGCTCTAAAAATATAAATAAATAAAAAAGCAGGGATGGGTGGGAGTATTTAGACTTTAGTGTGATAATCAACAGAAGTCTGTCTTGTTTTTTTTTTTTTTTTTTAATCTAGTTGAGATTGACAGGATGGGGCGGATATGGCACTGCAAGACCTGCGGAGTCAGCTTGCGGAAAGGTGCCGAAGATGCTGCCACCCACAAATGCACGATGTTCCGGTGCCCTCACTGCTCGTTCGAAACTCACAAACCGAACGGTCTCAACATACACATCAACTTTGCTCATACCTTCAGGTGAGTGCACTGTTATCCCACTTCAACGATTGCCCCCCTAGCTACAAAAGTCTCCGGGAAGTTTCATCATCTCTGAAAGTACGTCTCGCTTCTTTTGCACCTGTGCACACCTTTCAGCAATGCAACCAGAACAACCGTAAAATCCCAAGCGAAGGCCCTTCTTACAATGAAGGATAATCAAGATAATTTGATGCGTACGGCACATTCACACACGGATAATCCACAAATGTTTTGAGATATGGGGGGGCTCGCTTGGTCGTGGATAGAAATTACCGTATTTACTCGATTCTACCGCGCCCTCGATTGTAACGCGCACCTGATTTCCACCGCGAAAAAAAAAAAACATAAGACATCGATTGCAACGCGCACCCACTTTTCTCGCCGGCCCGCACAATCACACCACTCGAAAAAACGACTCCTTTTGGGAGCGTATTCCATTTAAATATGAGGTACGGGCGAAGCTTGTGCCCATCTGACGTGTAACAGAGCATTGCCGTCACGGTAGTTTTACCGTGGACCGATGTCAGCACGCGAACTTGCTTCGCCCCCTTCTTCTCGACGGTTGTCGGTGCCAGGCATGTCGAAGTAAAGAGGCGTCTGATGGGCATTCCCGATTTGCCCAAGCAGGTAGCCGTTGTTGCGCCGCAAGTTTAGGACGAACCTCTGAAAACTGTGAAGCTTTTCATCGTACTCCTCCGCAAAACTTTTCGCATATGCATGTTCCCCTTCAGAGGCAAAAGCCTTTCCTCTAAGTAAAGTCAGTTAGCCAGCACCTGCTCGCTTTAAACTGGCTCTGCATTAGACCTTTTTCCAAGACTAATTGCATAGCCCGCACTTGGAGCAGTTCTGTTGTCACGGGCCGCTGTGCCGCTCGCGGCTCAAGCACATACTTGCCGAGCAGCTCTTTAATTTGCGGAAACCGACCCTGCTGTGGTCCACTGAAGCCTTTGCGTGAAGCTTTGCTGTTGAGGATTTTCTGCTTTTGTTTCCGCCGGTCCCGCACGCACGTTTCGGGAACTCCGAACGACCGCGATGCGGCCCGATTTCCGTCCGTTTCTGCACACGCCATGACTTTTCTTTTAAAAGCGGCATCGTGGTGCACTCGAGTTTTTGGAGTCGGCCCTTCCACGCCGTCGATGCTAATGCACTACTAGATGACGAACTCCTCAGCACACGTACGAAGTGCCGCACATGGGAAACACATAGGAAGAAATGGCCGACGCGCCATGCCGACGCACGTAGGGGGCGGCCATTTTGGATTTGCCGATGGCAATAGATTGACCGTAATTTTTTTGTTTGTACTCGATTTTAACGCGCATGCAATTTATGAACTCGCTTAACCGGAAAAAAGATGCGCGTTAGATTCGAGTAATTACGGTAAGATTTCTGCGGAGTAGCCACAAAATGCACATCTGTCTTTTTTAATGAAATGCTTTAGAGAATATACATGCATTCACTATTTTCATTCACCCTCGTCGGGCAAATATAACCAAATGAATGACACAGTGAAAATGGTGGATTAGAGGAGTGGTGCTGGCAGTGGTTAGAAGAGGAAGAAGAAGGCGCCTAATTTTTGCAGCCCACTTTGGAGCACGGCGCACTGCCTGAGGCAAAAAGCATTAGTGTGAAGCACCTAAGCAGATGAATGCAGGTAAAGGAAAGAACGGCGAAGATGTGTTCATCTGTCATTCTTTCGCTTCCTTGGTCCTCTCCTAGTCGTATCGCTGCACTGCTCACTTTCATTGTACCCAACGAAAACCAGCAGGCAATGAGGCCAAGCAAAGGCTTTCCTTGGCTTCATTGTTGGTTGGTTTTCGTCGTGCAGTGTCTAACAAAGGAAGGGTCCTTGGCCTCCCTAGCTTTTTCCATTAATCTTAATGTATTTCTTAAAATCAACATTGCTCATACCCCAATGGCTGTGTTGTGCAGATGCCAGAGGTGTTTGAAAGCATTTGTGACGAAACAGGAGCGCACGCTGCACTGCACCTACTCGTGTCCAGAAAGGCCATTCAAGAACGTCACCGAAGATGACATCCCGTTGGCAGTGCTCATGCAGCTCTCTGAGCGAAAGTCCAATGAGCAGCAGGACCCTGCCCACCCTTCCAAAAAGTCTTCTGAGCATTCTTCTGGACATCAATCTGGGACCACCTCACAGGACAAACAGCTGCAACCCGAAAAGGACCCCAGTGTAGCGGAAGCGTATACCAGGAAGAGAGGCCGGCCTCCGAAAAATAGACTTCAGGTACATTGCAATGCAGCGTCTGACGAGAGTTATTGCAGATTTTGGACGGGGGAGGGGGGGTATCAGAGTAGTCCTACACTGATGGTCGGGCCTAATTCTGATCAAGACAATTGCGATCCACAATCCACACATTGTATTCATGCCCCTTGATCGTGATTCGGTTGATGTCTGCACCATCTAGCTGTGGTGTGCTAGGAAAGGCTGAAAACAAGAAAAGTAAACATGGCCCATTAAAAATATACAAGATCTTTTTGTAAACTAATTTATGGTGGGGTTTCGATGCCACGATTGTTAAGCTTGTCGTTTTGTAGTTGGACTAAACATACAGTGCTGCAATAGACATGTATGCATGAAAGCGGTTTGGTGCGTTCAGTGCTCCATTACCTTATTAAGTTGTAATATGCAAAAGTAAAAAAAAATTCAGTGTGCCTTACATAAGATCGTGTCTAAGCAGGGGTATGCTAAAATGTGAAATGTCCAAAATTTTGAAACCTTTTTGAAATCAACCTTAGTAGCAATGACCCCACACTGTTTTGAGAGTTGACAATCATTGAACAACTGTTAGATTGTCACAATTCATCATGACAACAGCAATAACATTTTCTTGAGTACGGGACTTCTAACATACTTCTTTCTTTTCGTCATAATATACAAATTGTCAGTGCTTTGGAGCTAATAATGACAATTAGTACTCATTCATTGGATCATGCAGCAGCGATAACGATAAATTCCAATAAAGAAGGCTGATCTGGATAGGGCCCCCGACTGTAATTATTAGTCACCACATTGCACAAGATCAATTGGCATGCACCTTGGGCAGCACTGAGCCTTTGTTGCCAAGAAACCTTTAGTCCAATGTTCTACAGGCAAAGACGTCCCCCCCCCCCCCCCCCAAAAAAAAACACCAGTCTATTGTTTTGGTATATATTTTGTTTCATTATAAAAATGCCTGGGTGGACCTAATGTTCGCTACATAATATCAGTAAAAAGCATTGAAAATTTAATTTCTTAAGTCTGATAATTTATCCTTTCAGTGTTCTTTACAAGATTGTAGTTTTGCTGAATTTATGCACTTGTTGCAAACTAAATGTTGGAGGAAGTCCTTTATGTAATGTTGGAGGAAGTCCATTTCATTTGTGGTAGTACAGTGGACTCATTAAAGGGAACCTGAAAGAACAAGGTATGTTTCGTTTAAGAAAAATGTTCTATACCGAGAGATGAACAGGAGTGTGGAATTCAAGTTCAATTCATCACCGACCAACTGTTCAGAAATGCAAAAATAAAAACATATGTATCCCTAAGTTTAGGATAAGAAAAAAAAAAAAGTGAGACAGGCTCTGTATGCCTTCTTAGAATGTAAAATGTATGCTCCTTATAGTTCATGTGCTTCTGTGATCCCATTTCTCTAGCTTTAAGATCGCTTATAAATAAGCCTCGATTGCATGTGTATTCGGGACCGTTGTTGGATAAGGTATATCCACACGAAGTGGTGTCAGTTAGTCTGAAAGTTCGTTTTTGAGATTTGGATATTTCCACATGCTTCGCCCATATGAAACCTTTCCTGGTCGACATATAGTTGTAGACCTCCCTTGATTTGCTGTACTTTGCCACAGGCCTTGAGCTCATAAAAAGGACTTAGTGAAGTTATCTTTACTGCACAGAATAATTTTCTCTTGACATAAGCATTCATAACAACAGTGGCACATGAATTACACTTCACGAGAGAACAAATACTGCGCGCACTAGCTCAGTCACACACGAAACCATTATATATGCGAACTCACTACAAAATATGCTCTGTCGCCATATGTGGTGGCGATGACATGGTATCCGACATATTCGCTCACGCCTATGTCATTTTTGAAAAATAATAATTTTATCTTCCTTCCTTGGGGCTCTGCAGGGTCGTGCGTTAAGGGGGGGCGCGGCAAGTAAAGTGCCGATTTTGGTCAAAATATGCGATTTTCTGATTTATTTTTTTTCGTAATCTTCAGACCTTCAACTTCCTTGTTCTAAAATATTACAGCGAAACGTGCGCTACAAATCCCGCAAATAGTGTTTTTGCCGAGGCTAGTCGCCAAAAAGTGCGAAAAAAAAGCCCCTAAAACGGTGTTGTTCACGCCGCACAAACGCGCCAAGTTGTTGACCGTGGGCCGCCATTTTGGTAGCTTTGGAAAGAGGAGAAAGCCGGCTTCCCGATGGTCGCGGTCTCGTATTTCGCCGAGTGAAAATAAAAGCGCGAGGAGCAAATAAAAAAACGAAAACGAAGAACGGCAATTGGCTGCGCGGGTCACGTGGTAGCAGGCGCGACCTCTTACTGGTCAAAGCTGCGCCGCGCACCTTGGCAACCTTGGAAGCGCGAGCGCATCTGCGGCCGCCGTGTCGAGAATCATCCGGCGTGCGCTTCGTTTTTTGCCAGTTGCTGTTTTTGTGATAGTTCGCGTGCTTTTTTTACCAAGCTTTGTTACATCGGTGGTCTCTTCTGAGTGCTTGCTCATACTGCGGTGCTATGTTGCCGCAAAAAAAGTTCCGGAGCGTCCACAAGTACGGCAAGCGTCGGAAAGCTTGGAACAAAGGGCAGACGACTGCGGCTGCCGTCCCAGTCGCAGTTCCGGACTGAGCATGCTCTTCGAGCGTCACGGAGCCTCTACTCAGACCCTTCGCTGATTGTTGTGAGGCCGAGAGTGTGGAAGGTGCCACATCGTCGTATGTCAGACCGCCGGATGCCGTCGACCGTGATGGACGCTCTCGCGAACCCGATTGCGGTGGCACCGCGTCGGCAGCCGTTGCAACTCCGGGCGTGCGCGCGTCGAACATTCTATCGCGAGTTTCGGCCCAGATTCCGAGCAGTGAAGAAATCGCGCAGCGGGCGCAGACAAGGCGGGATGTTTTGGATGCCGTAGCATCGAAGTCCGCTTCAAAGCGGAAGCTCGAGCTTCTGAACGAAGGCTGCGACGAAAATGACGGCGGTAAGGACTCCACATTCTTCATTGTAAATAAGAAGATGCTGAACGGTCTGCTTTCGTCAGTAAAGTGCAACAAGTGCGACGAAGGGTCGATACGCCTCGAGACTACGCACTGCCTTGGACTCGCGGCGAGGATGGAACTTTTTTGGGACAATTGTGGCAGAGTGAACAGTGCGTGGTCGTCCCCGAGGTGCTCCGGGCAACAAAAAACGAACCTCTTTGAGGTAAACGTGCGTGCTTTGAGGGCTGTGCAGTCAGTTGGCAGAAAACAATCTGCCATAAATGACATTTTTTCTGCGATGGACATTTCGCATCGAGCACTGCACCACAAGTCCTACCAGAGACTGCAAAGGAAGTACAGCCACCCTGCCACCACATCAGCTGCCACCCGCATTGAAGCAGAAAGTGCACAGAAGGTGCATGACATTTACAAGGACCTAGGAGGAGTGCCAGGCAACATTGACGTCATTTACGACGGCACGTGGATGACGAGGGGGCACAGAAGTCATATTGGCGTGGGCTGTGTAATCGAGCTGTACACAGGCTTGGTCTTGGACCACTGTGTCCTGTCCAACTACTGCCAAGGCTGTGCTGTTGGCCCCAAGCCTGGTGACGACAACTATGAGGAGTGGCTTGAGAAACACAAGCCACAGTGCCAAAAGAACACCGATGCTAATGCAGGCCAAATGGAAGTAGAAGCAGCTAGGATCATGTTTGAAAGATCGTTTACCAAGTACAAGCTTCGATACATCAATGTGCTCTGCGACGGTGACAGCCGTACGTACCTTGCCCTCACGCAAGACAAGGTGTATGGCTACATGGTGATTAAGAAACAGGAGTGTGTGAACCATGTGAAAAAAAGAATGGGCACTTCCTTGCGCAACCTTCTTGATGAGCACAAATCCAAAGGCCGAGGACTGAGCATGGGTGGCAAAGGCCGGCTGACGCAGGGCCTGATAAAGAAGTTGACGAATTATTATGGCTGGGCCATTAAGAGCCACCCCAACGATGTTCCTGGCATGGAGAGGGCCATCATGGCCACTTATTACCATGTAACATCCACAGACCAGGATCCACACCACAACCTGTGCCCAAGTGGGACTGACTCCTGGTGCCCGCACAATCAGGCATTGGCCAAGGGAGAGCCGCTGCCGCCTCACAAACATAAACTGCCCCCTCACGTGCGAGTGGCACTGCTGCCAATCTACAAGCGCCTCTCGAACAAAGAGCTCCTTGAAAGGTGTGCGCAGGGAAAAACCCAGAACGCTGTGGAGAGTATGAACAGCCTCATTTGGTCACTCCAGTCCAAGAGCCAGTTCGCCTCCCTTCGAAGTGTGGAAAGTGCAGTTGCAGATGCAGTCTGCCGTTTCAATGGTGGCTGCAAGAGTGCGCTGCAAGAGATCACTGCTCAACTGGGCTTCAATCCAGGAGACTGCTCTTTGCGGCGAGCAGCCGAAAAAGATGCCAAAAGGGTAAAGAGGGCTCAAAAAGCGCATTGTTCCACGACAAAGAAGCGCAAAACTGGGTTGCGCTCTACAGAGGCCAAGGCCACAGCATCTCAGGATTACTGCCCAGGAGGATTCTGAGTGTTTTAGCCATGTTGTGAACTTCCAAACAAGAGTGAACTTTCAAAGTCAGTTTTCTCAACTCTTGATTTTCGCCTATGTGCCTTCTCTAGAACATCTGTCATTTTCTAACAAAGACTGATAGAGTTGTTCCGTTTTTTGCACTAGGCTCAGGAGGCCTTTAGCAGTGCAATAAAGCTTTATCTCTCTTCTTACTCATCATTTAAAATTTTTAGAACACATTTTATAATTACTGCGATGTGTGCGCAAAACAACATCCATGTTTTGGAAATTTTATTTATGGTTACAAGAACTAGAAAAATCAACTAATAGCTTCTTTGCGCAAGTTGATGCTTTGGGAACATAATAATATGAAAAAATAATTTCATTTAGCAATAATTATCTCTTTAAGTGTGAGGAGCATTAATTAGTATAATTATGCTTGTAACTCAAAAACTACAAGAGGTATTTGAAAACGGTTTTCATATTTGGAATCCTCACAATCATCCACATACACACACCAAATTTCATCACAAACAGTACATTAATAAAAAAATTAGTTTTACTTGCCACGTCCCCCCTTAAGCAGCCTGTACCCATTTCAGGGGGGTCAGGCTAAGTGTCGCTGCGTACATTTAATAGAATCAATGAACTCAAGTGATGTTGCGTGTATTCTCCACAGGGGCCATTGACAGTTCCACCGCCAGATCGCGCAGAACCTAAAGCTGTTAGCAGAAAACGTGGAAGACCCCGGGGAAGGCGAAAATAAGAAGCCTGCCCAAGGTGAGTTTAGGGGGCAAAGCATTTGGGCCTGGCACAGCAGTTCTGCCAGAAAATTATTTTTGTTCATGGGTGGTGTAAGAGTGTGAGTGCAAATCACACTTGCTTTAAAATGGAGAGCTTAATGCAAAGCATTCAGAAGAAGATACCTCTGCATGTATTAGGTTATTTTGCAACGAAGGGAGGCACTGGCAGCTCAATGCAGAGGGATCAGAAACCATTGGAGGGAACACGCCAGCTTGTGGGACATGCTTCAAGAGGTGCGGCATCCTATGCCGCACCTCTCGCACTGCATTATTACAGAAAAAAATGTCGGAGAGGATTTCTAAGCATATTTGCGTGAAATGGCAACATTAAAGTGTGTCTTTTGGTTAGGTTGATGAAGCACCAGCAGGGTGGTAGTTCATAGTTTTATATAGAATCAGGCAAGGGGCTGAATTGTATTTTTTATTAGAGCTCTTGCTGGTGAGTAAGTGCACCTAACAGAGGTGCTTGTGTAGCTTGTAATAGCCTTCATTTACTGTCGGTTTTCATTTTTATGTGAATATAATGCATAAATACTCTGCTAGGAGAACCTTCGTGCAACATTAACCTTCGCGCAACATTTTCAGGTAGGGGGTTGAAAAGGTTCACCAGATTTGGCAACGAACGGGGGTGTGGGGTAATGCCCACCCGCTTTCACGTCGACCACATGAGCGGCTTCATTTCCGCCATCCGCGCCAGTGTGGCCCAGGGTCAGAAAAATGTTCGCATATTCCCCATTCTTGTAATCTCTTTAACTGTTTTCTGAACAACGTTATGGCCAATGCAGCTTACACACCACATGTACTTGACAAATGAATTGGAGCCAGACAAGCAATTAAAAACACTTCTCCTCAATGCCCACATTGTCGAGAATTACGCAGAGCAGATTTACACCACCTAATTTGGGTTTGTTGCGCTTTCTCACGAGGAAGAACACACATCCTACACTTGCCACGCCACGATTAAGAAGCTTAGGCATTGTGCTAAAATGTAATGATAAAGCACAAAAAACACTGGCAACCTATGCTTGTATAAGTTGCCTGTTTCAGGTGGCGTGGAAGAGGTCGACAAACTGGCGCGAGCGACTCTGTGGAACCTCTACTGAACGAATGAACATAGGCTGATGTTAGTTAATATGCTTATGCTGTGCACGCAATAATCCTTTCCTCACCTATTCCCAAACTGCAGCCCAAAGCCGTCCTCTTCTTTAAAACAAACGTTCAATTCATTAAGCGGGCTGACTGGTCTTAGACATTTTTTGTTTATTTCTTCAGTGATCTTGATAAAACTTTGCAGGGTTTTGAAGTTCTTTCTGATGATTTCAAATATTTAATTAGTTTTCCTGTGACTCACTTTGTTCCAGAGATAACTTAAGTTCACCTCCTATTGTTTAAGGCCTCCCTAGAAAAAAAAGTGCTTAATTAAAAGTGATATTTAGGATATGCCAACATAGACTAATGACTAAAGAGTGAAAGTATGGAAGAGGTTCTTGTTTTTGGGCCTTTATTGGTCATCTTGCAGCAAAATGAACTATAGATTGTCAAAAGCAGTAGGAATCCGTGTTACAATTTTGATTAGTAATTAATTAAAAAGGCATGTGCTCTAAATTCTGCTCCCATACTTGCATTCTACACACATACAGGTTTCCACTGCAAAGAGAATTATTGTTGTACCTGCTCTAGCTGCAGAGATATTGAGGCCTCAAAATTGAATAGTCTCAAATTTACTTTTTTGAGAAAAATGGAAAAAACTGAAAACACACAGTTTCTTCAAAAAGCAACAATCATGGTGCGCATGTTTTGCAATCCTCATGAAGGCACTCATGAATTGGTAGCAGAGCTTTAGACAAAGGTGCTGGCAAATTATAAAGAAGCCTCAAAGTCGGTTCCCCATTTTTTTGCAGGTTCTGCATGTTAACAGCACCAAGAATCTGGACAGTTAAAATGACATTACAAAAAAATTACTACTTCCTGGTGCGTGAAAATTTGCGGAGAGATAGAAAAATACTTGCAGAAACCAAATATGTCAATTTTGACAAATGAATTTTTTTGTCACTTTTTGGTCCCAAAGAGCTGCCCCCTTAAGCTGCACGAATAGCAAAATATGAGTGCAAAGCGAATTCGAATATTTAAGTGTGAGTGCAAATCAAATTGAATATTTTTCAAATTCTTTGCAGCAAAATTGCAGAAAAAAAAATGTTGGAGAGGATTCCTAAACATATTTTTGTGAGAAGGCAACTTGAAAGTGTTTCTTTTGGCTAGGTTGGTGAAGCGCTGGAGGGGTCGTGTTTTATAGTTGTCTTACCAAGAATGAGGCAATGCAACCGTTAAATTGTATTTATGAACATGACTTGGTGCAACCAAAGTGTTGCCGACAACACTTTACACGTGAAAGGCACAGATGTTATTTCTTCAGCCTGTCCTCCTCTTTCACCTACTGTGTAAGCCAAACTGATGTGCAGGCAAGCGAATGCTCCCTTCGTGTCTGAAATTCCAAATCTGCCTCGTAGATGTCGATGTATATGTAAAAAAACATCTGAAATTTCAGATGATAAAAATTTTTGCCGTCTCATTTTTCAGACGGTTTGCCCACATTTCAGGTCCAGAACAGCGTTAAATGAGCCCCCAACTTTTCCACATCTATCATCTTCATGTTTGAACCAGCGTTTCCTTGAGTCAATACATTTGCGACTGCAGCAGAGCCTGAAAGGCAGCTTTGCTGTAATACGAGAATATGATAGGGTGAACCATAATGAAAATCAGTAGGGGCCTCTGCCAGTCAGATGTTAACTGTATTTTTTTCTTTGGGGAAGTTCTAGAAGTTCAAATAGTAAAATTCTAGTGGGAATTAAATCAAATAGCAAGCGCTATTAGACACATATTCAAAATTTCGTATATTCACTCACCCCTGCTAAAAAAGAGAGTCAACTTGCCGCTGTTTTTGCATTAAGGAAGCCGCAAGACTTCTTAATTTAAATAAAATCAGTGCTGATATTTGTGGTAAATTAGTCACTGCTAATACATATGTGTATTAGCAGTGACTAATACAGCAGTATGTGTGATCCATTAAGGCACCAAATGCAGTAGTAGCAAAAGGGTGCCACAAAGGATGGCCTAGGGGCAGACCAGTCGTGGTCTCCGAGTGGTGCCGTAGGTTGCGGTTGCGGTTTTATATCCTGGCCACGGAACCTGTGCTTCAGTGAGAGCTTCTATTACACGTATTTTAACTGTGAAACTGTAAGCCGGCCGTTATATGTCAACGCCGCCTCTATCATCATCGTAAGGGGGCGCGTGCCACAGAATTTGGGTAAATCCTTCTACTTACCGCTACGGCACGGCCTGTAATAATCCTGATGGTTGAGATAGAGAAACAAATAGCGAGAGGAAGCGAGAAATATAATTGCGAAACAAAAAAGTTCGGAACTCGTAACTTTTACCCGAAGGCGAGCCTCCCAACCACTCTGTGTTCACGCTAGCAGAGCATAGCAGAGTTTAAGCAAAAGAGTGGGAAAGGAAAGTGAATGGAATGAAAAAATGAAGAAAGAAAAAGAAAAAAAAGCCGGGAAAGAATATAAAGAAACGGAAAGCAAGCAAGCCACATACACCAGCCATCGCATGAAACCTCCACTGCCTAGTGCATGAACAGCCTGGCTGCCTCCCAATCACGGCCAGGAATTCATTGGGTCTCCTGAGAAAGTGCGTACTCCCGAGGAGGATGTTGTGCATTACAAAGCTCAACGAGCCGGTGAGTCGCAATTACTAGTGGTGACAAGGCCCAAGCTTCGCTGCGCCAAGCTTTTCAAGACTTAGTGCTAACATTAAATTTAATGTTATTGAACTCGAAGTGTGATTTCAGCCCACTCAAGTCGGAGACCAACAGACATTTGTAGGACTAATGTCGCACATTGTGGACTTTAGAAAAACATTAAGATGGTCAAGGTTGGGCTTCTCCATTATAGTTTTAAGATTGTTATAATTATACAAGTACAACAATATGATCCAGTGTTTGATAACATTTATTTGAAAATTCCTGCTTGGAAAAATTCTTACCTGTCCTTGCGATTCCTCAAATACCCTAAAATTTTCACCCCCCAAACCTTTATCAACCCTGAACAGAGAATCTCGCGAAGCCGCATGACTTCAACTAGCATTACTAACTTGCTCACTAAAATTAGCCGCTGTTTGCTATCAGCTGTTGCAAAATTAACATTTCCTTAATTTGATCTCTATCCATTGACTAAGTTGTCCACAAATCTCTTTTTCCCTCAGTTGCTGGGACTGAGCTGCTTCTGGCCCTCAGTATCAGCCCTTTGCTCCAAGCCTGCTGCCATCATTTTTTCAAGAACTCTCAACAGGGTTGGCATCACCAGTGCTGCTCGAACACTATATATTTTGTGATACGTGAGAAAACCCCGCCTGTTTTCCCTTCAAGCTTATCAGCATACGTCCATCACGAGCACTCCTTGTCGGCACAGTTTAAAAGTGAAGGCCGCCAATGTGCTGGCATGGTTTGACGACTCTCTACAGGACACGCCCGCTGGGTGCTCAGCAGTGCAGACACCACCAGGCATGTGGTTGGTGGCTAGCTTCAAACCAGTTTCTTGTGCTTTCCGGTCATATTGGTGCTTCCAGGTGCAGTCGGCAGGAGCATCGTATAAAGCATAGAACTAGTGTGCGTTGATAGGATTGATTTTAAAAGAACGGCCGCCAATCGTCACTTGCATGGAATGAATGGAATGAAATGAAACGGTAACAGTCAACTCGGTGGATTCCCATATGCTTGTTGTTGCCCTGCTTTTTTTTTTCTGTTGGTCTAAATAAACTTTAGGGTGTCTTCCTTGATTATGTTTCTATCTGTATACTGAAGAAGAAGGAAGGTTGCCAGTGACTTTGTGACGCGCTACAGCAATGGCTTTTGCGATGCACTTTCTTGGTTGTAGAAACAAGTTTGTGTGAGTAAGTTGTGGTTCGCATTTGTACAGTTACTGTTTGTTGATCAGTTGGAGCTGCAAACACTCGTTAAAGCATGTACTTTACTTATTATGCCTCCTCCAGAAAAAATGTACAGGTCCATTGAGAACCTGTGAAACAATTTTATGATTAAGTCATGCATGAGTACGAATTCTGCTCCTGTTACATTAACTATTTGCATGCAGCCGGTGTGATAACATAACGAGGCCATTACAGCCTCTTCTTGCATACCATGGCTGAATCGTATACAGCTTATGAACTTAACCTATTTACTGAGGCTGATGTTTGCCACCAGAAGCCTTCGTGATCTGAACTAGAGAAGTGAGCCTCTAATTATTCTTTTTTTTTTTCAATTGGTTGGAGGAAGTTCACAGCCTCTGTTTTGCCTGTGGTGCGTGATGGCTACTGCATTCTCCCAAGAGAAATTGTAGCTGAGAGACACGCGTGTATCTGCACTGCTGTTTGCCGAGTTGGGGAAACTAAGGCCGTGCATTGATTTAGGTAAGCAGATCAGTGACAAAACAGTTCCTGTGCCAAGCCAGAGAAGGTATAGATTGTCCAGATAGTGCAATTGTCGACAGGGCATTCACAGGGAGCCAAATATGATTGGCCAACAATATGTAACACTGATGTTGTGGTAATCATATCATGCATGTTTTTAATCTTTAGTGTTATATTGTCGCTCATTATTCTTGTATATCACTATCCTATTCTGCCAATGATAAAATCAAGTGAAAATGTTATGTACATAATGTTTTTGTCTTTTGGGGTGACGTGAAGGTGTTTTTCTGTGTGCATGAGTGAATTTCAGTGACGGCACATTTACTGCACAGCCGTGCGACAGTTTTATTTCGAATGACTGGGCTGTGAAAAAAGCAGCAAGCATTTTTTTTTTTTACCTAATGGTGTGTACAAATGTTAAAGAGCTAAACAGGTCAGAGTCATGACAAGCTTATGAAACTTGAGAAAGGGTGAAACATAAGAGAGAGAGCAAAAGAAAAAACTGCTGTCATAATTAGTCAATCCAACTTGTTCATTTTGCAAATAGACTTGCATAGTGCCTAGCAAGTTTATTGTCAAACTGACATTGTTAAAAATTTTTTTGTGGTGTGTGCTCATGTGGAACGGGTACTCAAACTGTCGTGCTGAACAATTTTCCTTTTTTTTTTTTTAAAGCAGAATGGCGCTTGCATCAGGATGTGCAGTAATTGATTGATATGTGGGGTTTAAGCGTCCAAAACCACCATATGATTATGAGAGACGCCGTAGTGGAGGGCTCCGAAAATTTCGACCACCTGGGGTTCTTAACGTGCACCCTAATCTGAGCACACGGGTCTACAACATTTCCGCCTCCATCGGAAATGCAGCCGAGTACCTTAGCCACTAGACAACTGCGGCGAGGCAGGATGTGCAGAAAAGCAAGCTAAATTTAGCCAAGGCAGCGAACAAGAGTGGCAAAACATCATACACTTGATTTGATGTTTATATCACAGGGTCACATTTTCGAGTGTACAGCAGTTAATTTCACTGCATGCTGTTAATGTAACAGGCAACCATAAACCTGGCTCACGTAAATATCACACTAACAAAAGTTCTTCAGGATTCGAAGTTCAAACCACATATTGCCGACATCTTGTCTTGTTCCGCTTTCTGTCGTTCTGCACATTCATCACACAAGAAAATCTACTGTCAAGATTTTCAATGCACTATGGTGGTTCCAAAGCCATAGATTTTTTTTGCGTTTTGTGTTTACCATTGATTCCAAAGCACACAAAAAGTGTGCTTTGGATTCAATAGCAAACACAGTGGATGAACCAATGATCGCAGCAGAATATATCGTATTCTAGGCAATGCCAGCTATATCGTTTTAGAAACTGCATTCAGGACACTGCCATTACATGGCATGAGCAGGTACGCACCTGGTTAATGTGCCATAGCTAACAATTGGTTTTCTTTCTTTTAACCCACAGCAATTAGAGTTTCTGGTAGGAAGCCTATAGGGGTTAAGGCAAGGGGAGAAAAGAATGAGCAAGCAGGCTAGACAGTAGTGTCATTCACCCATAAAATTGAGCTCATGAAAAAAAATTAAGGCAGTAGTGCCAAAGTCCCCCCCCCCCCCCCCCTTGTCCTGTTTCCTTCACAGAGTCACAAGCAGCACTTGAGTTGAATTATTCATAAGCAAGCTCTTCTGCTGAAGTAATTTTGGTGGCTGGCAATTGCCTCATTCCATTTTGGGGCATTATATGGCATTATGCATTGTATGCCTAAGTTCAGTGGCTGCGGTATGGTATGTCCTGAAAAACTGGCTGTTATTATTAACGTGATAGTGTTAAAGAGCTTTTTTCGCAGAAATTCCGGCGTCTGTGTCGATGTCATTGATTGTGTGCGAAAAATCATCTTGTGTGTGACCGAAAAAACTAGAAAGATGCAAACAAAATATAAAAAATTCTGGGTCAGAGTGAGAAACGAGCCTAGGTCTTTTTTATGGCAAGCGGTTTCTGCCATACAGCCATGTGTTTGCTTGTGAATACAGTGAAAACAACTTCCTCTTGTTCGAAATGCAGTGGCTTAAAGCCGATCACCCGCTACACAAGGTGCACATGTTACTGCACCTATTCTCTTAAGGCCAAGTAGTGGGTACATCACAAGTTCCAAAAGATTTCATGCACTAAGTGTTTGAAGTATGCACTAGGGTATTGCTATCGCGTTCAACTCTTCCCCAATTTTTTAATACACTATTGTAAACAGATTTTGTATTGGATGTGGTTGCCGCAAGAGTATATTATCCCACTGTCAATTCATCTGAAGCGGCGAGCATTTTTAAACCAAGACAATGTGTGCGCCAATGAGACACTTGCCTGTGGATTCAGAGGTGCGTTTATGTGCAATGCATAACCAGTGCCAAAATTTGTGCTCAAAAAGACATCAAATGTAATCATTTGCTACTAGCAACTCTTGCTGTTCAAGTGCGATTGCCATCTGGTGACACATTTTAAGTGCTGTTACATGTTCGTCAAGTGCTAATGCGACAAAATGGAACTTGCTCCGTACACATTTCAGAGGGACACGAAACCAAATTGTACAAGCTTAAATGAGACGACTGTGAGCATGCCATGTCAGTGCAGTGCTTCGCGTTTCTGTGCACAGAAATGTCTACACACTCTTTGATGTCATTGAAGCATTGCCAAAATGGCCTTTGCGGTTAGTCAAGGTGGGCAGAGAAGGGACAATTTTGAGTTAGTGTATGGTGAGAAATCTTTTGTGTGTGTTTTAAATGTGCAACTATATTGGCCACTCTACCCTCACTTTCAGTGAAAATAGCTCGAAAGCCATGTCGTTATTTTCTTAATGAGGCCCTGCAACACTTTTTGAGCATAGTCAGAAAACGCTGCCAATCGGTAGTTGAGGTTCCCGAGAATGCGTGTGCCAAATATTATGGCGCAGTACGCAACATTTACGATAAATTCTCAGTCGGGCTGAAAATCACTTTCTGCTCTCTCTACAATTGACGCAGAGGCTCAAAAATCAATATGTCCCAGGCCAAGTATCAGCCACAGGCAGATTTGAGCATGGCGCACTTGGTCATTACTGGGGCTGCCATGAAAGGCCACGACTTGTCAACACGTGCAGTCACAGTGAAAAGGCGCACATTTTATTCAAAGTAAAAACATACAAGCAGTTCTGTGTACGAATACAACCGACCAGGAAAGCTCTTTGAAAATTGAATGCAGAAGATTATGCACCTGATCTCACTGCTAGCTTTTATGAAAGTGGTAGGGTGGGGAATGTCTTTAGAACCAGTGCAATTTCGTAGCTCCACTCGTGAGCCGGCACATGCGGCCGACACGTGAATAGGAAGGCGACGCACATGTCTCTGCGAGCCGAGACACACAAGGAGTAGCCACTTGTGATGCATTGCGCATTTCTTCGTGCTTGCTTTCTCCGTACTCGGTGCGTGATTTGCGAACGCGTGAGGCATGATGTGAGAGGGAACTGCACCGTTGCTAGTTCTTGCTTCGGCTGTCGCGTCCACTTGAGAGCAAGCATCAATCGGAAGCTGCAAAACTAACCTTGCTCTACGTAAACACTGGGGTGAAGAGCAGTGGGAAGCTTTGATGGCGACAGCAGAGTGGGGTCCCAAGGAGCTTCGCTCCCAAAAAGTGCTCAAGGTAATGAGGCGTGGGTGACGTAGTTTCTTTCCCTGTGCTATCTGTCCCTGCTCAGCGTTTAACCCTTTCGTCGGGACGAGAGAAAAGAGAATGCGATTGCAGCGTGGAACAAATCTCAGTAACTCCTCTCGTACTAGACTGATTCTGAAAATTTTTGCGAAAGTGAATTCGTGAGGCAATAAACTCTTTTAGCGACTCCATTCTATGGCTGCTTGAAAAAATGTTCCAGGGCCCCTTTAACAAATGCAGCTAGCTACATTGCCAAATAGCTGAAAAAAAACTGAGCGTTTTCCCACCTGTTCAAAGCTCGACACCTGACCACCTGCAAGGGAGCAGTGGTTACATGGACAGCATAGACCAGTATAAAAGTGAATTTTAAACAAAACTCAAAACTCTGCATCTTGGTTCGATGATTTGTCATTGTCCTTTCCAACATTCCCTCTCCTTGCAGTTTTCTAGTATATGTTACTTTGTAGTGAGTGCAGTTATGTGAACGTTTACCATTTCGCTGGTGATGTCAGCAGCAAATAGTTCCTCTTACCCGTAAATCAAAGATAATTTTCAGCTACGTTTGTTTTTCATGCTTGTGCTTTTCCCTCTGGCATTGCATTCATGCGGAAGCTGGTCTTGCACTATTGCACAAGTGTTGTGTATGTCAACACTTGTGCAATTCAGCTCGGCACTAAACTGCCACAACATTTTGATACCATCTTGCAACAACTTGAGAATCGGAGCAAATTCTGTAAGAGAGTTGCCATTCTTCACTTTCCCTATATAAGGATTTCATGTCCTTCTCGAGTCACTGTGACTGCATCGCTCGCATAACTCAACCTTGACCATCATTTTCAGTTGAAAATACTTTAAAGCAACTTGCATGTGATGTTACAACAGCTCATTGAAGTGCAGTTTGTTTCCAATTCACTGTACCTAAAAAGAAAAACCCCAAATCTTGACAAATTAGGCAGAACTATAAAAAAGTAGCCTCATTGACCAGATGTATCGCAGTATACGCTGAATGTGGTTGAAACTGAGCAGAACATGTTCGTCTCAAGAGTTCTATTCGTGGAGGATGGAAAGAAACTACAAGTCAATTAAAGCAAAGGAACCACGCTCCAGGATCACAATGCAACAGCTTGCTGTTGCTGTGTTGTGCACATTGCATGAAACAATCGAAGTTGCACAAGGATATGATCAAATGTGCACAGTACAGCTGCACAAGTGCACATCAGTCAAAACATGCAGGCAAATCCTAGGCCATGCATGTTAGGGCCAATCAAAGAGATGGAGAGGCCTCATGGTGGGCCAACTTTTTATGGCACAGGAGAGAAAGAAGAGAGCTGGCTGGCAAACAGTTTCCGCATGGTGGTCTCTTTCCTAGTTTCTTTCCATCGTCCATGCTATTGTAAAGAGTTCTTGTAACATTTCCGTGCTTAGTTTAAAGGGACACAACAGAGAAAAGAGTTGTTTTATTGTATTGGTAAATTACTCTTTCCCAACACCAAAATCACGCTTGCCACAAGATGATGCATTAAAAAATGCATGTAATGACGCCACCTGTAAATTCCCGGACCAACAATAGCCACGTAAAAGATTTTAAGGGAATCTACTGTGCCCTATGTATAGTTCTTAATCGATAAACATGAAGTGCATTGTTTGCTGAGGAGGCCGCAGACTTAATATGCTAATTTTCATGAAATTTCGTTGAGCCAATGTCACTGAAATAGAAAAAATATACTTTGTATACCGTGACGTCACACATGAAGGTTTCGGTGTGAAATTTTAGAAAAAATGAAACCTTCAGCTTGATTTTCCTCTCATTAATAAACCTATGATGATGAAAATCGACATTTCAGCTCTCGGAGTGCACTGTATCAATCTAAAGCAATTCATCATTTCACTTTAGTGTCCCTTTAGTTCTACACAACTCTTGTCATGCAGGACTATTCTTTTCTTGTGTGTGTTTTGTGTAATGTTTTTTTTCTTTGTCCACTCTTGCATTGCTTCAAGATCTGTTAAGGCAGTTATTTTTGGTAATAAAGCAATATGTACTTTTGAAGTAAAGTGTTTATTTCTCTGCGTTCTGCAGCACAGAAAGACAAGTACCAAGAATGAAGTACTTGACACAAATGGAACGTTCCACAGTGTATAATACTCGTGAAAAGTTGCAACAGCAGCTTTCGGTAAACACGAAAATCACTAGGAGGAATGGGAGTAAGCAAAAAAGGACATGCCCTTGACTTAGTTATGTACACGCCCATTATAGGCAGCATCATCGTGCTAGGCAACCACAGCCAGTTTTCACAACTTTATCTAAGAACACATACTGAAAGACCATGCAAGATGCATTAAATTTCACATGGGCTATGTGGAGAAACAAAACAGCAATAAGAGATCGTTGAAGGAAGCAGTAATTCCTGAGGAAAAGTCTCAAATACTCAAGCAACAGGAGATTCTTTTGAGTCTCCTTAGCTGCTGGCTGCTTGAATGCCTTTACACTACCTTTGGCAGCTTATTAAAGAGAGCATACTATATCCAAGAACTTGCTTCTGTTTAAAAAGTAGCAAAAAAAACTAAGGACCATCTCCCTGAAGGGAACCCTGATCATCAGCGGTGTGCACGGTGTTGACCCGGTTGAAACTGGCATCGACACGGGTGCTGGAAGATTGGTTTGTAGCGAAGCTCTGTGTAGTGTTTACTCGAGTAAACGTTTGTTTGAAACACAATGACACAGGAGGCGGGACACGTTAAACACTCTTGTGCTCGGCTTCCTTGGCTCGCGTCTCGTCAGTGTTATCAGTGTGCTGTCTGTATTCTCGAACACGATCGGTGTTCTTGACTTGCACCTCATCGGTGTCACTGGTCTTCCACTGCCGACGCTTGCGTTCAGCTTCCCTGGCTCTTGCCTCATCCCTATTCACGTGCCATTTGCGAACGTCACAACGCCGGCGACAGCCGGGAAAGGTAAGCACACACTAGAGGGAAGCTTGCCGCCATGCCTTCCCGCCCGTCGGCACGATCGTGCGGCAAGCAACGGCGCACTGTCCACATTGTCAGCGCCGCGAAATTCTCAAGGTGCACGCGCCCGTTGGCTTACGGCTTCTTCTCGCTGAGAGATGGAGAGAAGTGGCACGGGTGAGATGATGTCCACGTGAGGAGTGGGCTAGAGCGTTGGGAGCGGTGTAGAGAGTGAAGCGATCGAACATTGCGAGCGGTGGAGAGAGTGAAGAGAGAGGGGTGACACACGGAAAGTGGCAACAGGCTAAGAAGAGAGTGACGTCAACGCGAGCGCACTGCGAGGGAAGGTGTGACCTACTTGGAACCGCCCAACACCTGCGGCCAGGGAAGTGCGGTGCAAACGGAGGGACTGCGTTACACAGGCTAGTAAGAGAGCTGTTTCGCATCTAAAAGCTTGGTATTATTAATGTTAAACATGTCAAAATACTTGCAAACTTACCATTCATTACTGGTTATAGTATTAAAATAATAAACAATGTTCCTCCTTCCTATAGTCCCCACATAGCCTCAACAAACTTCCTAAGCTGAAAATTTCCACACTGCCTTAAACACGCAACATTCATGCAGAGGCATGTATGAATCTGTACTCAAGTGGAGGTAATGCAGTTGTATACCACTACAATACAAAACGTGCCATCTGGACAGCACATAATTGCAAGTGAGCTATGACTAGCCCTTAAGTAAAATGTCTATCTTAACCCTTAATGCCCCAAGAAATGAGCACATGCCACAGAGCCTTCATCAGGTTTCAGGGAACGTGGAAGGTAGCAGCACACAAATAAAACTCGCCAGAAGTTGAGACCCCACAGGGTATGCTTCAACGCAGTTGCAAACGTGCCCCGGCATTACTCAGCCATGTTGAGCATGTGCTCGAAGCACTGTATGCTAGACCTTCGTGCAACGGAAGAACGGATCCCCTGCCTAGTCCAACTGTGCGCAACATCAATATACAGCCACAAGAATGAGTAACTACACGTTTTTCTAACGGTCCCATGGAACGTAATGGAAAATAAATAGTTTTCTGGAAGTGACAGCTGTGATCACAAAAAAAAAAAAGGATAACACAAGGGACAGTCCTCGTGTGGAGGACACAAGGAACAGTCGTCACAAGCTACCTCCAGCTGGGGCACCAGAATGAGCGGCAGTTGTTGCACACTCCACGGCTGTGGATGCCAATCTTGTGCCGGCGCATCTCGTAGATTGTAGTATTGATGGCGACGAGCCAGAGCTGCTGAAGAAGCATCAGCCCCACGGGGATGGCCACCAGCAGTGCGTACACGGCGGACACGAAACACAGTGATATGCTGCACAGACAGACAACGTGCGAGCGTCGGCACAGCGATTTCCATACAGCCAGTTCCACAAAACAATTGGGACGGCAGAAGCTACCGCCACCTCGTTGGAAAGCTTATTTCATTCTGTTTATTTATTTAAAAGCATTGTGTAGACGCTAAAAAAAAGAAATAGCTCAAATTTAAACAAATGAACCAGAACTATAAAAAAGTGGCCTCACTATGCAAATGTATCAAACCAACTGATTGCTATACGCTGAATGTGGTTGAAACTGAATAGAACATATTGTTATGGGGAAGATTACACGTGTCAATATTCATATCAAGACTTTTATTCATGGAGGAAAGAAAGAATCTGCGAGGGAAGTACTAAAGGAAAAGCAGCACTCCATGGGATCACATGGCAACAGCTTGGTGCAGGTGCTGCTTGTGTTGCTGAACTTGGTCTCATTTTAAGCTTCATCACCACCATCACGCTCACCATTATTTAGTATCATCACCGCAAGTATCACCACCATTTATTTTCCGAGCATAGCTTTTCAAGCCTCTCGTCGCTACGGTTAGTACGACGAGGAATTATTATCATAAACTCATCCTCTTTTGTTTTCTTTGCAGTGCACCACTCATGCATGTACAAGTCTATTCCTTATTAAAAGAAAACAAGCAACTGCAGAAGGTATAAAGATCCTTGTGGCTAAAGAAATGAGCCAAGGAAGCAGCACAGCATTGAACAGGTCGTGCAGAAACTTGGTGTCGATATCTGAAAGGTGTACATACAATGCGTGAATAAAATCGCATTGGGCAATACAATGGAAATGTATTGCAGTGCAAGGCTATCTTCGAAGTTTGACAGTCACATCTCCTCCGTAACAAACACTTTACTTGAACGCCCACCTTAGACCGGAAGTGCATGCCCCCAGAGAGCAGCAGTTTGGCCTTGCAAAGCGGTGCACCTCTTGCAGCTGCCATACGGATGACTTTCTGAGCGTGCAGAGCTCCAATATTGAGATTTCTTTGATTTGTGGCTGCACAATTAGGTCCGTTTACTTTAAAGCTGGACGATGAAAGAAACAACCGCATTTTCTTGGTTTGAAAGCTTCGCCAACGAATGCAGCTTAGCCTCTCCATTGCGTCTCCTAACAGAGATGCTGGCAGAAGATTCTACAACGGCGCATAAGAAAAAATTGCGGGAATGCCCAGTGTCGCTGGAACATCAAGCATTATTAATATTCACTATTACCCTATGCTTTATTGCAAGCTTTCTTGATATCTTTCATTCAATCTTCACACTTCTGAGCAGACACTTGTGCCCTTGATACTGATGAACACTATTTATATCCCCTTTCAAATGGGGAGGTGAAATGGTCATCCTGCCTGTTTGTTATAATCAGCTTTTATTACACCTACTGCAATCTAGCATTGTTCACTATATTGTTCTGGTCATTTATTCAGTCAATCCTGTGCATTGCAATGTGGCACTGCCATCTGGAGGCGAGCACCTTGCGGTGCAAACTACGGAAAAAAAAAAGGCAACGCTACCAACCGAGCGCATCCGAACGCGCTCCACTTCCCCGCTCTGCGACTGCGGCAGAACGTGAGCAAGGCATGCGACCAGTTCCCACAGAAATCGAAACAGCGGCACTCCCCCTTTCTACCGCGAGACGCCGCCAGTGGGATATGGCCCTCCGGCAATGTGACGCTATCTGGTCGCCTCATGAAGTGGAGTTGCACCTCCTAAATGTTTCTTCCTCCGTGGTCTCAACCAACCTGGTTTTACAAATACTGCATTTGTAAACCAGGTAAATACAAAGTCCATCATCTTCATTGTAAATTTTGCAATAGACTACCTGGAGTAAAATTGTGCTAGAGTTCATTGGCAATGGGCATGGCTTAAATGGGCAATACAGTATTGATGTCTGTGTGCGTGTATTTTTTTCTTTTGCATTACCCCTTTAGTTTTTTTTTCCTTCTTTCTCTAACCACTCATCATCATGGATGGATTACATTACATGATACTGACAAGTTTAGCCCTTACCCTTTGTATCACCAACCAAGAATAAGCCATGGGAGAGGTGCACAAAATGTATAAACTCCACATTAAAAGTAAACCTGCCATTGCTATGCTTGTGAAACATGATGGAAAAAGAAAGCGAGAGAAAGACTTGTAGTGTAGATGTATCCCGAAGGAGTACGGCCACTAGCGTGGGTCCGGTCTTAGCGAGCTGCAGGGCACGCGTTAATGGTCGCCGTGGCAAGAACACGGTACTGCTTAAGGTTGCAACACTTTATCGTCTCCGGCAACACCAAAAACGCAGTACATAGCCCGTTGCAAAGGCACGGCAGGAAAGCAAATGGACTTATCCACGCCACGGGCGAGAAGTACTACACTGGGGTGCCGCAGCACGTCTCTGTGGTAAAAGTGAGTCACGATGACACCGGGACAAAGGCTCGGTTGCACAAGCGAGGGCAAAGGCACTCGCCTTGGCTTCCGAGAGATACGGGTCGGCGTAGCCTGGTCATGCACTAGGATACTGCGCGGCTCTTCGGCCTAGCGTTCAGACGGTGGGGCGACGAAAGGTAAGCATTCGCCGAGGGCGCAAGGCACTGTTGGTGAAGTCCGAACGAGCCCCATACAAAGGGAGCTGACAAACGGAAAAGAAGCGTGCTTACCCCTTGTCGTCCCGGAGAGGGGCTCTTCACTCCCGATGCGCGCATGCAAAACGTCCCGAGAGACTTCGCGCACAGCGCCACAGTCGACATCCACTACCGGGTGAGAGGGGTTAATACGTCACTCCCCGCTCCCCCAGCGCGGAAGACCGCGGAGGGGAGGAGTCATGTGAGGACATGAGAACGCAGAAAGAGGCGGCAAAGCCCGCGCAAGGGCGGCGGGCTAACCTCGATTCCCACATCCTACACCTACATGCCGTTGAAGATAAAGCAATGAATTCCCATTCCGAGAGTGAACTTAAAAGCCATTGGTATTGAAATAACATACAAAAAGAGTTCGTTCTATCAGAAAAGCGTGGGAACTCTCAGAGTATGCAAGGGGATTAAGCTCCGAGACCACTTTTGGCAAACTTTTGTTTGCTCAGCTGACTGGCAGTGAACTTTTGCAAACTCCAAGGTGCTGTCAGTGCTGCATGAATTTGAAGCTAGAAAATCAACAAAGCTTTCTTTTCTAGTGCCGAGAAGGGGAAATATGCGGGGGGGGGGGGGGGTCAGTCGTCCTGTAAGCGTGCAGCCTTCGAGAAAGTGTACTCACTGAATGTCCTCGTACACCTCGAAGCAGTTGTCTGGAATAAGGAAGGTGTCCCAAAGCATCTTCGGCCGGCAGACAGTGGTCAGGGTGAGGTTTGCACCGTACACCAGAGACACCAGCAAACAAACCAGGCCAAGGATGAAAGCTCGATGGTTCTTCTCACCAATGCAGGCATCCAACCTGGTGCAATCAGATTGAAGAGCAATGTGGTCAATGTAACCCAGAGCTTACACACCAGAAATGGTTCCCGATCACTTCACGAAACAGAGTATTCAACCATTGCCTTAAAATCTAAACAACAAAGCAACAAGTACTGTTGGTGCTTATTCAAACAGAGAAGTGGTGCTAAACAGTCTTTATATGGAAGACCCTAGCAGCAGTAATCCATTGAGGTTTCGCAGCAACAGAAAAAAAGGAAAAAAGCTAAAATCTATTTAGGCCACTACACGGTTTGAGAACCACGCGAAAACAAGTACTCATTCTTTACCTTAAAAAAGAGCACTGACAAGGGCACAGTCATGCGCCAGTCACACCAGTCATGCGCCAATCCACTTCGACTATAAAAGCAAGCTGCTTCAGCATGTTTCATTCTGTTTAAAGCTCCTTAGTGTGTTTCTTCTTATGCCTTGTTAACGTTAGCGAGTCAGTTAAAACACAATTTTAGAAATAGCAGATGCAAACAGTTTACACAGGCTTAATAAAGCTTAGCATAATGAGCTGTATGTTTCCCCAGGCATTAAAAGAAAGGCGACAGAAACTTTGTGAATCTCTGTTTCTAGCTCTTAATCAGCCGCTACTGACTCATTAATAATGGGAATGAAATATTGGCCCCAGCGGGACACAAATGCACGTTTCTGGCCCTCGGGACTAGGACGGCCAGCATTTCGGATATTGCAAAAAAGCGTACCGCAGTCTACAGTGTGTCGCAGTTATGTTTCGTTATTAACTGCAAAATAACTTTTAGACTACCTCAAAGCCTTAAAAGGTTTTTCAATTTGGTGATAAGAGTTGAAAGACAAGCAAATCTAAGCAATTCTTTTTCAAAATGAATATCCGAGTGCAAGCGAAAAGAAAAACTTGAAATATTTAGGCTGCAAAGTAGAGTATATGCTGCCAGAGAGACAGCCGTGCATGGGCGGTACAAGCTGCATACACAGTGAGGATGAAGAAGTTTAACTTTCATCGACTCAGGTGACTAACAAAACAATGGCACTGGATCAACAAGTATCTCAACAAAAATAGAAAAATAAAAAACAAATAAGATAAAAACTAAACCGGAAAGATCAACTGCTTTAAAGCTTTTCATGCATCATGACAGCTTTTGAAGTTCAGCACATGGTGTCCTTTTTGAAAGCTCCCCATTCCCAACTGCGACAAATGTGGCAGTAATAAAACCCTTATAAAATTTACAAGTCCTGTTGCAAGTTTTCTTTCCCAAGTATTGTTTTGAATCAAAACTGTCTAAAAATATTACCTTTCAATGCATTCACTGCACATGCTGTATGTGGGAAACAAATGGTTAAGCCTCGTTCCATGCGTTAGCCACCCAGCCGCAATGCAGGTGCCGGGTCACCAGCCGCACCCCAAGGGGACAAAATGGACAAATCGGCAGCGCTCTTTTACCCTGCGCTTGGGTGCGGCAGGTATGCCGGCATGCGCAATGCAGGTGGGCGGCTAGCCCATGAAACAGCACTAACCGATTTATCTCAACAAGGCCACGATGGAACAGCTTATCTTTCTTAACGGGATCATGAAGCACCTCTCGGACTTATTGAAAAAACGCATCCTGCAGAAAGCAGACATGGCTATGAACTGCTCGGCCAAATATTGAAGCCGTGCGCACTGCGTAAAGATTACAAGCAGAGCGCGAAGTTGCTGTTTCTTCAGGTGCCCTCTTTTCAAAAAGAGGCCAGACTCACTCTCGTCCGTGGGCGGGCGGTATGAGAGGTTGTTTTTTTTCTCTGTCATCGGATGTCAGATTTCTGTCACCTGATGTCGCAAAATATTACTGGCCAAAAGTAGACATAAATCAAAAATGTGCTGTTTGAATCAGATGCGGATGTTCCAATTGGCACTGTGTATAACAGTTGTTGTAGTTAAATGAACAGACTGAAATATGAAAAAGCTTGGGGTTTTTCAAAAAGATGTCTCACTTTTGGCAGAAAACCGGAAGCATTTTGCCAGAATGAAGCAGCAAGATCAATGAACAATTCAAGCACTTCAATCTAAGTTCAGGCGGTAAGAGACGTTTCTTTTCTCTTTGTGTGCAGCCATGCACACATCACTAGGCTTCAGATAACTATTAGTTTTTTTTTAGACTACGGGCACGAGTGATCATGTAAAGAATGGCTCCATGAGGAAGGGGAATTTCGACAATGGCTTCTCCCCTGAAGTGACCGGTATCGTCGCATTGTTGACCCAGTAGGCAGCATATGTAACAGTAGGCCTTTTTGATAGACTTGACTTTAGCAATGATTGAAGACTGCATTTTAACTTCGCTGTGACGGCATCTGAAGATGTGCTACAAAAGGAATACAAAAAACAAAGTTTGCTAATGGCGGCCCAATGCAACCACGACGGGCCTGCTGCCAAAGGAAATTGGAGAGCTTGTTAAGACATCACTCGTTAACATGTGCATGAATGAATCTGTAGCCAGCGGTCTGATTAGTCAATATCCTTCAGCTTGCAGGAAGAACCCTAACTGAATGTACTTAAGCCTTTGTGTAGATTCACCTATATTTTTGACATTGCAATAAAAAAAACTAGCTATGGTATATTGATATAAACTACAATGAAATAGTAAGAAACAAACTTCATCAAAATCAAGCTTGCAGTTTGATATTAAAAAAAGTGGGACATATATGTCCCACTGACTCATGAGAATGTTTTCAAAAAGGGGGAAAACACTCTTCTTATGAGGGAATCGTCTTGCGACTGAATCAACTGATATTTGGGATGAAATGCCCAAAGCAAGAGGCACAGCGTATCACTTCTTACATTGCAAAGAGGAAAAGTTGTGCGCACAAGTGGTCTGTTCCTGTAAAGCTTACTTCACCACGTGCATAAACCACCTTTTTAATCCATTTCGCTGTCGAAACTGTCTAGTGCAAATGTCGTCCCTGAACATGTGCCTACTTTTCAAGAGATATCAAGGATATCAAGTAAAATAGTTCCACGCAGCCATATCCTTGATTGCACTGTAGAATGAGAGGGACAATTTCGCAAAGGATTGCTCGGATGCATTTATAGGCCCAGTTATAACGCAAATTTACAAAAACATGTGATGTCTGGAAGCTAAAATCACCTCCCTCAAAAACCAGAAAAGAGGAAATTATCCGAAATTTCGGCCGGTCGATCCTACCTCAAAACAACAATTCAGAAGCTGCCATAAATAAACTGACTGAAATTCAAAGCCATTGTAGCACTACATCCACCCTCCTAAAGTGTGGTAAAGAAATTTTCCTCAACATTACGATGACTTAGGTATGATATGAATGATTCAACCTCGTGCTAATTTAAATGAGTGACCTGGGAGATAATTTTTTTTCTGCAGATGAAAAAAAAAAAAAAAAACGTTTGTGTCCCAATGCCACACAAAAGGTTAAACAGGACAGTGTAGTCATTGTGTGTAGAAGGCGCGAGCATTGTGAAACATGACTGTTGTACATTTTTCTCCTTTCTTGCTCTTTCATGCAGTTTGTCCATGAAAGGCAGAGTGGCAGAGACAGTGCAAAGAGGTTGCCCGTAAAAACATCAAATTCGAACCAGCCCAGCTGCTGGGCTGTTGTGATTTGCAATGCAATATTAGAAAAGTGACCAAGGGACAAAAAATTGGCTTACAGCTCTTCACGAATGTTCTGGTCACATTAGCAGCATACTTTCAGCTCTGCTGAGTTAATGTATTTCCTTCTATAAGTATATAACTGGCTATACCAGCTTAGAAAATTCTGCTTTAGAGAGGAATAAGGAGGAAGATAGAACTTAACATAAATCTAACTGTTCACAACTTAAGGGTCTGGCTTGGGCAACATATACATTTGTCATGCTTACGTGGCAAGTCCAGAACACACTTTCCATTTCTATGCATAATCACTGTGAGGAGCTGATTTTTGCGTTGTATAGCTGGTGAAGGCATGAGCAACATGTGTGAAATGCCCTGTTTGAATGTTTCCATTAGCTTTCTTTGCTTCTCTCCTTCCCAAAGACAACAACTACTATAGTCAACTCATCCTGTGTGAGCCTACACAACTGCTGGATATGGTAGACTAATTGAAACTGATAATTTAAATTATTTGTTAATCAATTCAAGTCTTAAATTCTTAGTTAGCCTGCTATGTTCTCAATGTATTCCGAAACTTCTTAATTCAAAATGCCCCAAAGTACAAATTTGATTCACTGAAATTTTTTGCCTGTCCATGCCTAGGAATATTGGTTGTATTTGTTGCTCTCAACTAAATACTTGTTTTTATATCACATACAGTTGCAAATAAGTGACTTGCCCGCTTACAAAGGTACTAAGCTGCATTCACCAACAATAACCTCTCAACTGGGGAAGAAAAAAAAGTAAAAACAAGTCGGCGTGGCCTTGGTTTATGGAGTTCCGAACAGATCCTAAGTTACTTTTGCTGCAGTACACTCCGTGACATAAAAGAAAAAAACCTTCCAAAAAATGGGAAAGCTAGAAGTTTAGGATGTGTACACAACGCATTTTGCCCCATTATTACACAGTCCTGCATGTGTCCTATAATAATGCACACCAATGTTATTGCTTATGTCTAAACACTTCACGAGCAACTGTGCAAATCTGCCTATGATATTGCTGCAGCACTGAGAAACTATAGATATAACAACACTGATTGATGGGTTGCCTTCAATTGAATTATGAGAATGATAATTCGAACTTCGGATAATTCAAACAAAATCCCGAAGTCTCCTCGAGCTTGAATTAGCATCAAGAGTATACTATAGATGCAGTTCATAATGCCAATGTTGCTTACCACACAATCTTTTTACCCCACAAAGCAAGCAGTGAGAAACTGACTAGCCAAAAAGAAAGAAAAACAAAAGAGAATCACTTGGCTCACCAGACGCAGTGGTGATCCCTCTTCAGGAAGCAGCGGCCACAAAGATGGCAATGGCTGCAGCGCGGTGGCTGCACCACTTGGCACACAGAGCACTTGGAATCCTCGGTCTCCGGGTAGGGCACACTGACACTGCACGCTGTCGCTTCGACCGTCTTGCCCACCGGTTCCATATTGACACTCGGAGCCAGGATGTCAGGTGGGCAGTTGTGCACTTTGTAAGCACACAGGCAGGTCAAGGCGACTGCCAGCATGAGTACAGTGTTTTCGGAGAAGAGAATTTCCAGGTAGGGCACCACTTCGAGCTGGAACACTCCAAGCAGCACCACGAGGGACGACACAGTCCACGACAGGAAGAACCTGTCAATGGGAGATAAACAGGGAGTCATGAAGGCAAGCACACACGATGTTTTTTTGGACTCGGACTTCCCTATAGTCGGAGCCAAAGAGGGCACGAGCACTGCAAGAATACTGAACTTCTTCACTAAGGCACAATCTAAGAGTACACTACATTTCGCGAAGGCAAAAATTTACTCCCCACTCTTTAATTCTACGTAGTGCACCCACCAGACTCATTGCTAGAAAACCTGGTTCTTTGCAATAACAGCCCACAAACATACCTTTCTCAAAGGTATATATATTTTGTGCTTGTTTGCCTGCACTGGTCATACATGGCTGCTTTCCACAAGTTCACCACGCACATCTCCTACTTTTTCAGAAACTTGTGGAAAGTTGACATACATAAAAGTAGTTCTGGGTCCATTCCTGCATTCATACATTGTACTACACCTGATTCGCTATTCTAGAAAGACATTTAAGAGTAGAAAATATAACGTTCAGATTCTTGAATCCTCTGTGACATTAGGGTAAGAGTCGCACATTCCAAAGCAGCGCGTCGATTTCCCTTTCATTTACAAACAAACGCATAATCTGGCAGCATGCAGAAAAGAACAATGACAACAGTGGGCGTGACCCACAACGTTGCCACCCTTTCTATGTTTTATGGCAGCAAAGCCAGCCCCATGCGTACAGAAGTTACAGATTTGTCATCACCTAGGCTGCTTTCTATGCAATTAAACCCTGCACTTGGACTGTAAGAAAAATAAAGATTTGGTAAGATTAAGTACCCATCAATGCATACAGACAGATGATTGAGAAATAGAGCACAGCAATAGTTTGTGTAATTATAGGTACACCAGGCTGTTACTCTTTCTTCTCATTTCTCAACAGTGCTTGGAACAAAGGTGTCAAAGATTATTTTATGCTATATATAGTCCTTAAGTAGGCCACCCTGCAATTATAATGTGCATGGAACAATGGGTTTGTAAAGATTGTTATGCTCTGTATGGCTGTTAAGCAGGCCACCTTACAACCATGAAGGCCATGACACAAACTTACACACAGGCCTCAAGACACCATCAATGTGCATTGGTTGCTTTCCACTTGCACAACCTTGGGCCTTAATAAAGTACACCTCATAGCACTAACCCCTAAAAAAGGTATAATGCCCTGAAGGTTTCCTGGTATATAAAAACCAGAAGTAATGGCTCTCTAGTGACCACTATGCAATGATCTGAACAAGTTCACACCAAACCTGTTATGTCCTACACTGATTCGCTAAATTCAAACAGCTCAAGAGCCCACACCACTGCTGCTATAGGAAGCTCTATACTTCTATAAGCGATGCCTATGACTTGTATGTTGGAAGCATGACTGTTGCTTGCACAACCTGAATGTTCAGGATCTTGTAAACAGGCTTCTTTTCATGATACTTTGCACACTGTTAGCCCGCGAAAAACTATTACACAACTGCCCCCGACAAAGGTGATATAGACTGATGGAAGGGCTTGGTATTTACAATAGAAATGATGAGCAGGTTTTGCGATGAACTGCGGTGCTGTAGCATCATATGTGCACTAACCGGGAACATAATGCGAGCTATTTCATGTAGCTAAAGGTCAGTTTTGATAGATGTATTCAAGCTGCTGGTTCACTTGAGCAGTTTGACTAATAGTTTGTCATAACAAGGTTGTATTAATGGGAGACACGTTTGTTAGTTTTACGTGCATCCCTTACCGCCATAATTGTTCCGAGCTAAGATCAATAACCAGGGAAACAAAAACCCACAAAGTAGACAAATTAAAAACAAACAAGTGAACAATACCAAGCAAATTTTACTGAGTTATGCAGCCAGCACATTAAAAAAAAAACAGCTCATTTTTTTATTATTTGTTCTCAACCAACTTCTTCGAATACATCATTTCAAAAAAAGCTGCAGGAACTTTTTTTTTTTGTAGCAGCGGTAGCGATTGATTTGTGGTGGGGCTGAATTAGCTGCCACAGCATGGGGGGGGGGGGGGGGGGGCGTTAAGCAAACATCACGGTGACATGTCCATAGTATTTATTAGGCGCAGTACCTCATTGCTGCATGAACTCAAATTGCGATTTCATCAAAGTTCACGCACGACACCGGCACTCAATCTTTAAAAGCGACCTGATACGACGTGTAACATTTAATTACACTAATGTACAAATGTACGTTGCAGGCTTTCTTTCTTTTTTTTTGTCCACGGAGGTATGCATTTGTCAAGATCTTATCGCCGAACATTAAATTCATTTCCCATGATCAGTTTCATGCGGCGCTTAGTCTCACAAATTAACCTGCCACAAGGCGGGAAAGCGTGCCATAAGGAGGCAACATTTCAACGTTTCATGAACCTGCGCTCTACCGCACCACCAAAGCTACGCACCTTGTTCTCGTTCTGGTTCTGGAACAGCGCCGGTGTATGAAGAACAGAGCAAACGGCAGCGCCGAAAAGGTGATCATGAGCATTGTCCAGCTATGGCAGGCCAGTAAAAGTACTGACGGTAGGATGACGATTGGCGAGATGACATCAGTCTCCAGGCGCTTGGCCCCGCCGAGCCAAGGCACCCGAATCCGGTCCATCACCGTGTCTTTGACGAGCGACCAGTGAGGTGCGGGCACCCGACGGCACGTAAGGAGCCTGCGGCAAGCGAGAATAAAAGGTAGATGAGACCGCGATCACGACACTACGCAGCGTCGAAAACGATTAGGAAAATTTTATTGACGCCCACATCACGTTCAGCGCATTCGAATGTTTCCGCTTAGCGCCAACACCAGCCCTCCGAGAACTCGAGGAAAGACGGAAAAAAAAAAAAAAGAGGAGAGAAACACCGGCTAACAATAACAAAGGCAAGAACACGTTTCCTTCTAAGAACCAACTGCCAGTTACTTTACAACCAAATCACCTCTTTGAGTGGACGGGTGCGAGCGACCGGAATGCGATAAATCCCACGGGATATCACAGTCATCGATAAGCCCGAACAATATTGCATTACCGGCACTCGCCTGTCAAATGCGATATCCAAGGCCTCGCAGTCGCAGAGACATGCCAGAATGTGCGATCGCTCGCCTACTTTGGAGATGTACTCGCAGCAACAAAGAGGGTCGTCATCGCGCATCACACCGCGACCAGTTTTCATAGCAGCGCTGTCATTACTTGATCTTCGTCGCTAAGGGCACTTGCGGAATAATACACTCGATGCGGCACTGAAACGTGAGGCAGCCGAGTACGCTGGACATTTGCAGACAGCGGGTGAGGGCAATGCAGTCTTGCAAGGTGCGAGAACGAAGTGTCGTCACCGCATTGAAAGGAAGGGAGCGCCGCAAACCACAAACAAAACAGCGCAGACCGCATCCTCGCGCACGGCTAGCAGCACGGCGTAAAAAGAGGAGGCGCTGCTGGCGCTGGTGCAACATGCGCAACTGCTGGAGTGATAACTACGCCTCAAAAGTGAAGACACGTTTCACCAAAAGATGGCGACAGTAAGAAACCAAGGGGGTTATATACTACAAACTTCTTGAGAAAAATACATAGGCGTTCAGCGACAAACAGGGAATGTTCTTCTATGCACGCCCGACGATATTTATGAGGCACCACAAAGGAGGAACGTTTTTTTTTGTTCAGATACTGAAGATGATGATGATGGAAACTCGTATGGATGGCGCTCACCAATAAAGGAAGATGGACTAAGGACCGGGCGGCAGGATGCCTAAAGTAAAAATCTGTGAAACTAAACCCAAACTGGGAATTTAGTTTAAAAATAAAACATTGAATGAATGAAAATGCTTACTGAGCAAGTGGTCAGATCATATAGTTTCATACAATAATTGTATAAAACTCTATGGGTCAGACCACCTCAGCTTCGTGACAGAAATAATGACAGATTTCAAACCTAGAATATGAATAGATAAAGATCGACTGACATAATCATATTTTTGTTGCTTTGATGTATTCGGTCACAGTAGAGCAGACATCCAAGTTGTTGCAGTAACCTAATGAAGAGACACAAAATTATAAAATTTTTGAAACATTTACTGCTGATCTCAACTTTTGAAATCAGGAGTCTAAGACTCTCTTTGACTAATGAGAATAGCGACAACAGAATAAAAAGAAAAAGAAATGTTTCATTGTTCAATTTTGTAGCAAAACATGCACAACGGGGACACCTTGAGTCTAGCTTTATTTAAGAAATAATTTGTCTGCCTAATTCTACAGCGTAATCTGGCGTAATGAACTTCAAACTGCAAGATACACACCACTGTTTATTCCAGCAATGTCCATGATGCGCGAAATTCTTAAATTTATCCAATGATAATTTACCTGTTTCACTCTGCAAACAAATCATTTCCGATAGTGCTATAGCGTAAGCCGTATCTGGTAAAACGGAGTGAGGGGTCCACTCGGGGATACCTGCGGAGTCCTCCATTTCCTCCAAAGAAAATCTGCGGTGGCCTGGTACCCAGAGCAACTGAAGGTTTTGTAAATATTTCGGTATTAGATCACTGAACGTATTCATTCTGTCCCATTCCGCTATAAAGAAGTCCGCTACAGCGAAATTTCCGCCACAACGAATTATTTTCGATTCCCCGTCAGGCGCCCATAGTATTCAACGTGAACAATCTCTCGTCACAACGAATACTTTTTTCCTGGATACTTTCCCAACAACGAAGTTTTTACGAGTACTACAGCATAAGGAAAAAGAGCTTGCTTATTATTGCCTCGGAATTCCGCTACCATGTCGGTCATCTCTCGTTGGCTTGTGAGTCGTGGCATCCAGAGCGCGTATCCGCATCGCAACACGCGTATCTTCATCATAGACACGCTTTCTGCCATTACATGCACATTGCGGTAAATTTCTCACTATGAGATGCTCAGCGACAGATGGCCCCATCCACCATGATGCTACCGGCGGACTTGATGCACGTACAGGCCACGGTAAAATCTCTTGGGCCATGTTTATGACATCGCGTTCAAAACAAAATTACCATACGCCATCACTAGCCCTACGATCGTGAATGACAACCACAGGCGTTATGAAGGTGCACACGTGGCCAGCGCGCACTTAGTCGGAGGTACTTTCAGTACTAGTTTTCAGTTGGCCTCTAGCGAAGCTTTGGCAGGCTCGTTTGCGGCTCTGCGCTCCCGGCACGCCCTAAGGGTCGTCTGAATATCACATTTTCTTGTGTGTAAACCGCCCCTGCATATAACCGCGGGAGAAAAAAAAAGTACCAGCGTATTGACGCAAGGTCGTCTTCTTTGCATTACAGTAAAGGCGTGCTGCGATGCCAGCTTGCGCACCAAAATTTTCGTATAATCTGCACGCTGTTATGCCAGCGAGTCCTCGTCAAACGTCCGTGCCTCTGAAAAAGGCAATCTGGGTCAAGGCCAGCCCGCAGTCCGCCTGGCGCGATCAACTCGACGGCGTGAACACGCGCGGCGCCCCTCTGGCCCACGTGCATTGAGTCAGCTGCGCACGTGACAGCGAGCCGGCGTCCTCGTGTCTGGTGGTCTGACGCATGGCGCGGCGACCCCATTGGAGGAATCTGCCCTGACGACCAGCGGCGCTTCTGACTGGACATTTTGGTTGGACCCGGTGCAAATAAAAGAAGCCCTGCGGCGCGTCGCGATCGGCGGTCCTACGAGAGAGGAGTCCCCATGTCGGAGAGCCGACATGTGTGTGAGTCGGCGGTCTTAGGCGGAAAGTTGACTTATGTATTAGAGAGGAGAGCTCGGCTCTTCGAGTCTCTGTCGGCCCCAGTGCCGAATTTGTAATGCCTCTGTGTATATGCTGTACATAAACCTTGTTTAACTCACCGACGTCTCGTCCGCTCGTCTCATCAGCTCGGCGCAGAAGCAGTCGCGAGCTGAGAAACATACGCTACCAAACGGCTGGTGACCTTCCCGGCGGAGTTGAAAGCAGTGGCGCCTTCGGGACCGTGTTGGCGTCGCCGTCTTTCGCAACAGTGGTGGCTTCGGCGGGATCGGTCCGTCTTTCGCAACAGTGGAGGTCAGCGGTGGGGTCACGGAGGTGGCTTTCGCAACAACGCCGACTTTAGCTTGCATACCTTGATCGTGTTATACGCGCGAAAATTCGTTCACTCAGTGTGCGGCCAGGTACGCTGCAGAGGGTGAAAGGGCGTCGCCAATTGGCTCAATTGTCCCCCACTTGCGTGCGATAGGGGTCCCGGCACGTGTGTTGCGGCTGTGCGGAAAGCGCGTAAAACGGCTCTTATCGAGAGCACAATGCACGCAGTTGCTGGAACGAAAGGATTAGTCACAATCATCAGATCTTACCAAATTTTGTTGTCTGTAGATCAAATTTCGCTACCACGAAATCCCGCGACAGCGAGTTCTTTCGCATGTCCCGTCGATTTTGTTGTGGCGCGAATTGACTGTATATATAGTGCTGAATTTGTTTCCGCAGAAAGTGCCTTACATACTGACGTGCCTGTGATGATCAGTGCTGCTGCTCAACTCGTGTATTTCTACTACAGGTTTTTCCCCCTTTCTTTTATGAAGAAACCTCAAGGATCAATACGTGGTTACTCATCTCCAAGCATTACTTTAATTGGAAATCATGATATTTCATTTCGTAATTGACTGATATTTAATAAAGCAATATCATTTGAACTCTAAGCGAGTATCGGCATGAAAAAATATGTTCCAAGGCGAATTGGGATAGGGGTTGGGGAAAGCGAATTGCGGGCAGCGTAGCTTCACTTTAACCAGCCAGGGCATTGCGGCAGCTTCCACGCCAGAATTTCTTTACAACGAAATCTGTATATAGCTAGATGAAACTGAAAACCACTGGCCACGAAAAACGATAACGGTATTCATTGGCTGCTCCGTCAATTACGTCATTATCTATACGTCGCACCAAAGCGCACGTACCATTGGGATCGGCGTCAGCAACATCTTTCATCACTTCGCAGCCTTGTCGTTATAGTTTCAACTTACAACTTCCACATGAGGAGGGCACGGATAGTAGAAACGCCGAAACAGCAGACAACTTTCCAAGAACAATACCGACCACTTATACGTGAGAGAATTCATGTTTACCGGGCTCGTGCATGGTAGTCCGGGCACAAGAACAGGCCCCGGACTGCAGGTACGAAAGCGTACGTAGCAATTGCGCACTGCGGATCCGGCAGGCTTCCGAGCTGAATGCGAGCGACAACGGCGAGCCGAGGAAGTGGTGTTGCAGGTAAAGCAGCGTCAACATGGTGAACGGCGGAAGCACGTTCGCCGGAACCGACGCCCAGTTTCGGCGGGAGTTTTTCAAATGGCACTTTCGGTTTGGCTGCGACGTCTGCTATCGCGTGGGGCCACACGTTTCAGCTTCGCTGGTTAACCATCTGTACGGAGTGCTTGGGCGATGATGTTTGAGCCTCACTGAACAATTTAAAATCAAGTATTAGACAGATAACCGTAGCGCCGTGAGCTCGTACTTATGTGGGAGAATTACCTTCCAGCAGGTGTGTAGCCAACCTTTCTACCCCGCGAAAAATTTCAATTTTGCTTGCGTATACACGTACATGCAAGCTCATGCACGAACATAGATGAAGTGCCGTTGAGACCTCCCTGCACCCAAAAAAAATTTGGCGACGCCCCTCCCCATCTGAAATATGGAAAGGACGCTTTACATCATGTAAGAGAGGAAAAGCAATTGGATAGGGAATCTGTGTCAATATTATCTGTGTAGAACAGCGACTGCTGAGAGTAGTTTACATTTATCTTTAGGTTGTGACAAAATATTAGATAGCGCAAAAAGTGACTTGCGAGAAATCGCTTTCGAGCACGATGCTGTCAGTAGACTTACCGAGAGAACCCTGCCGGCAATACGTACCTCGTTGCTCCCAGTATCTCACTTTCGTGGAACTTTGTTCTATTCAGGCGAAAATACTCGCGATCGGAGTTTTCCAGAGTAGTGCTTCCCAAGTTTTTCGCAATGCAACTTGCGTCGGTAAGCACGCGCATGTAAGGTCATCAGCGCGAAAACGCCCACGAGTTCAGCAAAACGCGAGCCTTCCGGCCACGTTTCGCCGATATTATATACGCACGTAGATGCAACGCATGCAGGGTATTCATCCAACACGGACGCGATCAGCTTTCTTTTTTCTTTTTACTTGTGACTAAAGCAACCTTGCTGTTTTTCTTTTCTGTTCCCGAGTTGCAGGCAGTAATTTTGTGACCCCCCCCCCCTGCCCGACTCACCAAAAGGTAGGCCACAGTTTGCCGCACTCGAGGCATATACCGGGGTTTTTCCAAAAATGTGTACGACATCCTCAAAGTCAGGGAAATGCTATATTTGATCGATGCCTTCA